TAATAACGCTCGAAGAATGAAAATAAAATTGAGGATATAAAAAAAAACATTTCTAAAAACTAGAAGGCCATAGTGACGTAAAACAAGGAAACTTGAGGGGGGTCAATGTTCTTTGGTGATTTATCTTTGTTTTTAGACAAATGCGATTATAAAATCATTTTATTGAGGATAATTACCTCATTTTGCAAAAAAGAAAAAAAAAATGATCATTGAAAATTTATTTCAAGAATTTTTTTTTATTTTAATAAAAGTTCATTGAAAATTAAAAAATTTATTTAATTCAAATAATCGGTTGCCTATTATCAAGTAAATATTTACTTGTAATAAATAATTTTGACTCAAATAATAATTATTTGATAATAAATATTTATTTGATAATAAACTGATTATTTGAATCGCAAATAATTTCTTTTCAGTTTTAAAATTTATGCAAAAATTTAAAAAATTGATTTTTAATTTTATATAGAAAAATCTTTCAATGTGTTTTAATGTTTATTTTTAAATTTTACATAAAAAATATATAATCACACTTGAAAGTACACATAATACAATATATTTATCTATAGAAGGTTTTTATTATCAAATATTATATATACACGATTGTCATCGATTTCGGCTTGGAAAATTCTTTTGAGAGAGTTGTTGACATTTTACAATTGTTCTATTGTTTCAAAGTTGAAAGCAATTAATAATTAATCATGTTACGATGTTGAGCTATTGCATCGACATCTGAGTAAATAATTTTATTCGGAGTCTTTCTTTCTCTTTATCATTCTTTTTCTCTATTTGTTTATGTTAAAATTGTCACTCATTTGTTTCAATATTAATTATTGTTTAGATTTTTTTTTAAATACCATAATTTCCCCCCCCCCAACAAAAAATTATAATAATACTAATAATTAGGAAAAAAAAAAACTTCACTGGATCAACGATATATTTCATTAAAACAGCTAAAATTTTCGCTATTCTAGAGAAATATATCGTTATTACAGATAAATATTTTTATCCATGTGATAATAAATAATAATAACAATAATGAGAATAAAAATAATAACAATAAATAATATTATTTATATAATAAAATATGTATATTTTATTAATTGAAATTTTTAATTTATAAAATGAATATTATATAGATAAAAAAAAAGATACAAGCATTTATTGTGAATTCGTTGACTGAATGGGTTTTCCGTCTGGGCTTTAATTTCCCTTCTAGTGGCGTATCAGTCTGAATGGTGAAGGGGAAGGCAACGAGGGAGTGGCGCGTACTCAAGATTTATGAAAGGGGATGAGAGAGAGAACAGCTTCCATAAAATCAATTTTAAATGTAAAGATCACACAAATACATCATGTCGAATATTATATCTATATAAAAAAAGTAATGTGATTAAAAAAGTCTAATAAACTTTTCAAAAACAAAAGCTAACAAAACCTTGAAGAATGATAAATAAGATTTTTATTATGAAAAAAAATATATATATAACAAACTAAATATACAACTAGTATTCTAAATTAAAAAAAAAAAAAAGATTCGGATTGCATTAATATTTCAGAGCTTGGGACTAAGAGATTTAGGAACCTAAATGTTTAGGACTAAGAACTAAATAATTTAGAACTAAAGGCATTGGACTTAGAACTAAAGACTTAACGTTCAGGATTAATATAGTTTTTATTCAGAAACTAAGGGTTTTGGGAAACTTAGAACTTAGGACCTAAGAAACTTAGAACTTAGGATCTAAGAAACTTAGAACTTAGGATCTAAGAAACTTAGAACTTAAGAACTTAGGACCTAAGAACCTTAGAACTTAGGAACTAAGAACATAAGACCTAAGAAAATTAGAACTTCAGAACTTAGGAACTAAGAAACTTAGAACTTAAGACCTAAGAAACTTGGAACTAAGAACCTTAGAACTTAGGACCTAAGAAACTTAGAACTTAGGAACTAAGAAACTTAGAACTCAGGACCTAAGAAACTTAGAAGTTAAGAACTTAGGCGCTAAGAACTTAGGATTTAAGAAACTATGAACTTAAGAACTTAGGACCTAAGAACTTAAGATCTAAGAAACTTAGAACTTAGGATCTAAGAAACTAAGAACTTGAGAACTAAGGACATTATAACTTAGAACTTAAAAACTTAGGATCTAAGAAACATAGAACTAAGAACCTAAGAACCTTATAACTTAGGACCTAAGAAACTTAGAAGTTAAGAACTTAGGCGCTAAGAACTTAGGATTTAAGAAACTTAAAACTTAAGAACTTAGGACCTAAGAACTTAAGACCTGAGAAACTTAGAACTTAAGAACTTAGGATCTAAGAAACTAAGAACTTGAGAACTAAGGACCTTATAATTTAGGACCTAAGAAACTTAGAACTTAAAAACTTAGGACCTAAGAAACATAGAACTAAGAAGCTTAGAATTTAGGACCTAAGAAACTTAGAACTTAAGAACTTAGGCGCTAAGAACTTAGGATTTAAGAAACTTAGAAGTTAAGAACTTAGGACCTAAGAATCTTATAACTGAGGAACTAAGAACTTAAGACCTAAGAAAATTAGAACTTCAGAACTTAGGAACTAAGAAACTTAGAACTTAAGAATTTAGAAACTAAGAAATTTAGAACTTAAGAACTTAGAACCTATGAAACTTACACGGAAAAAAAGAAAAAGTAACTTTTACTACTTTAAAAGTAAAATTGGACCTGTCCAAAGTTTCTGCGCATCTCTGGCAACTTTTACTCCAAAAATAGTAAAATTTACTTCAGAAATAGTAAAAATTACTACGGAAACAGTAAAATTTACTACAGAAATAGTCAATTTTACTATTTTTCGAGTAAAAGTTGCCAGAGATGCGCAGAAACTTCGGACAGGTCCAATTTTACTTTTAAAGTAGTAAAAGTTACTTTATTCGTTTTTCTATTTTTCTCCGTGTAGAATTTAAGACCTAAGAAACTTAGAACTTAAAAACTTCACAGAAAATTATAAGGTATTAAAATAAGCTGCAATGCTTATTATTTTAATCCAATTTTGCTTATTTTAATACCAAAATCGATTAAAATAAGCAAAATTGGATTAAAATAATTAGCGTTGCAGTTTATTTGTATGCCTTTTAATTTTCTGTGTTAGGACATAAGAAACTTAGAACTAAGGACCTTAAAACTTAGGACCTAAGAACTTTGGACCCAAGAAACTTAGAACTTAGGACCTAAGAACTTTGGACCCAAGAACCTTAGAACTTAGGACCTAAGAACTTTGGACCCAAGAAACTTAGAACTTAGGACCTAAGAACTTAAGACCTAAGACACTTAGAACTTAAGAATTTAGGATCTAAGAAACCTAGAACTTAAGAACTTAGGAACTAAGAAACTTATAACTGAAGATCTAAGAAACTTAGAACTTAAAAACTTAGGACCTATGAAACTTAGAACTAAGGACCTAAGAACCTTAGAATTTAAGGCCTAAGAACTTAGGATCTAAGAATCTTAGAACTTAAGAACTGAAAATCTCAGAACTAAGAATTTTAGAACTTAAGAACTGGGAAATTTATAACTTAAGAAATAAGAAACTTAGAACTTAAAAACTAGGAAACTTTAAACTTAAGATTTAAGATCAATGTAACTTAGAACTTAAAATTTTGGAACTGGAGGACTAAGAAAATTAGAACTTAAGACCTGTAAAACTAATAGAACTAAAATACCAAGAATCTTAGATCTTATGGACTAAGAAATTCAGAACTTATAAGGAAAGAAATTAAAAACTAATAAATTTCAGACCTAATCTGTACTAAGTAGTCCCAATTTTCTAAGTACCATTCCAAGTCCCAATCCTTTAGTTTTAAATACCTTACTCTCTACAAGTCGCATAAACCTCGTTTCTTCATTTCTAAGTTCTCAAAATTCTCAGTCCCATAGTTCTATTTTCCTCCATGTTTGATGATATTTAGAACTTCAGTCTCATTACAAAAATGGGCGCAAAAATTTGTCATTTAAATAAAAAAAAAAAAAATTAAATAAATAAATAAACATTCAATTTCAAACGAAATTCAATGGTTACGCCACTGTCGCGAGTATATGTATTGAAGAATAAGAAAGTAATCGAAATGAGGAAGAGACATGTACCAAAAAAGCAAAAGGGGTTTATTTTCAAAAAAAAAAAAAAAAAATAATGATCAAAAAAATTATTTTTTTTGCTATTTTTCGAAATAAATAAAATTTACTGCTCTTGACACTGATCAAGATCTCACCTATGTCGCCTAGAGAGATAGAGAGAGAGAGAGAGAGATAGAGAAAATGTGTGCCTCTCATATATATATATAGATATCTATACAAACACAATTGGCGGAATACAGCGCCGAGAATTGCTTGACAGGAATTTCAAATACCGAGGATTTCAGACACTTGGGAGGAATTTCAGCTGGAGAGAAATACTCATCACTACATTTAATACACACACACACATATACAAACACACGCGTGTTTATTCTCTTCAAACACCGGTTTTTATCCTTTTTTGCACTCACAATTATTTGTAGTTTTTTTTTTTTTTTTTTTTATTTATCTTGTCAAAATAAAAATAATGGGCGTAACATAGGCCCGAATTTTGTATTCAACGAGATGATGATAATGATGGTCCCTGATGCACTGACTCGATGCACTTGTATTTCACGGGACACCCTGTATGTTGAAGTGTGTAAAGAGCGGGATGGAGCGAGGAGAGCTGAGTGGCTGTGGAAGGTCCAGAGGAGGCGGGGGGTAAAAGGAGAAGCAGAAAATACGAGAGAGAGAGAGAGAAATGAATAACAGAAGAGATAAGGGTACAATGAGAGAGAAAGAGATGGGAGAAGAGAGAGAGAGAGAGAGAGAGAGAGAGAGGATTCGAGTAACAACTAACGAGGAGTTACAATGGCCGACGACCGCGGCAGTCTGGCGACCTCTTCGATTTTCCGGTGAAATGCCGGTTAATCACAAACACAATGATGGTATAGTATAAAAAAAAAAAACATTTACCCAAAAAAAAATTTTAGAAATCCTCAAGTTGTTGATTCGGATGAATTTTATACTCGTACTAGTTTCAATGTGTTTGTGGCCTTTCTTTTTTTTTTTTTTTGGGGGGAAATTTTATGAGGACCACAAAATTGACAAGGTGCGGATTTTGTATGCACAGATTATGTTAAAATAAAAAAATAATCGGTGAGTTTTGTACCGGGCAAACAGACTCACTTTGCTTGGCCCGTGCCACTGAAGAGTACGAGCACCAGAGAGGTAGGGGATCAAAACGGAGTGGCATACTTTGGATGGTGGTAGTGGTGGTGGTGGTGGTGGTTAAGGGGAATATACACTATTCGTCGAGTGGTGGGAGAATGGACGCTATATGACAAGAGGAAGAAGAAGGATGCAATAATCCGGGTTTAACGATAACAAGTGAGATGACATGAGCCATGGAATAGAGGCGGCAAAAGTTAGTGATGAGGCGACATCTGTTGTAAAATTTTAATGCCACAATTTTTCACTGTTCTGTTGGTTAGAACGGAATTGAAAATATTTTCAATAAATTTTTAAATTAAAAAAACAATTGGTAAATCAATTTTAAAATTTGAAACCCAAAAAAAAGAAGAATTAACTGTAATACAGCAATTATGATGATGCTTTAAAAAATTATTTAAAGATTGTTTATAGTACCGATACTATTTGGTAAAGATTTAGCATTATTGAATTTTATCAGTACTTATCATTTTTAACCATACAGATCAGAAATAATTTTTTAATTCCTTTGTGACAATAAATTAATTACAGTTGCTTTCAAGTGAAATTGATTTTCTTTCCTTGTTATCAACTGTAATCTTCTTTATCACTTTTAAACCTTAAAATCCTCCTATAGCCTCTTGAGATTTCTTGTAATCCTCAATTATCTACACAATCACTTTTCATTCATTGTACAATGTTTTCTTCAATTAATATATATCTCCAATAGAACAAAAATAACCTTATAAGTAATCGATTTATTAAACCATATACGTTTGTATTTTATTTTTAATTATAATTTATACAAAATTTTATTTATCTCAAAATGTTACGGATTAATATTAGCCATATTAAAAATCTTTTATAGCATTAAACTATTTCTGTTGATTCTGTTAAATCAAAATTCCGTACAGAAAAAGATACTGAAATAGAATGTAATGTAAAATGTCTAAAAAAATGTTATTAAATATTTCTCTTAAATGCCAATAATTGCTAAATAAAAATTCAAATATTGAATTCTATACTTTTAAAAATACCTTTTAAAATTTCAATTCGGCTTTTTGAAAATTCAAACCACTCATCGAGCATTGAACTAATAATACTTAGGGAAATATTCATGGATCTCGATAAATCCCAGCTATTGGAATATACCGCGTGATTCTAACTATACCAATAATTGTAAATACCAAGGATTATAACCTACCCACTGATTACAACTACCATATATATATATTATTGTCATTGATTGAAACTGGTCCGTAAAATATTAACGCTTCCACGAAATCAAAATAATGTATAAAATTAAAAAAAAAAATTCTATTAATTTAATATGATGAGAATGCACTTTATTTTTTTCTGTACAGAAAAATCATTTCAGGTGTGAGAGAGCTTTTTTTATTTTTTTTTTTTTATAGAAACAATAAATGAACAAAAACTGCAAAGTCATTTTAGCATTAATGAAACTTTTTATTGATTCAAAAGAAATGAGAGCTTATATATATATATTAAATTAATTCGAGAAGCTTTTCACGCGCCCCCGAAAAAAAAATCAGGATTGATCGTCTCAATTTTCTTTTATATTCAAACTTCCGTGTGTTAGAAAATTAACTCACTTTTTTTTACCGAGTTTATTTAATATAGTATATAGAAAATAATCCCCGAATTATTTTGCACAAAAAGAATAAGTATCTTGAAACATTTTTCCTTTTTAATAAATAATAAAATCAAATTCAATAAAAATACCCCCCCCCCAAAAAAAAGAAGGTTTTTCAATAAATAAGTCAAAAAAAAAAAAAAAAAAAAAAAACACAATGCAAAATCGTTTGAAAAATGAAAAAAAGGAAGCTTTTATCATCAATGAAATTGCTCTTTATTTTGACCTCGTTTTTAAAATTCAACTGTATTTACAATGTCAAAAATTCGTTTCTTTTTCCTTCGTCCACCAACGACCATCAGTGCAAACATCAATACACAAATGGAAAGTTTCATATATATATATATATATAAAAAGAGAGAAAGAGAATACACTTTACGAGAGAGGGTATTTCAACATTTTTATAGATTTTATTTTCCGGCTCTTCCTTTAATGAAAAAATAAAGCTCAAAAAGGATTTTGAATTTGCTATTTGAAGAGTAATCTCTTCCATATCAGTTTCTCTAATCAGCGAATGAGATACTTATAAGTTTAATGACCTTATTGTGTCTATACATCAATATTATACATAAAATATATTACGTCAAAACTTTTTTTAACCGGGAATAATTTAATATAATATAAAGAAATTAATTAATCATCCGTCCATTGTTAGCAATCCATCATTGTATATTATTTTACACGATATAGAATATATTCCGATTTGAAATTTAAAATAATTTTAACGATCAAATCAAATAATTATCAAATTAATAATTATGTCGAATTAAATTATTAAAATTATAATATTAAACAATTTAAATTAATTTTTATTATTTATTATAATAAATATTATTTATGACAACAGTTAATTAATAATTAATTAATTTTAATTACTACCTTATGACTAGTTAGTGAGGTTCTACTGTAACTTGCTATATTTAAATCATTAAACGAAAATCAATAAACATAATGACATAATAAATTAGGGAGAGTATTAACTTGTTGACCCAAATAGACAGTTATCGAGGGTCCACTGTATAAATTCCTAATAAATATTATATAAAATGTTTATAGAAATAAGAAAACTCTTTAAATTATGATTTAATTGATTTTTTAATGTAATGAGAATTGTGTTTTATTTGTAATTTTTTGTCAAATCAATATAAAGGACGAGATATCAAATTGACTTCAAACATCATGACTAATAGTGAACTCTCATTTCAAGAAGGCAGAACTACAAATTGAATTACATTGATTGCGAGACTCTCTTCTGATTTTGTATGTCTACTGAATAAGAATAAATCAAGATAATCAGTTGAAGAAATCATTCAATGATAAAGAATAAAAAGTAACGATCTTTTCAATAATTTTCAAGAAAAATAAATTAGAATATATATTGTAAAATTAATTTAAGAGAAATATAAATAATCACTTACAGGAACTAAAAATCGGACAAATGCAAGTGCAATTCGCAACTAAAACCTAAGGTTCCGTAAACCAATTAAATTTATTAGAAAAAAAAACAAACATTTAAAATTAACTAAGCATTACAAGCAAAAAATTACAAAAACACTAACTAAACTAACTAAAAACTACATGCAACAAGTTACCAATGATTTCCACAACCATTGGTAACAAATAACTAAAACTACATGCATAAAATTACCGATGATTTCTACAACCATTGGTAACAACTAAAACTACAAGCAAAGATACCAATAATTTCTACAACCATTGGTAACAACTCAAACTACAACTAAAACTACAAAGAAAGTTACTAATGATTTCTACAACCATTGGAAACAACTGACTACAACTAAAACTACATGCACAAAATTACCAATGATTTCTACAACCATTGGTAACAACTAAAACTACAAGCAAAGTTACCATTGATTTCTACAACCATTAGTAACGACTAAAACTACATGCACAAATTTACCAATGATTTCTACAACCATTGGTAAAGACTAAGACTACAAGCATAAGTTACCAATAATTTTAACAACCATTGGTAACAACTAATTACAACGAAAACTACATGCACAAAATTACCAATTATTTCTACAACCAATGGTAACGAATTAGACTACAAGCATAAGTTACCAATGATTTTAACAACCATTGGTAACAACTAACTACAACTGAAACTACATAGAAAGTTACTAATGATTTCTACAACCATTGGTAACAACTAAAACTACGAGCAAAGTTACCAATGATGTCTACAACCATTAATAACAACTAAAACTACATGCACAAAATTACCAATGATTTCTACAACCATTGATAACAATTAACTACAACTAAAACTACAAAGAAAGTCACTAATGATTTCTACAACCATTGGTAACAACTAAAACTACAAGCAAAGTTACCGATGATTTCTACAACCATTGGTAACAACTAAAACTACAAGCAAAGTTACCAATGATTTTTACAACCATTAATAAGAACTAAAACTACATGCACAAATTTACCAATGATTTCTACAACCATTGGTAAAGACTAAGACTACAAGCATAAGTTACCAATAATTTTAACAACCATTGGTAACAACTAATTACAACGAAAACTACATGCACAAAATTACCAATTATTTCTACAACCAATGGTAACGAATTAGACTACAAGCATAAGTTACCAATGATTTTAACAACCATTGGTAACAACTAACTACAACTGAAACTACATAGAAAGTTACTAATGATTTCTACAACCATTGGTAACAACTAAAACTACGAGCAAAGTTACCAATGATGTCTACAACCATTAATAACAACTAAAACTACATGCACAAAATTACCAATGATTTCTACAACCATTGATAACAATTAACTACAACTAAAACTACAAAGAAAGTCACTAATGATTTCTACAACCATTGGTAACAACTAAAACTACAAGCAAAGTTACCGATGATTTCTACAACCATTGGTAACAACTAAAACTACAAGCAAAGTTACCAATGATTTTTACAACCATTAATAAGAACTAAAACTACATGCACAAATTTACCAATGATTTCTACAACCATTGGTAAAGACTAAGACTACAAGCATAAGTTACCAATAATTTTAACAACCATTGGTAACAACTAATTACAACGAAAACTACATGCACAAAATTACCAATTATTTCTACAACCATTGGTAACGACTTAGACTACAAGCATAAGTTACCAATGATTTTAACAACCATTGGTAACAACTAACTACAACTGAAACTACATAGAAAGTTACTAATGATTTCTACAACCATTGGTAACAACTAAAACTACGAGCAAAGTTACCAATGATGTCTACAACCATTAATAACAACTAAAACTACATGCACAAAATTACCAATGATTTCTACAACCATTGATAACAATTAACTACAACTAAAACTACAAAGAAAGTCACTAATGATTTCTACAACCATTGGTAACAACTAAAACTACAAGCAAAGTTACCATTGATTTCTACAACCATTGGTAACAACTAAAACTACAACTAAAACTACAAAGAATGTCACTAATAATTTCTACAACCATTGGTAACAACTAAAACTACAAGCAAAAAGTTACCAATGATTTCTACAACCATTGAGAACAACCAACTACAAGCAAAAAGTTACCAACGATTTCTACAACCATTGGTAACAACTAACTATAACTTAAACTACAAGCAAAGTTACCAATAATTTCTACAACCATTCGTAACAACTAACTACAACTGAAACTATATGTACAAAATTACCAATGATTTCTACAACTGTTGGTAACGACTAATACTACAAGCATAAGTTACCAATGATTTTAAGAACCATTGGTAACAACTAACTACAACTGAAACTACATAGAAAGTTACTAACGATTTCTACAACCATTGGTAACTACTAACTATAGCTAAAACTACATGCAAATCATTACCAATGACTTTTACAACGATTGGTAACAACTAACTACAACTAAAACTACAAGCAATTGCTACCGATGATCTCTACATCCATTGGTAACAACTAAAATTAAATACCACTAAAGGAAAACTTCTAAATTATATACCAAAGATTATACAATCATGCAACCGTAGGTTCCTGCGCGAGCAGAACTTTGCATTTGTCCGGTTTTTAATTAAATTAAACTTTATAGAAAAATTTTTTGTTTTGTTGGTGACGCACTTACGAGTCTTTTTATAAGGGTTTGGCCGTTATACAATAAAGGTGTACAGAACCCTAAAAATTGATAAAAGTATTATTTTTAATTTTTCCCGTCTCTTTTTTAGTGAAGAGAATTTTTTTTGTATTAAGTGTGTCAAGAATGAACTGCGTACGTGATATTTTAATGACAATTGATGCGCTACGTCCTTTATAAACTTGAAGATATGAAGTGTGAAAAATAGATTTGCTATGCACTATAATCATTACATTTTTTTTTACATCTGAGGTTACGACTTTAACCAGGAAATGAATAATATTTTAATTTTTCTATTAAGATATTTATAAAATTATGTTAATTTTGTCAATTTTTGATTTTCTTTTTTTATTTAGAAAAATATTATATTATTACTTTTTCATAGGATTTTATCATTATAAAAATATTCGTTTAGTAAACCTGCGATATATGAACAAAAGAGAGATGAGAATTTATATATTAAAATCAATACTTCCAATACATTCCAATTAAAATTTACCTCTATACACAAAATTTCACTATATATATATATTGCGTTTTATATTAATTATTTCACTTTATTGTAGGTAATTAAAATGAAAATTCTTCAAAAATTAAAGAATTTCAATTGATAATATTACAACAGAATTATGTCGATATATTCTAATTTCGAAAAATTTTTGTCCATTATAGCTCGGATACTGTTGATCCAATCAAAAAAGTGCTACATAAATTTTTTCTAGAGCACTTTTTGGATTGCTTACAGATGAAGCTTTCTTTTTTTTTAAAACAAATGTAGCCTGATACTTTAATTTAAAATGCAATTTCGCGCCCTGTAACTTTATGAAAAAGTAGTTCTTATTAGAGCAACTAAATGACGGTTACATTTTGTCTCCAAAGTTTCGAATGTTTATCAGAGGGTGAGAAATAATATCGCACAAGAAAGAAACAAGTGTAGAAAGTTTCATATATATATATACATATATATATATAAATAAAATCTATATCGAAAATTGCTTCACTATACTCTGCGGTATCATTGGATACACGATATAGTTGGGTACTATTGAAACACACATACACATATTTATCTTTTGTCATTGCATAACTCATTTCGCAAAATAAGAACCTATCAAATAGCAAACTCAACATCGTCAATTTCGTCTGTATATTATATATATATGGTATCGATTGCTCAAAGTGCTCCTTTTATATATATATATATATATATATATAAATGACAAAAAAAATTGTATTATAGGATAAAAGAATATTTTTTTATTCAACAATTTTTTTTTGTCACTTTTCAGTATTTTGAATAAATGATTTAGTTTTAGTAGAAATAGTTGGAAAACTACTGAATCGGTTCAGTAAAATTTACACTGGTATTCAGATATATTTCAGTGAAAATTAGTAGAGTTCTACTTTACTGATTGAAACAGTCAAATCTGTTTTACCGATTAATGATAATGCAGATTTGACATTCAATGAAAATTAATAGAATTCTTTACTGATTTAAATAGTTAAATCTGTATTATTTATTAATTAGTAAAAACAGATTTAATTGTTTCAATCAGTAAAGTATTCTATTAATTTTCAGTGAAACGTGATTGACTGTTCAAATCTGCATTATCATCAATCGGTAAAACAGATTTGACTGTTCAAATCTGCATTATTATCAATCGGTAAAACAGATTTGACTGTTCAAATCTACATTATAATTAATCGGTAAAACAGATTTGACTATTCAAATCTGCATTATCATTAATTGGTAAAACAGATTTGACTATTCAAATCTGCATTATCATTAATCGGTAAAACAGATTTGACTGTTCAAATCTGCATTATTATCAATCGGTAAAACAGATTTGACTGTTCAAATCTACATTATAATTAATCGGTAAAACAGATTTGACTATTCAAATCTGCATTATCATTAATTGGTAAAACAGATTTGACTATTCAAATCTGCATTATCATTAATCGGTAAAACAGATTTGACTGTTCAAATCTGCATTATCATTAATCGGTAAAACAGATTTGACGGTTCAAATCTGCATTATCATTAATCGGTAAAACAGATTTGACTGTTCAAATCTGCATTATCATCAATCGGTAAAACAGATTTGACTGTTTCAATCAGTAAAGTAGAATTCCACTAATTTTCAGTGAAATCTGACTGAATATCAGTGGAAATTTTACTGAACTGATTCAGTAGTTAAATTCCAACTATATTTAATCAGTAAAATCCCAAATTTAGAGAGTAGAATTAATTTTTAACGATTATTATTAAAATATACACAATTATTAATATTGTTAAGAGGAAAGCGAAAATTCTGATCGATTTAATTGCTGATCTAATCTCGCGCGTCATCTTTAATAGTTACTGAACGATTTAACAGACACTGAGGGCATCATCATTTCTTATACGGCTTCGTGCGTCATCGAGCTTTTCAAGATCGAGTGCAAATGCTGATGGATCTTTTCTTGCCGTGTGACAAACCCTCTGTAAGTGTACATATATATATATATATATATATTTCTTGGGAAGAAGAAGGTCGTGCGATCTCATGCGGAAGAAGAAATGAACAAGATGCTAAAACATCGATAAGAGAAGGAGAAGAAAAATACGATAGACGAACTAGAGAAGGCGCAATGTGTCACTGATACCATGCGGTCAAGTGTGAAGCCACTTGTAAAGTGTTACGTATTTATGTGTCCGCTTCTTTATATATATATATATAAAACATGACTTTAACTTCATACTAAATACCAAAGAAATATATATTACATCGCGTGACAAAATCCGAGTACACATTCAGTATCGAGAAGAACGCTCCGCGAAAAACACGTGCACACGCATTTTCATTTAATTAACATTTTTTTTTTTTAATTTTAAATTCTCTATTTTTATAATTTTGTAAAAATCACTGAATAATTTTCCTATTTAAAAACTGAAATAAAAAAAAAGAAATAAAATTTATATTGATATATTAAATTAAACAAAAACAAAAAAAAAATTATTCAATTATAGAGGGAAATTATTATTTTAATTATCATCGTATATTAATAACATGGTTTGATCGAGTTACTTGTACCTTGATTGAATTAATTAACATAAATTGGTTATCGTATAACCATATAATAATAAATAAATAATATATTAACAAAACAAAAGAAACAATAATTATAATAATGAAACCAGTGAGATGATAAAAATCCCAACAAATTGGATAAAAAATTACAAGAAGAAAAAAATATGATAAAATTGCAAATAATAATAGAATAATTTTATTAGTTATATTGTAAAAAATTAGCAAAAAAAAAAAAAAATGGAGAGAAATAAATTTATTTTATTCTTGATTGTGATGATAATTGGAATGATTGTAGTTGAAGGAAGTAATAGAACTTTTTATTCAAAACGTATAATAAAAAAAAAATTAACATCAAAGACCATAAAGAAAGATTTGAAAACTTTGAAAAAGCAAGAAGGTGCTCTCAAACTTGTGGACGGAGATAGAGGCATATTCGAAGGTATTTTTTATGTTTTTTTTTTTAATAACTTTTTTTTTTACTAACAAAAACCGTTGATTTAAAAAAAGTATAATTTATTTTAACTAATTTTATTAACAAATTGAAAACTATCAGAATTCAAATGTTAATTAATTAAAATTTGCATAAAATTTAAATTTACACTATCACTGATGAGAAATTAATTGAAACTATTTCAAAAAAAAAAAAAAACTACGAAATAAAAAAATTCACTGATATAAAAAAAAAACGTATTTTTGGGGAAAAAGTAATTTATAAATACGTGATTTTTATTTATAAATGTCGTAAATCTGTCTCTTATCTTTATTTCGTTAGAAAATTTTACTACTCTCCCATTTTCCATTTATATATATTTTAACGAGGAATCCCTTTACGCTTAGATGCAATTTCTTTTTCTGCACATGAGTTAAGTTTTATTTTTTTTTTTTCCTCAAGATTTTTGCTATTATTTTCAACTAAGCAAAACGAGATTTTCATACTTGCGCATACATATATATATATATATATATATATATATACATAGTTGTACTAAAGTTCTGCATTGAATACGTGTTGAAAAATTCTTTGTTAAAAAATTCAGCCCCTGGCGTGTGTTACTCACAATGAATGCAAAGTTTAAAAGTAGTATATTCGACATAGAAAAGGGGATATACTTTTCTGAAAACTAGCTTTCAAACTGGTAACTGCATTTATTTCTTTATGCATGCTATGCACTAGACTTTACAACAACAATATATATATATATATACATATCCACTAAAGCAGGTCTACTTTATATTGAAAAATTTAAATTTTTAATTGCTTTTTCTGCAAAAACAAAAAGAAATAAAAATCCCTTTCAATTTACATTGCTAGACATTTTTTTTTTTCTAAAATTTTATACTTCACATGTTTTGTATATGAGATTATATCTATTCAAAAAAAAGTAAAAAAGAGACTTGTGTAAAATTTAAACATAAAAAGAATTTTTTATTTTACACAAGAAAAAATTTTTTATTATTTATATGTTACACAAATTTTTTTTGCGAGAAATTAATATTTTTTGTTTAATTTTTATTAAATAATTATTTAATACAGGGAAAAATTGATATAAATTTTTGAAAAAGAATTGAATTTTTTTATCAAATATTTGTTAATTAGTAGTGTTCTAGTGTCTGTTTTTTATTTTGTCACACGATTTCGTTTGTTTACTCTCAATTCTTTTTTTTTTTTGTTTTTTTTTTATTGCATGTGTATTCAATCGTTAATTCATTTTTCCTTTATTTTCAATATGTCATATACTGCGCGATTTTATTTTTCATTGTTTCGAAAAAAAAACTTATTTTTCTTAATTGAATATTGTCAATAACTTCCTTCTGATAGTTTCATTGATATTTTTTCATTAAAAAAGAAAAAAAAATAATAGATAATTGAATTAAAAAAAAAAAATAAAAATTTGAAAATATAATTTTCCCGCGTGACTTACTGAGGTATTTTTGTAATTATTTTCGTTAATGAAACACACACATATATATATATATATATATATATATATATATATATATAACACAGGAATTTTGTGTTTAAAGTATTTGAAATAGTTGAAAATGACTTTTATTGAAAATTATGGCAAAAAATTTCACTGAAAATAAAATAGTAAAAAAAAAGAAAAAAAAAGAATAAAAGAGTAAAAGTGTATATTGAATATCAAAAGAGAATCTCGAGTGTATAGAAATTGTACACCTTTTTTTTGTGTATATTTATATAGGAAATATTTCTAATGCACGTTTTTTATGCTTCGCGCGATTTATGGAATAAGTTTATGAGTACATATATCGCTTTGATCAGCCGACTGTCATTGACACAAATCATCTTTGAATTGACCCCTTTTTTATTCCTCATAAAATACATATTAAATCGTTTTCAAAATCATTTACTTTATTGAAATCCATCGCAGACTTAATAAACGATTAATAGAAACTTCATTATACTTAATTTTCTATTATTATTATTATTATTATTATTATTATTATTATTATTATTACACTGAGAAAAATAATTTCGTAATAATAAGAAAATAATTTAGTTGAGCTTTTTTAGTTGGCGTTACTAAAATATGGTTGTCACAACAGAATAGAAAGTGGCAATAAATCAGGAAGTTTAGTTGGCTCTACCAAAAAATATATTTGAAGCTTTCATGTTTACGAACTAAATAGTTTGGTTCCCAGTACTAAATAGCTGACATGCTGTATTGCGCACGCGCTCTTCTCGTAAATATGGCGTCGCTTCCCATTCACGGGATGTCAACATTAACCATATGTCGTTCGCGTCGTGAAGTTTCAGTGTTGAAGTTTTTATGTTTTTCAGACATTTTTTAAAAAAAAAAGTTTGTGTAGTGAAAATAAATAAATAAAACTTGTTACAAGAACGAAAGTTTTTTTTCCAGCTTTTATACATTGTGAAAATGATTTAATCTCAAATTGTTAGTAGGATTCGTAGAGTAGTGGTCAGCGTTCTCGACTAGCGTTGCGAAGTCTGAGGGTTCGAGCCCCAGCAGTGTTAGGTTTTTTCCGCGATAGAAATTAATTTAAGTAGGCATAGGTAGGTTATATAAAGAGAAAAGGGTGAAACAAAAAAATAAGTTGGTTGAGAAAACAAAAAAAAAATTTTCATTTAACTAAATTTTTTGTTTGCTTAAAAACAATAAGTTAGTTGTGCAAAACAAAAAATTTGGTAGACCGAACAAAATGATTCAACGAAAAAATTTAGTAGCCCGAACCAAACGGATTAGTTGCACATATATCAAATAAAAAATTTGGTAGAGAGAACCAAACTTTGGTAGATGATACTAAACATTTTTCTCAGTGTATTATTATTATTATTATTATTATCATTATTATTATCATTATTATTATTATTATCATTATTATTATTATTATTTGTTTTCATTTTATTTTATTTATTTATAATTACTATAAAAATATTATAATTTAAGTATTTAATTTTTTTTTTAATTCCAGACTAAAAAAAAAATTTATGAAAAGTAAAATTTCGATTAAGTTAAAATTGAAATAAAAAAAAAACTATTGTTATTAGACATAATCTTGATCAATTTAAATTTGTTCTAGTCAATCAATTGCACTACACGTGCTCATAGTTATAATAAACGATATATAGAAATTCTCAGAAGTTGTTAGTATAAATTAGTTTTTAAAATAATTCTTAAAAAAAAAGGCAAATGAATAATTTTTTTTACTCATATATACATTTTTTTTTTATAAAAACTGAAAACAATAAAAATAAATTTAATTAAATTTTAATATATATTTTTTTTTATTTGTAACTTATACTTTTGATATAACCAGCTTGTTCCATTTGATTTTTTGTATTATATGAAAAAAAAAATAAAAAAAATATCCATCTCTATTGTTGTTTTAATGATATTACTGCTCGAGGCTAAAAATTCGAATCCTTTTTTTTATTTACGTGCAAAAAAGTTTTTACTCGTTGTTTCCTGATAGTGCAGCTTCTATATACATATATATATATTAAAAAGTCGATTGGAAATTTTTCATTGTATTTTAAATGTAACTTTTTTTCAATAGAGAGCTTCATTAAACCGCCGCGAGTTTCAATATATATATATATTTTAAAGAACAGGATTTCTGGTATATTCCATTTATTAATTTCCATTTTATAATTTCTATTCTTTCTTCCTTCTTTTTCTTTTTTTTTCTTTCTTTCTGTTTTTAGTGTAAAATACTAATTAATGAATTTAAAAATAATTATATACGCAAATTTTTTCCAGCATTAAATAATTTTAATGACTAATTTTACTTTTTTCATATTTAATTAAATAAGTAATTATTATCATCATTGTTTGGTATATTTGTAAATAAATATTTATTATAAATATATATTTATAAATTAAAAATTAATTAATATAAATAATTATTAATTTTTATTATAATAATTAATTTTATTAATTAATATTAAATTAATTAATTTATATAATAATTAATTAAATTTATAAATATTATATTTATAAATAATATTAATAATAAAATTAATTTTTAATGCAGGTAATGTTGAGATTCTTCATAATGGAAAATGGGGAAATATTTGTGATGATGAATGGGACGAATTGGAAGCAAAAGTCGTTTGCAGACAATTGGGCTTTGATAGAGCTTTAAGGCCCACTACAAATGGTCATTTTGGACAGGCAAGAAGTAAGAAAAAATATTTTCTTTTTGTTTAATATTGTCTATGTTCAAGTATATAAATAAATAAATAAATTAATTAATTAATATATAAAATTTAAAAATATAATAATAATATTTTATAAATCTTATAATTAATTAATTAATTTATAAATAATATATCATTTAATTAGTTAAAAAATTTTCCTTGCTTATTTTGATACCATATTATCACTAAATCTAATAATTTTGTAAAAAAAAACTCACCCCTCTGCTCTTTTGTGAATCGTCAATAATTGAATCCTTAGAATCTGGAAATAAATACAAAAAATTATTTTAAAAAATCCGTTATACTGTTTAATAATTCATTATATTTTGAAAAATTAATAATAATTAAATAAAAAGAAAATAAATTATTATTATTATAGGAAGGTTTTGGATGGATAATTTATATTGCGATGGAACAGAAGAGGAATTGTCACAATGTCGATTTGATGGATGGAGTAAGACTGATTGTAAAAGTGGAGAAGCGGCAGGTGTTATCTGTATGAATGACAAAGGGGAAATTGCGTCAGAGACAACTTTGAATTTTGTCCAATTACCTAAGATGAAAATTAAGGATCTTCATCAGCGAGGGATGGCCATTCGATTAACTGGAGGTAGTTCACCCAACGAGGGAAGAATTGAAATTAACTTGGGAAATCCAGGTAATAATTAACATCAATTTTTCACATTATTATTATTATATTTAAAACAAAAAACTCAAAATTATTTATTAAAAATAAATAAAATGTAGAATCCACTTTAAAAAAAACATTTTTGACAAATATTTCAAAAAAGGACCACTTTGTTTAAAGTAAAAAAAAATCAAATAACAAAAAAAATAAAACATTTTTATTCTACAGGTGAAAGTTTTCTTTTCCAATTTTTTTTTTTTTTTTTTAAGGATCCACTCCTTCATTTCGGAGACGTGATCCCCTTATACCTTAATTACACGTGAGTTGTAAAAAAAACTTTCTTCAAAACACGTACGACTCATTCTTTGCCACTAATGGATGATTCTAGGGCGAAGAATATAAGGAAGAAAATTCTCAATTCCCATTCTCATGTATGCGCTGCTTTATATATACCCAGGGGTATTTCCTTCATCACGAGGAATGATGCTCAACGTATCATGCATATATAAAAAAAAAAGTGTCTCTTTCTGTATTTTGCTCTCCGCGGGCCACCATTCTCGGTGAATTGAAAAAAAAAGTAATCGCGATTTTAACTCTACACTCGCACAATAGCAGTAATAAAGTATTATAAAAAAATATCTAAACGGTTATTATTAAAAATATTTATCCTCTATGATAAACAGAGTTTATAATAAATTGTTTATTCGTTAATCAAAAAACAACAAAAATCATAATTATTAGATTAATAATTACACTGAAACCCACATATATCGAAAATCAAAAATAGAAAAAAATGAAAAATACCGACACAGAAATCTAGCTTACCGACTGATGTTAAAAAATGTTTTTTTGAAAAATAAAAATATAAAAAATTACCGACCTAGAAATCTACCTTACCAACTGATGGTAAAAATTCCTGAGATATTCTAAAATAAATTTACCATCAGTCGGTAAGGTAGATTTCTATGTCGGTAATTTTTTATATTTTTCAAAAATCTGTTTACCATCAGTCGGTAAGGTAGACGTCTAGATCGAAGTTTTGATATTTTTCTTTTTAAAAAATTTTACCATCAGTCGGTAAGGTAGATTTCTATGCCGGTAATTTTTATATTTTCATTTTTACTTAAATAACACTGTTTTGCCATCAGTCGGTAACGTAGATTTTTATGCCGGTAAAATTTAATATTTTTATTTTTCAAAAATCTCTTTACCATCAGTCGGTAAGGTAGATTTCTGTGTCGGTAACTTTTTATATTTTTATTTTTAAAAAACGTGTTTTAACATCAGCGGGAAGGTAGATTTCCATGCCGGTAATTTTTATATTTTCATTTTTTTAAAAAAAAACCTGTTTTGTCATCAGTCGGTAAGGTGGATTTTTATGCCGGTAAATTTTTATATTGTCTTTTTTAAAAAACTGTTTTACCATCAGTCGGTAAGGTAGATTTCCGTGTCGGTAATTTTTATATTTTCATTTTTTTAATTTTTACCATCAGTCGGTAAGGTAGATTTCTGTGTCGGTAACTTCTTATATTTTTATTTTTAAAAAAACATGTTTTAACATCAGTCGGTAAGGTAGATTTCTAGATCGATTTGTTTATATCTTCATTCTTTAAATTTTTTACCATCAGTCGGTAAGGTGGATTTCTGTGTCGGTAATTTTATATATTTTAAAATTTTTTACCATTAGTCGGTAAGGTGGATTTCTGTGTCGGCAATTTTTTATATTTTCATTTTCCGAAATTTTTACCATCCGTCGGTAAGGTAGATTTCTAGGTCGGTAATTTTTTTAATTTAATTTTTCAAAATTTTTACGCATGGGGATCGAACCCATGACTTTTGATACGCAAGCCTCATACGCAGACCACACAGCCACTTTAACTTGATTCCATTTTATTATTTATTATATAATTATTATTATTACTTAATAATTAATTCTTAATTATTATGATTTATTATTAATATTTATTATTTAATAAATAATATTAATTAATTATTTATAATTAATTTCAAACACATTTAAAGCATATTAAAGAAATATTTTCTCAAAAAGTTGAACAATTTTAATTTCTTTTATTTTTGGTCTGTAAAAAAATGTTGATCAGTGTACAATTTTAAAATTGCCTATAAAATTTATTATTATATCATTGAAACTTTGTTATTATAAATGAAATAACGTTTTCTTTTTTTTTTTAAATAAAAAATATTAATTTGCATTGCAAATATTGATACCTGTATATATTTTGCAATGAATTCGCTTTTAAAATATTTACCTAACTCTGAATTTATTATACCATTGTTTGTTAGTTATTTATTCTGGCGAATAATGAAAAAAAAAACAAATATTTTCTTATTTGTACAATACAAATATTTTTCGTTGCATAAAATCAAAGAATTATTATTTGCATTAAGCTAAATTTTGAAATCAGTGAGATTTGGTTAAAAAATATTTTTTCAAAAAATAAAAAGATAAAAAAAAACAATTGGTAAAATTTAACTTAATTTTATATAGAGTGATTTTTATGTTCCGCATTTCCCTAACAAAAATTTTTTTAATTACATTTTTGTTTTTTGAAACAAAAAAAAAATGAGATAAAAATTTTTTAGATGGAACATTTATAGCATTATTATGATGTTGGTAAATACGTTTTATTAATTAAAGGGAAAAAGATGCTATTCTTTATTATCTAATGTATCATTTCCTATAAATATGGGGAAACATATTAATGTTACAGAAGGCTGGGGTGTTGTTTGTGGAGATGGATGGTCTCTTTTGGAAGCTGGTATGATTTGTCGTCAGCTTGGACTTGGTTACGCAGCAGAGGCAATTGAGAAAAATTTTTTTGGGGGACGACAATTTCCAATGGTCCTCAGTGGCATTGAATGTCAAGGAAATGAAAGAAATTTAGCTGAATGCCTACACGACAAGGTTGTAGATTGTCCAGGTACAATTTGATTGTACAAAAATAGAAAAAAAATATAAAAAAAAAAATTACCCCGATTTTTTATTCACTATTTTGAAAAATTATTCATTTTAATTAATGTTTAAAAGGATTAATTTTTTTGTTAATTGTTTTTTTGAATTTCTTTTGTTAATCTTTTTTTTTGTAAATTTCTATTGTTAATCATTTTTGTGAATTTTTTTTGTGAATTTTTTTTTTCTATACAATTTTAATCTGTGATAAAAAAAAAATTTTTTTTTGATTGAAGGTCCAGGAGAGAATGTGGCAGGTGTTGTTTGCACACGAGAAATAGCAGATCTCGTTTTTGATCATATTGAATTGATGAGAACAGCTCATTTGGAGGACAGACCTCTTTATTGGTTGCAATGTGCAATGGAGGAAAATTGTGTTGCATCGCGTGCATATAAAATACAACGCGAATCAAATACATGGCATTTGGAAACAAGACGATTATTACGTTTCACAGCGAGAACATTAAATGCTGGTACAGCTGATTTTCGACCATCAATACCAAAACATCTTTGGGAATGGCACATGTGTCACATGTTAGTAAGTTTATCCGACCCTTAATTTTTTTTTTAGAGAAAATAAAAATAATATCAAAATGAAGAAATTGAAAAAAAAAATTTCAAAGTCTATTATATTTTTTATTTTTTTTTCAGGCATTATCACTCAATGGAGGTGTTTGCGACCTTTGATATAATTGACTCTCATGGTAGACGAGTTGCGGAGGGTCATAAAGCATCCTTTTGTCTCGAAGACAATCAATGTATGCCAGGGGTTCAACAAAAGTAAATATATATATATTTTTTTTTTGAAATATTGATTTTCGAACAATAGTTCCAATTTTTTTTTCTTCATAATTTCGGAAACTATCCGCAAAGCAGCTTTCGGAATTTTTTTTTGCAAAATATTTCTGAAAATTTTGTTTAAATACAAAAGTTACAAAAAAAAATTACAAAAAATTTTTTTAAATTATTCTTTTTTCTCGTAAAAAAAATGAAAAAAATTTTTTCAATTTCTTTTCTTAGATATAAATGTGCAAACTATGGCGATCAAGGAGTATCAGTGAATTGCAGTGATGTTTACAAGTATAATATTGACTGTCAGTGGGTTGATATTACTGAATTGGAACCTGGAGTTTATACTTTCAAGGTATGCAAACATTAAAATAAAATTAAACTTCAAAAATTTTTTTTCCACACATTACCGATTATTTGAATCAAATAAATTTTTTTGTTCAGAGTACATTTTAATTGAATTGAGAATATCGAAAAATTTTCTTTTAAAATAAAAATACTAAATTTTTTTTTCTCGGCTATAAATAAGAAAAAAAATAGGGAAAATTTTTTTAAAAAATTACGAAATATTATTTTGTGCTCACGTTCTATAATTAAGTACTTTGAGGCCAATTTGTTGGGATTTAATTTGAATTTGAAAAGCCCAATCAGACATAGAAAGCAAAATGTGTTCACGATTCTCTGGTTTTCTACGCTGATTTCACCCACTCTCAATCTCTATTCCTCTCTATACATATATATATATATATATATCTATAGAGGGAGAGAGGAAAATTCTGAACGAAAGCCTGTCGATAACTGCTTTGTATTTTCATTCTTTTTTTTTTTTTTTGCAGGTTGCTGTCAATCCTGAATTTAAAGTGGGTGAAATGTCGTTCGACAATAATGCCGCTGTTTGCCAACTTCTCTACACCGAAACCTTTGCTTCTGTTCACAGTTGCGTTATGGCTCGGCCCTAGTTTAATTATTTTAATTTAATTATAATAATTATAAATATTCACTAATTCAAATATATATATATATAATTTAATAAAATAAAATATATCACTGAAACGAGCGCTCGTTAGAAAATGCTTTAACAATATTTGACAATAAACATTTTATAAAAATAAAAAAAAATTTCTCTATAAACCCTATTTTTTCATATATTAGTCAAAAATTAAGAAAATTCACAAAAATTTGATTTACAAAAAATTAAGTAAATTGTTAATAAACATATAGCAATAATAATAATAAAAATAATAATAATAATAAAAATAATAATAATAATAATAATAATAATAAATATATAATCGATTATAATACAAGTCCTTGTTTTGTAATCACAAAAGTTAAGCAACTTTCAGTCACATCAGTAATCGAAAGGTAACCCTAATTTTTTTTCTCGAAAGTAAAAACAAAAATGTAAATTTTTTTATTAGAAAAAATACAAAATTTTGTGTCTTATTTTTTGAGATCAATAAATTCGAGGTGACTTTTCTAACTCTCCTATTTTACTCTGTCAAGTATACTTAATGCATTAAAAATTGTTTACCTCATTAGATTTTACGACAATGGGGCGAATCGTTTAAGGGGTGTAATCTACTGAAGTCTATTATGAAGGCAATCTCGTCCAATGTGTTCAAACGCGTGAAAAAATACTCCAGTAAAAAGAATGAAAAAAAAAAAAAAAAATTAAAAATCTTACGCTTCGATGACCATTTTAAAATTAGTTTCCCTCTCAACAAAAATCAGTTCTCAATTTTCTTTTTTTTTTACTATGTTTTTTTTTTTACATTAATATAATAAAATTAAAACAATTACAATAATAAAAAAATAATAATAATAATTCAGGAAAAAACCTAGTAAAATAATTTTCCATATGAATTTCTTAAAATTCCCCGTTGTGTTATATGTACACATTTTGTTAATTACCAAAATTTTACAACATTATCTCGTGAGGATTAAAATGAATTTGCTCTATATGAGGAGAAATGTAATAATAAAAAAAAAAAAAGAGCAGCATAATGGCAAAAGCTGTTTTCACAAGATTAACTTGAATATAAAGGAAAGTGAGAAAAATATTCAGAGTTTAAAAAAAGAATAAAAAAAAGTATATAATAGGTTGCGAAGGATTAAAAAAAAATATTTTACTAAAAATAAAAAAAAAATTATAAATAAAATTTTTTGAAAATTTTTTTCTACAAAAAAAAAAAATCTTTTTTTTTAATTGAGAAATTTTTGGCGGGGAAAAAGATGCTTTTCGCGGAAAATGATTGACCCATAAAAAAAAAAAAAAAATGATACGAGATGGCAGGTCAATAAACGGATTTTTTTCTTTCTTTTTTTTTTTTTTGCAGGTAAAACCAGCCCCGGCTGTCAATTATTTATTTTTAAATGGCTGCACAATTCAACGTGAACGCCTAATGCGTTTAAAGAGACCGGGACAGCACAAATACGGCTTCCATTGGAGTAGATGCAGTCGAGCACCTGCCTCTCTCTCGGTCAGAACACTTCACTAAACTTAGTTACCAAATCATAATCACATACACACAGTGTATTGCTGATGCTGAATATGATGACCATCACAATACGGGTCAATATTCAAAGATACAATCCTATTCAATTATGATTTACAGAATTTCAACATCAAATATCTTTACAATAAATTTAAAATAAAAATAAATAAATGAAAAAAAATATATTTTCCCAATTAAATAAAATTTAACATTTCTCAAAATATTCAATAAAAAAAAATTAATAAAATTATTAATGAATAACAAAAAATAAAATTATTAATAATTATAAATAATAATAATAATTACGTAATTTTCTATTTTTAAATAATAATATATAAAAATAAAAAAATTACCCTCCATTAAATAAGAATAAATAATTTTCTTAAATGTTTGTTAAAAGTTTTTTAAAAGAGAAATAGTGTGTTTTTTTTGTTATCAATTTTTGTCAAAATTATATCAGTGAAAGTGTATAGTGTATTTTATTTATTTTTTTTTCTCACCAAAAAAAAAAAGTAGTAATGATAAGGCTTAAGTCAGCCGAGGAAGCAATTGGTTATAAAGTGTGTGTGTGTTGAAAGTGTGTATTATATCGATCAAACAGGAAAAGAAATGGTTGATAAAAAACAATTTTTCCCATTACATTTGAAATTTTTCAACAAAGTGATGATAATAATAAATTTGTAAAAAAATTTTTTAAACACGTTATTTTATTTTTTTATTTAATTTTTTTGTTTTTATCGCAAAAATGAAAAATCATTTAAAAAACATGCTTGTTCTAATTTTTTTGATCTTGAATTGTTTATATGGCTTCTCGGCCATTGAAAATGTCACGTGTGTAAAAAAAAACACGTTTCTGGAAACGAAGGGCAATGCTATAATCTCTGGTGAGAATTATAATTAATTGAATTTTTTTTTTTTTCTTTAAATAATTCCAATTATTCTTATTTCAAATTTTTTTAAAAATATTTTTGATAAATTAGTGTCATTTATTTTTACTATTATAATTATTAGTATTATTTTTATAATTCTCATTACAATTATTATATTAATTAATAATTATATTATTATTATTATTATTATTATTATTATTAAAATTATTATTATTCTTATTATCTGAATTGTTCTTTCAGTTTTTGTGGACGCTAATTACGGTCCGTATTGCAATGATTCATCATTAAAAGGTCATCAACAAGTTTCGACAGCTCTCAAAGTAATTGAGATTTTAAATAAAAATTCATATGTACCAGGAATGTCACTGGGTATGAGAAAACTCTTTTTTAAAAAACAACTATTCAGTATTTATAACATAAAAAAAAATTTACTTGATTCAAATAATCGGTTACTATTATCAAATAAATATTTATTTCGAAATAATTATTATTTAATTAAATGATAATTATTACAATTAAATTTTGTTTCAAATACAAAATTTATTGGTTCCAAAGAATTTCTGATGAGATTCCGACGGAATTCCGATAGAATTCCGTTCAATTCTTTTTTTAATTTTTAGAATCCTACATTAAGTGTATGACTCAAAAGATTAAAAAAAAATCGAATTTTCGTTGCTCTCTAAATCTGAATTAGTAAAAATGTTTACTAATTTGAATTAGTGACTCACTTTTTGCTTCTGAATTAGTAAAATTTTACTAATTATTAGTAATTTTTACTATCAATTAGTAAAATTTAACTATTTAAAATTTAACTAATTGATAGTAAAAGTTACTAATAATTAGTAAAATTTTACTAATTCAGAAGCAAAAATTGAGTCACTAATTCAAATTAGTAAACATTTTTACTAATTCAGATTTAGAGAGTGTAATTCCGTCGGAATCTCATTGGAATTCCATAGGAAATTCTTTGGAACTCAAATGAAATTCCAAACGGAATTCCGTTGGAAGTTTCGACGGAATTCTAATGGAATCTCCAAGGGGCACTTTCTCGGGAATCTTTCCAAATGGGTATTTAATTTAAATAAAAATTATTTACATCAAGTAAATATTTGCAAATTATAATTTTGTTTTAGGTATAAAAATCTACGACACTTGTCAGGATAAAATGCACGTTTACAAAGAAATTTTAATAATGGGAGCAAATTCAGAATGCACATTAGATTATAATTTGGGAATTTTAATACCTGAAATTTATAAATCAACACTAGAACCATTTATGGAATATAATCTATTGCCAATAAGTAATTATAAAATGGAAAATATGACAAAGCCATTAATTGATATTTTGGTAAATTTTTTAACAACAAAATACGAAGCCATTGATTTAGTATTGGCAACATCGCCCTATGTTCTTGGACGATTTTTAGATGTCAGCAAGGACAATGGACTTTGTGTCAAGAGTTACTTAGGTTTTAGTGAAATGGGAAACAGTACAGAACGTATTATTGTTGCTCTCGGTGGACGGGATGAAATTAAATCTTGGATTGAACACAGTGACGTGAGTGGAGGTATTCGAGAAACATGGATTGTTTTACCACTTGACGATTCAATTTTAGATGGTAAAAATAAAATTAAAAAAGAAATTAAAAATTTAAATTCCAATTTAGAGAATCCTGTTTTTTTTTGTAGATGTACTACCCGAGGGATCCTTTGTCATAAATACAGAAGCATTTACATCGAGTCAACAACAACAACAAGGAGAAGGAACCTCTTCATCTTCTCATTTAGAAGGCACTAGCAAGTCACTAATTCACTCACCTTACCTCTTGAGTATCGGCAAGGCCATTATCGAGGTCGCCCACGTTCTCCAAAGGCTTCGAGAAGCAACTTGTCCTCATCCTATTGGAACCTGCACATTACCACGTTTTGACCCCAATACACGAGAGGATTTAAGTAACTTGGAAACTTACGAAATTCTCGAAATCCCACATAAATCACAATTTCTCAAATATCACATACAACAAAATATTGATCATGAATATTTTATTTATGCCACCTATAAAATTAATCCCGAAACGCAAAAAATAACAATACAAAAAAATAAACATTCAAAAATGCCAAAATTATGCACAAATGAAAATTTAATAAATTGTGAAAAATGTGCCAATTTTCAAGAGAGAAACGCTGATGGCCTAGTGAAAATTAATATCGATAGAACAATATTAAAATCAGGTATATGGATACCAATTTATTTAACAATAATGGTTAGTGGAACATTTGCGTCTATTGTTATATTTATATTTATTATTTATCGTTATATTATCGATGAATCACTTGATGGTAATCCATTTTTAACAATTATTTTAATTCTCGGTACAATATTTATGTTACAAACAATATTACCATTTTGCATGAATGATGATTATATTGGTGCTGTGCATTTAAATTCAAGAAAAATATTTATCTCAACATTAGGGTTTGGTTTGATATTTTCAATTATGTTGTCAAGGGCATTTTTCTTGGCATTTTCAGTTGGTGGAATATTTACTGTTCACATCAATGGTTATCTTCAATGTTTAATGGTCTTTTTTATGTTCGGCGTACAGGTGGTAATTTCAAGTATGTACTTTGCCCTCAGTACTAGTGATCCGTCGGAAATTTTACGAAGTACCACATACATTGCACTATTAGGTTTGTATAATTTTCATTTTAAAGAATTTTATTTTATACATTTTTTTTTTTTTTTAAAAGGTCGTTACAGCATTTGAAAGTACTGATCTTTAAAATGCATTTTGTTTAAACAATCTTTATTTGATTCTGAATTATCGTCATTAAAATTTTCTCAAGTGTTGTATCAGATGCTTTAACCCCTTCACAGTCGATGACGTGTATACACGCAAGTAGATTTGTGGCTATATAAACAGACATATTTGTCCCAAAATTGTTACTCGGGGGTTTTCGGGGTTTCTGATTACTAATCCGATGTCAGTTTTTTAAAATTCAAAATGGCGGATCCAATATGGTGGACGACTTTTTCAAAATTTGATGCGATTCGCTAGAAAACTTATTACTCGGGGGTTGTCGGTGTCGCGGATTACAAATCCGCTGCCAGTTTTCCAAAATTTTGAAAATTCAAAATGGCGGATTGTTTTTTACTGTCTTGATTCACGTTTGTCATAGTCTGTACAGTACTGTCACTGTCTTTTCGTTGTAGGCGATTGACTGTCAATTGTTTTCGTCATTGCGTTGTTTCTGTGTCGAATGTGTTATTTTTATGCTTCTTTTCACTTTCAAAAATTGTCTCATCTCTGTTTTACTAAATCGATTAGCAATTGTTTTTTACAGTCTCGATTCTCGTTTGTTTTTGTCTGCCATTTTGAATTTTAGAAATTTTTTAAAACTGACATCGGAATCGTAATCAGCGACCCCGAAAACCACCGAGTAACAAGTTTCAAGCGAATCGGATGAATTTTTGAAAAAGTCGTCTGCCATATTGGATCCGTCATTTTAAATTTTGAAAAACTGACATCGGATTCGTAATCAGCGACGCCAAAAACCCCCGAGTATCAAGTTTCAAGCGAAACTGATCAAATTTTGAAAAAGTTGTCCGCCATATTGGATCCGCCATTTTAAATTTTGAAAAACTGACATCGGATTCGTAATCAGCGACCTCAAAAACCCCCGAGTATCAAGTTTCAAACGAAACCGATCAAATTTTGAAAAAGTTGTCCGCCATATTGGATCCGCCATTTTGAATTTTCAAACTCTGATGGAAGATTCGTAATCAGCGACCTCAAATACAATAGTATACTTGATTGCGCAAATTTTAGTTTTTAAATATGTTGGTGACATTTTGAGCCCACTTATGAGATTTGGGTCTCGACTGTGAAGGGGTTAAAAATTCAAAGGCTGTTATGATAGTTAGAAATCGGCCGATAAATATTTTTACTAAATATTATCGCGCGTCGATAAACATGTTACCGACCGCGGAGCACAAAGACGTAGTACCCGATTTTGCCACGCGGGCCGCATCGCCGAAGCTCACTCGCGTGCGCCCAGCCCACCGATCGGCTATATAAGCTGCGCTCTCGCTGAGGACCGTCACTCTCGTGCTACACGGACTCCGGGTGGGTCTTACCCCCTTGACTAGGAGTTTTACTCCGAAAATCTTTGTGGAGAGTTTTACTCTCGTTCATCGGGTTTTACCCGTCGAACATTTTATCGGTTTTAATGTATATAGTGTATAGTAACGAATTGTAAAATAATGTATCGCGATGTAAAGTAACGTAATGTATAGTAAAGAATTGTAAGTAACGTATCAAGATGTAAAGTAACGTAACGAATGTATAGTAAAAAGATGTATTCCCACAGTTTAAAATAGATTTTCCGTTCTTTTTACCGTTTTTAAGATATACTTAGAGTCTTACTCTTTGTATAATTGGAACACGAGTTTTACTCGTTGTTTGGCAGTATATTGCGAATTTTCGTAGTTTAAAGTAAATTTTCCGCTTTATTACCGTTTTTAAATCTCCGTTTTTAGATATACTTAGAGTTTTACTCTTTGTATAATTGGAACACGAGTTTTACTCATGGTTTGCCAGTATATTGCGAATTTTCGTAGTTTAAAGTAAATTTTCCGTTTTAGTACCGTTTTTAAGTTTTACTTAGAGTTTTACTCCTTGTGTAATTGGAACACGAGTTTTACTCATGGTTTGCCAGTATATTGCGAATTTTCGTAGTTTAAAGTAAATTTTCCGTTTTATTGCCGTTTTTAATCTCCGTTTTTAGATATACTTAGAGTTTTACTCATGATTTGCCAGTATATTGCGAATTTTCGTAGTTTAAAGTAAATTTTCCGTTTTAGTACCGTTTTTAAGTTTTACTCCTTGTGTAATTGGAACACGAGTTTTACTCATGGTTTGCCAGTATATTGCGAATTTTCGTAGTTTAAAGTAAATTTTCCGTTTTATTACCGTTTTTAATCTCCGTTTTTAAGTTTTACTTAGAGTTTTACTCTTTGTATAATTGGAACACGAGTTTTACTCATGGTTTGCCAGTATATTGCGAATTTTCGTAGTTTAAAGTAAATTTTCCGTTTTAGTACCGTTTTTAAGTTTTACTTAGAGTTTTACTCCTTGTGTAATTGGAACACGAGTTTTACTCATGGTTTGCCAGTATATTGCGAATTTTCGTAGTTTAAAGTAAATTTTCCGTTTTATTGCCGTTTTTAATCTCCGTTTTTAGATATACTTAGAGTTTTACTCTTTGTATAATTGTAACACGAGTTTTACTCATGATTTGCCAGTATATTGCGAATTTTCGTAGTTTAAAGTAAATTTTCCGTTTTATTACCGTTTTTAATCTCCGTTTTTAAGTTTTACTTAGAGTTTTACTCTTTGTGTAATTGGAACACGAGTTTTACTCGTGGTTTAAGTTTTACTCTTTGTATAATTGGAACACGAGTTTTACTCGTGGTTCACCAGAGTATCGCGAATTTCCGTAGTTTAAAGTAAATTTTCCGTTTTATTACCGTTTTTAATCTTCGTTTTTAGATATACTTAGAGTTTTACTCTTTGTATAATTGGAACACGAGTTTTACTCGTGGTTCACCAGAGTATCGCGAATTTTTAGGCAGTATTACAATTGATTTCACGGCTAATCGCAGCGAGCTGAAGCCGATTTCGTTGATGCGCGGCTCAAATAAGCGACGTTACCAGATTGATGCCGATTCTCGATTCCGCGACTCAACGTATCGCGATAGACGCCGACAATCGTTGTGTGAAACCAACTTTCGCAATTTATCTATACGCCTGTATATTTTTCACCTGTAAATTCCGTTGTAAATAAATAATTTGTTTCAGTTTGTAATTAACCCGTAATTATCCTGTTATTATTTTTGTTGGAATCAAAACGAACTCTGGCTCGGCGAGCTAAAATATTGATTCTTACAATTACAAACTTTACAAGGCAAATAAAGATTTTTTAAACAAAATACATTTTAAAGAATAGAATAGTACTTGCAGATGCAGATTAGAATACCTCAAAAATCTGACGACCATTTTACCGGCCTGTAAATAATTTTGATTTCAAAAATGTAAAATTCTTTTTCAGGCTATGATATATTTCTTTTGGCATGCCTCTTGATTGTCAGCTGTTTTATAACTCAAATACAACGAAACTACAACGAGGGAAAATGCTTTTTTGGAACAGTAATTGGAATTTTGATTGTATGGACAATTTGGGTGACATGTTTCATTTTAATGGATTCATCTGTACGGGATATTATTGTTGGTTTTGGTATTATTGCCACAGCATATCTTATTATTATTGGCATTCTTATACCACGAACCTATTACATGGTAACACATTTATCGAGGGATAAGAATTTTGTGCAAAGATTCGATCCCACTGATCTTGGACCAGACCCAAGAATGAACACTATGGCCAGACAGGTAATGTGTGTTCCACTTTTTCCTCTCCAATATATAACATTACGTGCAATGTTTGTTAATTCAATTCCATTAAAATTTCACCCATTTCCCAAAAAAAAACAAAAAAGTAGAAATAATTTTTAATCTCCATTTTTGAGATATTGTGTCTTCTTCTTTGAGTTTTTTTCGAAAGGTCTTTTTTCAAGTCTTTTGTCTCATTAATCCAAAAAAGATTTTTTCATTCTGAAAAACGGAAATGAATTTTTTGTTGAGTTCAAAACGTTTCAAAAATGTCATCGTTTTTTATTTTTTTCTTTGTCCACAATTTTTCGTGACTCCTTTTGTTCTTACGGAAAGTAATTTCCACCTCTCGTTGAAAATACTTTTTTTTCTCCTTTTTTCGCAATCTCAGTATAATGTTCCTCTCTTTATTTTATTATCGTCCTTCGCCTTTAACGCCTGTAAGACAGAAAGTGCTCAATCACCAAAATCCTCTTTTCTGTCGTCGAGTTTATATGAAGTAAGAACGCACCTTCTATATAGAAAATCTAAAGCAATTTTCATAATAATGACATTGAATTCGATATATATATATATATATATATATATATATATTTAATCATTATCTTCTATATACGAGATTTAATTATATATGAGATTTATCAATTAATCACTCTCATGCGTCAAAGGATTTAATTATGAATTTGTAAGATCCATTAAAGGATAGGTACATTTTGACAAACACTAATTACTTCCATTTTTTTCAAACTTTTTAAGATAATTAGCAAACAACGATTTTGCTAATTACTTGCGTTATATCATATGTGCGAGAAAAAAAATTCATATATATTTTTTAATCAAAATTATTTCTTTTAGTGCACAATTTTTCAGAGTATATTTCTAATTATAATCCCATCTAGAATTATATTTAAAAAAAATGTTTCTACAAACATTGAGGGGAATATGTTCTTTTTTTTTGTTTGAGAAAAAAGGTAAAAAACTTTTTTTTTCTTTGCATAAGCTTGCTTCGGTATTCTACTTATGCATATTAATGAATATGCAAAAGACTAAGCACCTGAGCTACAAAACTGACTTATAAGGTGTATATATATATACTGTTAGCTAAAAGACAAATGACCGACTTTTCCTTTTTGATTTTTTTTATATCCTACAAAAGACACGTGTGTATGTGTGTATATATATGTTCTTCTTTGAAAAATTGAGAAAAACTCTTTTTCCACTCTTGTGACACAACACTATGTACTTTTTCATGATTAAACGTTCTCAGCGAAAAAATTATTCGATATCGAATTACTCAAGCTGAAAGGCTGACTACAGGGTTCCGAGATCTTTAACGAAGGAAGAAAATTTTTTTTTTATCATCAATGCTTTATATTTAAGAGAATGTTCGCACGTCATTTAAAATTTGTTATTTTTTTCTTTCGTTTTTGAAAAATTTCATTTTAATTGGATTTTTATCAAAAATTCGTATTTAAAGAATAATTTACAGTGAAACCCACGTATATCGCATTTCAAGGGACCGACTAATGGTAAAAAAATGTGGAAAATGAAAATATAAAAAATATCGACACAGAAATCTACTTTACCGACTGATAGTAAAAAATTTTGAAAAACAAAATATATAAAAAAAATTACCGACGTAGTAATCTACCTTATCGACTGATGGTAACTCAGTTTTTGAAAATGAAAATATAAAAAATTACCGACATAGAAATCTACCTTACCGACTGATGGTAACTCAGTTTTTGAAAATGAAAATATAAAAAATTACCGACATAGAAATCTACCTTGCCGACTGATGGTAACTCAGTTTTTGAATATGGAAGTATAATAAATTACCGACATAGAAATCTACATTACCGACTGATAATACAGTTCTTTAAAAATAAAAATAATTACCGACATAGAAATCTAATATACCTTACCGACTGATGGTAAACTTTTTTTGAGGAAGTTCTAGAGATTATTTTACGATCAGTCGGCAAGGTAGATTTCTATCGGTAATTTTTTATATTTTTGTTTTTCGAAAAATCTGGTTTACCATCAGTCGGTAAGGTAGATTTTTATGTCGGTATTTTTTATATTTTCATTTTTCAAAAATCTGTTTTTACCATCAGTCGGTAAGGTAGATTTCTATGACGGTATTTTTTATATTTTCATTATCTTAAAAAACCTGTTTTACCATCAGTCGATAATGTAGAATTCTATGTCGGTAATTTTTTTATATACATTTAAAAAAATAACAAATCTCTGCAAAGATTTTATTTATTAATTTAAATGCTTCTTTTGTATGAAATAATTTTGGAAACATTAAATACTCTTTCTTTTTGTGTTTGTTTTCATAAAATGAATGTAATTTCCAATTAGTTTGTTTTGAATTGTATATTCATTTTATGATTTATTAGAGCAAAAACTATATATATATGTATAGTTTGTAGCTTTGCGAATGCAATTTCCCGCCAAAATCAAGTGCCACTTAAATTTCATTTAGCTTGTAAATGAAAAGCCATTATTGGTGGAATTTAATGTAACTTTGAATATGAAATAACTAGGTCACGAGGGAGCTTTTGATTTTGTCAAATGAATATTTCCACTTGTAAAATGGATCACTTTTCCTCCTTAATATGTCAAGAAAAATGAGTAATCACCACAAAATATTCTTGCATCAATATTTTCTTTGAAAAAAAAAATATATAATTTTTTTCTTTGAATGTAATTTATTAATAAAAAAAAGGTTTTTCTTTTCTTTTAAATTAACCTTTTTTTTATTAATAAATTAATATAAATATTGATTTAAATAATGAATAAAAATTATTGATTTTATTATTATAGTTTAATAATTTAATTATATTATTTATTTAAGTAATAAAAAACAAATGTTTTGTTTAAAGGCATTGGATTTACAGTCACGTCATCCATTTTACGATTATGTACGACCTAGTGTCGATGGTATAAGTAACGCGGGCAATTTTCGAATACCAATGTATCCTAATTGTTATGGCAGTGTCAGCCCTTATCTCACACAACCCGTTCGTAATAATAGAAGTCCCACTGAGCATCAAAGGACGCCAGGGTACAATAACTATGGTTTCCATCCTGAAATGCGTGAAGTGGAAAATGCCTACGTTGTACCTCGTGTCTGCATTGAAAACACTGAGGTGAAATTTTTTTCCATTTTCCAAATTACTTTAATTATTGTGAGAAATTTCTCAATAAAAAAAAAATTTCTTTCCTTCAAAAAAGAGGAAATGAAAAATTTTATTTTTATTATTAATTGTTGTGTTAATTTTAATTATTTAATTCAAAAATATATTAAATATCAATTTTTTTAATTACTAATTGAACTAAAAAAAATGAAAATAATAATTTTGTTTTTCATAAAATAGAATTAAAAAAAAAAGGTGTTTCAATTTAGGGTCGCAGGAGCCCATTCGAGAGGCAAAATCTCGACGTCAATTATGGAAATGATAGAAGAAAAAATATGACTCGAGATGAAAAGGATTGTATTGAAACGGAGGTTTATGTTGAGGGACGCATCATTCCTCAAAAGAAGGGACCAAATGAAAATTATCCATTGAGATGTACAAGTCCAAGATTGAATCAAATGGAGGCAACAATACGTGAGGAGGAGGAAAATGATATTTCAAGAATTACACGATTTTAAAATTATAATTATTTTCAAGAAACAAATTTTCTTTTTTTCTAAATGTAATTCAATAAAAATAAAAAACAATCATTTATAAATAACGACTACACGGTCTAATTAAAAAAAAAAATAGAATAAAGAAATAACTAAAATTGATTTTTACCACAGAAACTTTTACATTAAATAAATATTTATTTAAAACAAATACAAATTTATTTAAAACAAATAAATATTTATTTAAACCAAATAAAATTTATTTAAAGTAAATATAATTTATTTTAATTAAATAAATATTTATTTAAACCAAATAAATGTTATTTAAAACATTTACAATTTATTTTAAATAAATTAATATTTGTTTAAAACAAATACAATTTTTTTTAAGCAAATAAATATTTGTTTAAATCAAATAATATTTATTTAAAACAAATAGAATTTATTTTAATCAAATAAATATTTATTTAAACCAAATCAAATTTATTTAAAGTAAATATAATTTGTTTTAATTAAATAAATATTTATTTAAACCAAATAAATGTTATTTAAAACATTTAGAATTTATTTTAAATAAATTAATATTTGTTTAAAACAAATACAATTTTTTTGAGCAAATAAATATTTCTTTAAATCAAATAATATTTATTTAAAACAAATAGAATTTATTTTAATCAAATAAATATTTATTTAAAAGAAGGAAATATTTATTTAAATGAAATAAAAGTTATTTAAAATACCTAAATAAATATTTATTTAAAACAAATAAATGTCTTTTATTACTTAAAAAAAAAATTATACAAATTAAAAAAAAATTCTCTGACTAAAATTAATTTTTTAATTATACTGATCTAAAAAAAGGGTAAATAAATAAAAAAATAATAACAAGTGAATTTGCAGCTTAAATAATATCGAAATAGTTTTGTCAGAAAAAGAAAGTAACTTTAGGGGGAGACGGCTTTTTCCTGTATATATAAATCGTGTTAAACGCATCGTAATTTCCCAATCAGAACGCAGGTGCGTTATTCCCAGTGGAGATAGGAAACGTAATAGCACTTTCAAAATCCCAAGAACTACATTGGGACCAAACACACAATAATTTCCTATAAATTTTTTTTTCTTTTTTCCCCACAATAAATAATTAAATAATAATTTTTTTAAAATTAACTTTTTTTAAACTTTATTTTGTCTATAAAAAATGATAAATGGAAAAATAAAAATTGATAAAAAGGAAATTTGTGTGATGAAAAAAAAAAAAAAAGTGAGGGCAATATATTAGTTTCAGTTCATGGCGTCACCATATGATCATCTTATGAGTGAGAAAAAGTCTGTTGGTTAGCGATAAGCAGGCGCGATCGAAATAAATCGAAAAATGCAGGGATTCGTAAAACGAGACGATCTATGAACAGGTACGCATGCTCAAGACTTTAAAAAAAAAGCTATAAAAGTACCCTGGAAATCTGTACACATTTCAGTGAGAATGTGAAATCTGCGTGGAAGTGTTCCTGATAAATAATAAATATTTTTTTTTACAAAAAAAAAAAAATATAAATTTATTACACCAAAAAGGTGTTTAAAAAAAAAAAAAATTGGTGATGTCTTAATAATATCGGTGATATTTTTAATAATCATGTCGTCAATCGAAGGGGCAAAACATTTGAGAATTTTCATTGTTACTATTGTCTATCTTAGTCTCTTTTTAGATAATGTACTTCTAACAGTAGTTGGTAAGCTTCAGTCAGAGGAATATTAACAGACAATTAAATTAAAATTTTAACAATTTTGAAAAAAAAGAAGAATTTTTTTCTTTTTCTTTAATCGACTAATTTCCTTTACGACCAAGAGTATTTTTGGGTAAACGTGTATACATGTATGTCTCTAAGGTTATATTTTATTCAAACAAGTACATTTCGCGTGTTCCTTTCTTTCCCTACTGAAAAATAAATTCAAGAAACTATGAAATAAATATTATGTGCTTTTATAAATAAATTATTAACTTCACTGAAGGAATACTTAATAATTCCTTTCTTCCACATATAAACGCCAATTTAAAAAAAAAAAATTACTGTGACATAAAAAAAAATTGGAATTTTTATTATAAATAATAAAATTTATTAATAAATAATAAAATAAATTTCGAAAATTTTTTCAAAAAAAGGTAATATAAAAAAAAGAATTTTTGTGAAAAAAATTGAAAAAAAAAAAAAAAAAATAAGACGCGCACGTATAAAAGTTAATCCATTGATTCTCATTCAGTTGAAATATAAAGTAATAGCATCTGAAAGAAATGTCTATTTCAGTGCCCATCATTCCGGATTATCTGCACACACTCGAAGGTAATTCAAGTATTGTCAACTCTGAGGATGAAAATGGTCGTGTGGGATTATTGCTAAGCTCCAAAGCGTTCATTCAGTTAATTTTAAATCCTGCTGTGGGAATTTTTATTGGTACCACAGGATACGCTAAACCATTGTTCTTTGGGAATATGTGCCTACTTATTGCAGCATTATGTAAGCTCATATTAATTTTATTATTAACCATCGTAAATTTTTTCTGTGTCTGACATAAAATAAAATTTTTTTTACTACTTATATAAAAATTGTGCGAAATTAAAAATAAAATTAAAAAGCAGTACTGATATAATACTAATTTTAAATAAAATTAATAATTTTTGATTGTAAACAAACTTTACAAAAATTTTATTATTTTTGATCCGTTTGACTAAAATTTGTTTTTACTATTGCTATTAATAAAACAGATTAATTATCTGTTTGACTGAAACTAATTTTTACTATTAAAAATAAGAGAACTTTTTTTCCAAATATCCCTGGCTGACTAAAATTTGTTTTCACTACTAGTATTAATAAAAAATAAAATTAAAAAATTTTTACTAATTAGTAATAATCTATTTTTACCACTTTAGAAAATTTATATTAATTAAACATTTTTGTCTAACTGCAACTTTTTTTTACCACTATGGGGCCGTCCATAAACCACGAAGCCCAATTTTTGGCACTTTTTGACCCCCCCTCCCCCCATGTAGACCAACGTAGACTTTCGCTCTAACCCCCCCCCCTCCACTGGTAGAACGTATTTTTTTTTACTTATTTAAAAATGTATTTCCACTGAATAGATAACAATTTCCAATAAAGAGAATTCAATTTAAGAACACATAAGGAATTTTAATTTTTTATACTAATAATAATAAATAATAATAAAATAATAATAAATAAATAATAATAATAAATAATTTATACTAATGATTTTTTCAATAAATTAAATTCTCTTAAATATGCTTTTACACACTTTTTAATACCTGAAGGCATTTAAATTTTATTTAACAAAAATTTCATCTGTAAGAATATTACAACTGTTTTTTAATAAGAAAAAATTACTTTTAATGAAAATTTTACGTTATATAATTTTCAAATTATATAGTAATTCGAATAATTAATTAATAATATTAACATTACATAACTTTTAATTTCTATTAAAAATTAATTCTAATAAAAATAAATTTAACTGAAACATTCAGTTTGTTAAAATGAAATAATAATGTATTTACCATTTTATTTTGGCAGCAAAATCGACAAAGTGAAATTCATTCTAATAATTATGATAAATAAAAATATAGCTAATTAAAAATTTCAATGAATGAAAATTTAGTAAATTGTAGAATTCTTAATTAATAAAAATTTGTTTACAAAATATTGTTTTGCATTAATTTCTTTTGATTAAGTAATATTTCTCTAAAAGCAGGTGATTTTGAAACACTAAAAATGCAATTTTATAATTTTCATAGCATATTATTCGTGAGACCTAATTATTTTTTTTATTTTCATCAAGTTTATAATAATCATTTTAAAATAATTTATATATGTTTAATTTTACAAAAATTCTACTTTATATTCATATATATCGCTCAATTCGACATTGGAATTACCCGCGCAATTTAAAAAATATCAAAATAAATGACTTAATAAATATAACTACGTAGTCATGGCTCGAACCCCTCCCCTCCCCCACGTACTTTACCGTAGAATTTCACTGAACCCCCCCTCCCCCTCCCCCTAAACTGGCTACGTGGTTTATGAACGGCCCCTATGATCAAAAACGATAATTTCTTGATTAATAGATTTTTAAAAACCGATTTTTTTCTTTGTAATAAATAAACCCAAGAAGCACGTAATATAACCTCAATATCAAGGTAATATTACATGTAAGATTCGTAATATAACGTTGTAATATTACAGTAATCTTACAGTGATCTTAAAATGTCCGGCTCAAGGTAATATTACCGGTAATGTTACTGTAATATTACGCGCTAATATTAAGGTAATATTACAGTAATATTGCAGTAATATTATACCGTAATATTAAGGTAATATTACAAGAGAATATTACAGTAATATTATGGGAACATTTCTTTACGAAAAAAATCTACCCATCCAGGGAATCGAACCCCGAACTCAAAGCACACGAGTCTAGAGTTTTACCAACAAGCCAAGTTGACTTATAATATATTTACGTTTTTTATGCTTTATGAATAACTCAAATCAGTCTGTAATATTACTGTAATATTACTGTAATATTACTGTAATATTACTGTAATATTACTGTAATATTACTGTAATATTACCGTTAATATTACAGTAATATTCCCGGTAATATTACCTTGAGGCGGACATTTTAAGATCACTGTAAGATTACTGTAATATTACAGCGTTATATTACGAATCTCATGTGTAATATTACCTTGATATTGAGGATATATTACGTGCTTCTTGGGAATATATATATAGGGTAAATGTCCCAATTACTGTGATGTACAACCCAAGACTGACTTTAATGATAAAATAATAAAAGTGTAAATGAAATAATGATTTAATTCTTTTTGTTAAATCACTATTAGTGTCTATTAAAATAGAAACGATATTTTAAACTTGAAGAAATAAAAAATATATTATTAAAAATATTAACTTTTTTCAAAATGGCATATGCTGGTATTACTGCAAGTTTGTATGAATTACTGCAACGCTAAAAGTGTTGATTTAGAGGTTAGGTTGACTGGATAGACCACAGTAATAGCAGCATGAGAAAAATATACGCATGCTCTAATTACTGTGATCACAGACAATTAAAAGGTATTAAAATAAACTGCAACGCTTATTATTTTAATCCAATTTTGCTTATTCCCAGGTAGAAAAATTAACATTACTAACGTTATTAATATTACTAACGTTACTAATGTTACTAACGTTAGTACCTATAAAAAAATTAAGAAAATGTTTTTAAATTGTATTTTTGCAGAAACTTGTCGAAAATCGACCACCAGGAAGTATTTAATGTTCTTACCCGCATTTTTTTATAATTTTCATTTCTATTATCACTTCCACTTTTTAATTTTCATTGCCATTTTCACTTCCACTTTTTCTAATTCTCATTCCCATTTTCACTTTCACTTTTTATAATTTTCATGCCCATTTTCACATCCACTTTTTTATTTACATTACCACTTCCACTTCCACTTTTTCTAATTCTCATTCGCACTTCCATTGTGAGAAAGTGAAAGTGCAACGTGAATGTGAAATGTGAAAGTGTGAATGAGAATTAGAAAAAGGTGGTAGTGGCAATGAATATAAAAAACTGAAAGTGGAAATAGGAATGTGAATGAAAATTAGAAAAAGTGGAAGTGTCAATGAATATAAAAAAGTGGAAGTGAAAATGGGAATGAAAATTGGAACAAGTGAAAGTGGAAGTGAAAGTGTGAATGAGAATTAGAAAAAGTGGTAGTGGCAATGAATATAAAAAACTGGAAGTGGAAATAGGAATGGGAATCAAAATTAGAAAAAGTGGAAGTGTCAATGAATATAAAAAAGTGAAAGTGAAAATGGGAATGAAAATTGGAACAAGTGAAAGTGGAAGTGAAAGTGTGAATGAGAATTAGAAAAAGTGGTAGTGGCCATGAATATAAAAAACTGGAAGTGGAAATAGGAATGGGAATGAAAATTAGAAAAAGTGGAAGTGAAGTGGGAATGAGAATTAGAAAGAGTAGAAGTGAGAATGGAAGTGCGAATGAGAATTAGAAAAAGTATAAGTGGAAATGGGAATGGAAATTATAAAAAGTTTAAGTGGAAGTGAAAGTGGTAATGGGAAAGTAGTGTCAAAGTTTCTGTGAAAATATATTTTAGAAACTCTTAATTTTTTTATAGATACTAACTTTAGTAACATTAGTAATGTTAGTAACGTTAATTTTTTCACCTGGGATTTTAATACCAAAATGGATTAAAATGAGCAAAATTGGATTAAAATAATAAGCGTTGCAGCTTATTTTAATGCCTTTTAATTTTCTGTGATAGGTTCAATTGTAACTTGAATAAATAATTTAATAATTTGTCGAAATATGCATCATTAGTGGATATAATATCAAATATCATTTGGAATAAGTTTTAAAGTCATTTTGAAGCAGTTTTATGTTCTCAATTATACTAAGTTTTACTAATTTTATAAAAATCGCAGTAATTGACGCATCAGCAGTAATTCATACACTTACCCTATATATATATATATATATTTTGAAAAGAATGTGAATCTCGATATGATAAACTGCATAGTATTCGCCTTTGGACAAACGTACGAGGTGCTTTTCTTGGCAAGAAGCATTCAAGGCATATCGTCAGCTTGCATCGGAGTGTCAGGAATGTCTTTGCTGGCATCTCAATATCCAGAAGAAGACAAAAGATCAAAGATTATGGGATTTGTCCTTGGTAGTATAGCTCTTGGTGTTCTTCTTGGTTATCCAATGGGCTCTATACTTTACGATCTTGAAGGAAAAATGGCACCATTTTTACTTGTCGCAAGTCTCATTGTCATTTCGATAAGTGAGTATCAATTTTTTCTCTCTCTTCTTTCTCTCACTTTAATAATTTCATTTATTTAAATAATTTTTTGAAACTTTGAAAAAATTGAAAATACAGTCTTCTTAATTTTTTTTTTTAAACATATTTTTAAAAAATATATTTAAAAAGAAAGTGAAAAATGTTTAGAAAATCGAATAAAAAATTTTGTAGTCAGATTCTCTTCTTTTTCTTCTTCTTTTTTTTCTCGTTAATTCCTTGATCCGATATTCAATACCTTTCGCTTCTTTAATATTATATATTTAAAGCCATTAGAATTGAAATCTCCTTTTTGACTTCGACAATATATTGTAGAATTCACTTTCCTTTCGACGAGTAATCAGATTTTTCAATCTACCTTCTCTCAATACCGAACACTTTTACTATATATTTATATATTTCCTCTTGATTATCTCATCTATTGTTAAATTTCCCCTTTCAATATGAAAAAAAAAAAATCATATTAATTCACAGGTCTTCAGATCTTCACTTTAGATTTCGAGTCTGATATCCAGGTGATTACTTCCATGGCAATAACGATCATCAAGTATGATTTATCACTTATTGATACAGAGACAAGTCACAATTTCTTTTTTTTGAAATTTTTTAATTTCTTTCATTTTTTTTTTTTTTATAATTGCACTCTGCGATTTTTTTTTTAAATAGATTTTCCTTGATAAATTGTCGAAATAAAATTTTCAGAAAACAGAAAATAATTCAAGTTGGACACATGTTTTATCAGATTCGCGAATTCTTATTATTGCCGGTGCCATTTGGTTCTCGACATCACCAATGGCAATTTTGGAACCATGTTTACCAATTTGGTTAAGAAATCACATAAAAGCCAAGGTTAGTGCAATTTCATGAACATAATCACAAACTAAAAATTTATTTCTTATAAATAAATTTTAATTTTAAAAGCATAATTTTCAAAATATAATTTTACGCAAAAATTCTTTAATAATTATTTCAACATTTTTCTTTTTAAATAAAATTTTTTATAATCAAATTTTTTTTTTCGTTTTTTTTTTTTTTTTTGAAAAAAGGTTATTTGAAAATTTCTTTTTACATCAAAAAAGAAGTATCTCAAGTTTTTCAACATTCTCGTAAATTTTTTTTCTATATATCAATAGAAAATTTTTTTATATCCTATAACATTTTCTTTCTTTTTTTTGAACTAAAAAGATTTTAGTTCTTTTTTTATTTTCTTAGATTTTTTATATATAAAAAAAGTTCGTTTCTATTTTTGCAGAAATGGCAATTGGGAACAGTTTTTATTCCTGACAGTGTTGGTTATTTAATTGGGACAAATTTTTTTGGAATGATCGCCTATCACTATGGCCGTTGTAAAATTGCTGTTTTGGCAATGATTGTCGTTGGCATTAGTGCTACTTTGGTACCAACGGCTACTACAATGTCACAACTCATTATTCCTCATTTAGGTATGGGGTTAGGTATTGGAGTAGCAGACGCTGCTTTGGTCCCTTTATTAGCCAGCCTGGTTGATCAAAGTGGCAATTATGGTCTAGTTTACTCTATCCAACAAGCAGCAGTCAGCCTGGCTTACTCACTGGGTAGGTATTGTGATATACATGTTTATATATCAAACTATACAACCCGAATATGTAAATTGCACAGTTCAATATCCAGCATATCATATCTCACCCAATTTATACTGTTGGCGATTTTTAGATATTTTCAAAAAAAAAATTTTTAATTTCAAAATAATTAAAAAAAAAGTTGACTAAAATTTACTTTTACTACTATAATAATAATAATAATAATAATAATAATAATAATAATAATAATAATAATAATAATAATAATAATAATAATAATAATAGAAGAAAAATTTATTTTCTAATTGTCTGACTAAAATTGATTTTTACTACTTATTTACGCCTGGCATGAAGTAAACATAATGTCTGACCAAAAATTGCCTTTTACTACTGAAAATATTTAATGGAAAAATTCAAATTGTCCTGGCTGACTAAAAATGACCTTTACTACTATTTTAATGATTGCTCTAAGTCTTAAACTAGCTTTTACTACTGAAACAAATTTTTTTAAAATGTCTGACTATTACGAACTTTTACTACTGATTTGCGAATTTTACGATTTTATCTGACTAAAATATTTTTTTTACCACTGGTACTGATAAAATAGAAAATTTTTTACCTAATATGTCTGACCGAAACTGAACTTTTTTACTAAAAAATAATGTAATAAAAATTTATTTGGCTGACTAAAATTTGCTTACACTACTACTAATAATAATGAAGCAAAAAAAATTCTACTAATTACTAATGATATGTCTGACAAAAATTTATTTTTACTACTATAATAATAATAGAAGAAAAATATCTCTTCTAATTGTCTGACTAAAATTGATTTTTACTACTTATTTAGGCCTGGCGTGAAGTAAAAATAATGTCTGACCAAACATTGTCTTTTACTACTGAAAATATTTAATGGAAAAATTCAAAATGTCCTGGATGACTGAAAATGACCTTTACTACTATTTTAATGATTGCTCTAAGTATCTTAAACTAGCTTTTACTGCTGAAACAAATTTTTTTAAAATGTCTGATCATAACGAACTTTTACTACTTATTTACGAATTTTACGATTTTATCTGACTAAAATATTTTTTTTACCACTGGTACTGATAAAATAGAAAATTTTTTACCTAATATGTCTGACCGAAACTGAATTGTTCTACTAAACATAATTTTAAAAAAATTTACTTGTCTGACTAAAATTTGCTTAAACTACTACTAATAATAATAAAACAAAACATCTACTAATTACTAATTAAATGTCTGACTAAAATTTACTTTTACTACTAAAATAATAATAGAAGAAAAAGTTCTTTTCTAATTGTCTGACTAAAATTGATTTTAACTACTTATTTACGCCTGGCATGAAGTAAAAAAAAATGTCTGACCAAAAATTGCCTTTTACTACTGAAAATATTTAATAGAAAAATTCAAAATGTCCTGGCTGGCTGAAAATGACCTTTACTACTATTTTAATAATTGCTCTATGTCTTGAACTAGCTATTACTACTGAAACAATTTTTTTTTAAATGTCCGACTATTACGAACTTTTACTACTGATTTACGAATTTTACGATTTTATCTCACTAATTTTTTTACTACTGGTACTAATAAAATAGAAAAAATTGTATCTAATATGTCTGACCGAAATTGAATTTTTCTACTAAAAATAATTTAATAAAAATTTACTTGGCTGACTAAAATTTGCTTACACTACTACTAATAATAATAAAGCAAAAAATTCTACTAATTACTAATGATTTGACTGACTATTTACTTTTACTACTATAATAATAATTTTTAAACTAATCGTCTGACTAACATTGATTTTTACTACTTATTTAGGCCTGTCATAAAGTAAAAATAATGTCTGACCATAAATTGCCTTTTACTACTGAAAATATTTAATAGAAAAATTTTAATTTTCCTGGCTGGCTGAAAATGACATTTACTACTATTTTAATGATTGCTCTAAGTATGTTAAACTAGCTTTTACTGTTGAAACAATTTTTTTTTAAATATCCGACTGTTACGAATTTTTACTACTGATTTACGAATTTTAAGATTTTATCTTACTAAAATGTTTCTCTTTTACTACTGGTACTAATAAAATAGGAAAAACTGTACCTAATATGTCTGACCGAAACTGAATTTTTCTATTAAAAATAATTTCATAAAAATTTAATTGTCTGACTAAAATTTGCTTACACTACTACTAATAATAATAAAGCAGAAAATTCTTATTACTAATTATCTGTCTGACTAAAATTAAATTTCACTACTTATTTATACCTGGCAGAAACTGAAAATTATTATTCTGACTATAATTTTTTTTACTACTGAGACTAATAAAACAACAACAAAATTGTATCTAATATGTCTGACCGAAACCGAACTTTTCTACTAAAAATAATTTAATAAAAATTTACTTGGCTGACTAAAATTTGCTTACACTACTACTAATAATAATTCAAAAAACTTCTACTAATTACTACTATACACGGAGAAAAATGGAAAAACGAATAAAGTAACTTTTACTACTTTAAAAGTAAAATTGGACCTGTCCGAAGTTTCTGCGCATCTCTGGCAACTTTTACTCGCAAAATAGTAAAATTGACTATTTCTGTAGTAAATTTTACTGTTTCCGTAGTAATTTTTACTATTTCTGAAGTAAATTTTACTATTTTTGGAGTAAAAGTTGCCAGAGATGCGCAGAAACTTCGGACAGGTCCAATTTTACTTTTAAAGTAGTAAAAGTTACTTTTTCTTTTTTTCCGTGTACTAATCTGTCTGACCGAAAATAAATTTTACTACTTATTTATATACCTAGCACGAACTAAAATTATCCGTCTGACTAAAATTTTCTTTTACTACTGATACTAATAAAGCAGGAAAAATTAGTCTGACCGACTGAAACTGACCATTATTACTAAAAAATTCTAAAATTCTTGGCTGACTAAAAATGACTTTTACTACTATTTTTATTTTCAAGAATTTCAAAGTTTCTCTAACTCACAATCTCTATTTTTTAATGAAATTAATTAAAATTTCAAAAATAATCAAAAATTGTAATCTGCCTCCATCTAAAATTGTCTTTTATTACTTCAATTTTTTATTCCATAAATTAAAAATTGTGTTTGATTAAAAATTAACTTTCACTACTGATACTAATTTAACATAAAAAAAAAAATTCCACAAATTAATGATGATCAGTCTGACAGGAAGCTACTTGTACTACCTAACATACACGTCGAGCGATTATCGATCGACAACTGCTCGTCAGAGTCGAGCATCTCTCATTAAAATAACAAAAATTAATACAATTAAATATATTTTTCTTTTCCAAAAAAAAAAAATGAAATCCGTCCAGTAATTTAAAAAAATGAAATCTGTTCAGTAATTTAAAAAAAAATCATAGTCAAAAATAATTTTTTTTTTTTAGAAAAAAAGAAATTTTAATAATTTAATATATTTTGTTATAAAATTTAAAAAAAAAAATTTCAAGGCCTTTTTAAGGATTTTAAGATCACCCTAAATATTATCTACATGACAAGAATAAACAAAATTATTCCGTCTGACTAAAACTTACTTCTACTACTGATAGACATCCCCCTAATACAATAAATAAAAAAGGGTAGTTTTTAATTGAAATTCAGATAGCATACATGACCTAAGAAAATGTATATATATATAATAATATATTTCGTGTAAAGAATTTTTTTTTTCTCTCCCGAAATATATATATATATATATTGATTGATTTGCGGAGGAGAAACAAAAAAAAATGAAGAAGAAGAAGAAGAAGAAAACGAATCCAAGAAACTGCAAGCTAAACAAGAAGTGGCTACTTTTGTGTTCATCTATAGTGTGAGGGACATGAATCGTATATAAGGAACGAAGGGTTGTCGAATAAAGCAAGCTTTGTATTTTTATAAGTGGCAATTCTACTCTCTCTCTTTTTTTTATGATTCCAGGGCCTATTATTGGAGGTGAATTGGTACGATCAATTGGATTTCAATGGGTCATGAGAATTGTGGGACTTGCGAATTTAGCTTATTGTCCATTATTGATATACATTGCTCTAGAACAAAAGAAACTTATCACTCAACATGAGAAAAAGGACTACAATTCTATTCAAATGCCAGTGGCAAAATATCAACGTTTCTACGATTCTGACGATGGTCTTTGAATTTTCCAAAAAAAAATCCTTCCAACAATTTATATTCATATATTCAATATCAATTTAAAACTCAACTTCAAACTCAATTTTTCCTCTTTTTTCAATTTACTTTTCTTTCTTAAAAAAAATGTAAAAAAAAAAACAAATTGTTCCTTTTATATGTAATATGTGTTTAATAAAAAAAAAAGTTTTCGTTTAAATATAGAAAAAAAAAAAATTTTTTTTTGTAACAAATTATTCAATTTGTGACTGTAAAATAAATTCTATTGACGTTATTTAAAATTCGATTTATACTCCGCGAGCGCGGGTGTAATACGCAGAAAATGTTTCATGGCTGAGGTAACTATTTATGGATTGCAACAAGATTTATGGCCGTCAGAAAGTGACTTAGAAGCGGTTTTTTTTTCAAACTGGCAGAAATATCGATCCACAAGCTGGGACGTGCGGTAGATAGCATAAAGTGCATTGTCAGAAAATAATTTGCATAGTCGATTGTCGGTAACACATCAAGGAGTAGAATATTAATTCTCACGTATATATGAACTTTACAAAATCCATCTTTATATATAAATATCTATATGGCAAACCGCAAATGTGAAAATGATACTTAATTTTTAAGAAATCAGAAAAATTTTTTTTTAATAAAATTAACAAAAATTTGAATAAATAAAAATAAAATTTTAATTAAAAAGAAGTAAAAAGAAATAAAAAAAATAAAATGAAATCAAATTTGAATATTCAAAATTTTACACATTTTCTAAAAGTTTTAACAAAATATTATTTATTTAATTCAAATAATTACTTAACTATTATCAAATAAACATTTACTCACTGAAAAAAAAAAATTATTTGGTTCAAATACCGGTGTATTTGGTTATTATCAAATAAATATTTACTTGAATCAAATATTTTTTATTTGAATCAAATAAATGGTATTTGCTTCAAATAAGAAATATTTGATTCAAGTAAATATTTATTTGATAATAACCAAATACACCGGTATTTGAATTAAATAAATTTTTTTTTCAGTGCTTGAACCAAATAATTTTTTTTTTTTTTTAGTTGAATTAAATAAACTGTATTTGAACCAATATTTTCTCTTTTTGAAACAAATACAATTTAATTGAATCAAATAATAAATTATTTGATATAAATATTTCTATTTCTCCAATAAATATTTATTTTATTTGATAATACCAAAATAGCCGATTATTTAAATCAAATAATTTTTTTTCAGTAAATTTAAAAAAAAATATACGAAATAAAAAAAAATGAAAATAGATATCATATATATTATAGGATTTAAACGCACGATTTCCACATCAATTTAAAGTTGAAGCGTGATCCAATTTTTATTACTCTTTATACTAGACAATCATTTGATATTGAATCTTGAAAAGTATATATATATCGTTTTTGACAAGAATCCTAAATTTTACTCAATAGTATGTGAAAATATATTTTGTCTCTCCCTTCAAGAAAATAGTTTTTTTTTGATAAAATGAATTTTCTTTTTTGATAAAATGAATTTTCTTTTTTGATAAAAAAAAAGAAATTCGAAAACAAAAAAATTTATATTAAAGTGAGAAAATAAATTTTAATTAACAATTTATGATTGACGGTATGGTCATATGCACATTAATGGAAAATCAACTAATTGTGAAAAAGCTATTTAACCGACAAATATACCTATAGAGTATATACAGGAGAGAAATTTGGTGAAATGAGATAAGTTTTTCGGGTTTAATTTGCGGGAAACCAAAAGCTTATTCAATTTTCGTGTTCACGCGATGATAATTTGTTTAGCGAAATTGTATATGTGCGCGCATTAAACCGCATACTGATTGAGAACATATATTCATAACTATATATATATATATATATAGTATAAACTACTGTTTATTATATAACCGCATAAATAGTTTTGAATTTAGAAACGAGAAAATTTGTATCAATTTAATTAGCATTTTATGAAAATAAAATATACTTTTCCATTTCATTTAGCACATTAATTTAATTTATTTTTAATTTCATTTAATTTTTATAAAAATTAAATTTTATTTTTAGATTTTATAAAATTAAACATCAATATTGATTTTTCGTCAACATTATTAAGATTAAATAATCTATAAAAGAAAACTTAATTTAATTTGAAAACAATTTTTTTTTTTTAAATTCTAAATTATTTTCTAAATTTTTAAGAATTCTAAAATTCTTCAAAAAAAAAGTATAATATCATTTTTGACATATAAATTCAAGTATAAATTGCATTTATCGAGTCGACATTTATATAGTATAATCGTGGAGATTTAATTCCCATGGGATTCCGTTGTCTCTATATCACGAACCTTAGAAACGGATATATCAAAAAAAAAAAAAAAGGAAGAAGTAAATTTTCCAACGATGAAAGAGTGAAACTGTCATGTATATTGCAAAAGGATGCTTTCAGTTTATGGCGTTGAATTTATGTCACTTTATTACGTTAGTTACGAAATTACCATGTTGAATTCCATCGAGAGGGAAGAACTCGGGTTTTTCTTTTTTTTTTCAAAAAAAAAAAAAAAAAATTATTATAGGGAAAAAAATTGACGAGTGGAAATTATATTTTGAAAATTATTCATAAACGCGAAATTCTAAAATGTTTCTTTTACTTCTATATTCACTTCACTTTTAATTATAATTATATTTTTATTATTATTATTATTTTTATTATTAATAATAATTGCATAAAAAATAATTTATATAATTAAAAATAAATAATTTTTAAATTATTTATCATTCTGGTATTTCTTTTATATAATTAAAACAAATGACACTCTAAATTTAATTATGAATAATGTAGAACATCGTTTTTGGGGCAACTAATAATTATTCAAGTGAAAAGATCGTATAGTCAATAATGTGACTGAATTATATATTAATTAAAGCATATAGCAATTTGTTTAGAAGTAATTGAAGCATGAATTTTAACCTATCAAATGAAATATAAATTAATTACAGGGGAAAAATAATTCAACGGGGCTGACATTTAAAGCACTTTTATAAAAAAAAATTAAAATAAAAAAAGAATTTCAATATTATTATTATTGCAAAAAAATTGTTATTTTTTCACATAAAAAAAAAATAAAATAAAATTACAAAACAATAAAAATATACTAATAATAATAAAAACGATAATAATAATAATAATAATAAAAATAATAAAAAAAGATAATAATAATAATAATAATAATAATAAAAACGATAATAATAATAATAATAGTAAAATAAAGTGAAATAATAAAATAATATCAAAAAATCAATAAAATTGAAGATGTTGATTTATTTTCAAAGACAATAGAAGTCAAAAAATTTCGTTCACCGTCAGCAACGTTCGTTTGTTGGTATTCTCCTATCTATTAACTCTACCCTACTAACCCTAGCCAATTTTGTTCTATTTATATCCGACATCTTTTGTTCTTATATATTTATCTCGCGTCAAAAAAAAAAGAAGCTTCTTAGATTGACTGCTATATTCATATATTTTATGTTTAAAAAAAGTCATCTCAACATTTGTATTCATATTGAATAAGCAATAAAAAATATTGAGTTTATATTGTTTCATTAATTATTTTTGCAATATTACAAAAATATTTGTCTGCAATATTATTTATATATATATATAATTTTTTTTTAAAATTCTTATTTAAATAATTAAAAATTTGCTCTATATGAGACTCACCAATCGATGAATCCCACGTTGGAGCAATAACATTGTCCTTTCTTCTATTATTTTTGCGGCCACTCCCGCGAAGATCCCATGAAAAAATATGACAGCATACTGGAGTAGTAGTAGTAGTAGTTCTTCGTCCAAATTCTTCCTGTTCTTATTATTTCGACATTGACTGCGAAAATAAAAATAAAAAATTATTATTAAAATATTAAATTGTAGATACAATTGTTATTATTATTATTATTATTATTATTATTGTTATTATTATTATTATTAATATTCATATTATTATTTTTATTATTAATATTAATAATCTAAGTTCGAAATGATAAAATTTTCATTTTTTAAAAGACAATTAATAACAAGTGAGATGGCTGTGTGGCTAGCGTAATCGATTTACGACACCAACGACCGGGGTTCGATTCCTCGTGACTGGATTTTTTTTTCATTTCAGAATTAAATTAAAATATTTACCTTGATAACGAATTCTCAGCTACAAGTGGATTTTTTTTTCAAAAACTAAATAGCCCTCGGAGATCCCCACTTTCAAGTTAAATTTCCATTAGGAAAATATGAAAAATAACCGTAAAAATAGACCAAGTTCTAAAAAGTCTGAATATGAAGAATTCTGCGTCTTTTGTCCTTATTTTTTTGAATTACTTGACACTACAAGCCAGAATAGAATCTGCAAAAAGAAAAATAAAAAAAAACTTTCAGCGATGTACTAATATAATAAATTTTTAAAACGGTCGGTAATATAGAAATCTATAAAAAAAAATTTCATTTCCAAATTTGACAAAAATAAGTGTGGTGGCATCGAGACGCCAATTTTTCTGATCTCCCAGTAAGACGTCAAGTCAAAAAGTAAAATTACTAAATTTCTACAGTGAACAAAAGAAAGTTTACGGCAAACTAAAAAGGTAGTAAGAATAAAAATTTCCTGAAAAAAAAACAGGCAAGAATAACTAATTTTAAACCCCTCCTCAAAATAATTTGAAATTGTTCGTATAACTTTTTAAAAGTTCGAGAAAAGAGGTTTCGAGTATATGTGAGTGTTGGAAGAGAACGAGTATATTTACAGAGGTGCAATTTTCTCTAAAAGTATGGTTGTCTGCCGCATGACCTTATCTCATTGTAACGCGGGTCTTTTTCCAAACCGGTATTGTTGCCTTTCTTTTTCTCTCCCTCTGTAAAGAATGTGAGTACATTTAATATATATATATATATATATATATAGAGTCAGCATCCCCCTTCTATTGGTAGCGCGCAACGACTTCCAATCGAATCAAGTCAGGGACAATTTTTCTTTCGGTCAAGAGTATAGTTGGAAACGGGAGAGAATGAAGAAGAGTAACTCGACTCGGTGTTTTCGAAAATCTCCGCCGAAAATTTCGCACGCTACACCGGGGGATGCTGCGTCCGGGACCGTACTCTCCTATCGATCTTTCGGCCGACCAACAACCACACGTTAAACATAGTCAACATTGACGCGCGCACACACACACACATATACACTTACGCCAAGCGGAGAAAGCTCGTATCTAACTTTCGCAACCCCCCATTGAAACCTGGCTCCGAGCTTTCAGTAAGCTCTGAGCTTTCAGCCGGTTCGAGTAGCGCTGCATGCTCCGTATTATATATATATATATACAAGCGGCTTTCAAGAATATCTACTCTCTTTCACTCTCTTTCTCTCTTTCTTTCCTCAATAAAGTTTTCCCCCCTTTAAATCGAAAAATAGATTTTATCTGATAAACAATCCGTTCTCAGCGCTGTGACGTAATTCCTTCCATGAATCATAAACACGAGAGCAGTAATAGAAACGACGACTCGCGTTCCGTCGAACGTCGAAAAACTTTCCATCCGTGACTTACGTGTTTCGTAAAGCTCGGTTAGGCACTTTAAAGACACTGGCTTTAACCTCCTCGTGCCTGGCGAGAAGATACCGCTACTAATATCAGGTAAGAAACTTCAATTTTTTTTTTTTTTTTCTATATTCGAAAAAAAAGATTTTCACTTTTCAAAAATTTTCATTGTAAAATTCTAGAAATCATTTTCAAACATTTAAGATAATATTGTTATATATATATTTATTTTTTAAATAATACGAAAAATTTATTTTATTCAAATAATTGGTTGACAATATAAAAATATAAATAAAAAATAATAATAAAATAAAAGTAAGATGTAAAATAAATACAAATAACAAATAAAAATTTATTTGCTAATAAAATGTAATATAAAATTTATATACTTTTAAGTAAATAAAATAATGTATTAATAAGTAGATTAAATAATAATAATAATAATAATAATAATAATAATAATAATAACAATAATAAGATTGATAATATTTATAATAATAAATAAGTATTGTAAATAAAATTAGAAAACATAGAAAAAAAAATTCCATATTGTATTGTTAAAAGTATTAATAAATTCCATTTAAAACTGTATACATTGAAAAAAAAATTTGATTCAAATACTCGATTACTTGCCTACTATCAAATAAATATTTATTAAATACAAATAAATATTTATTTGTATCAAATAATTATTATTTGAATCAATTAAATGGTATTTATTTCAAATACAGAAATTACTGATTCAATTATAATTATTTCCAATAAAAATAAATTAATTAAATAAAAATTATTTGGTTCAAGTAAATATTTATTTGATAATAGTCAAGTAATTGAGTATTTGAATCAAATAATTTTTTTTTTCATAATTCAATTTAATAAAATATTTTAATTACAAATTAAAAATAAAATATTAAATAAAATATATTTGAATTATTTACATATCAATTGAATATAAATAATAATTATATATTTATTATCGTTTCATTAATATAAAATTATTTTTACACTGAAAAAAAAAATTATTTGATTCAAATACTCGATTACTTGACTATTATCAAATAAATATTTATTAAATGCAAATAAATATTTATTTGTATCAAATAATTATTATTTGAATCAATTAAACGGTATTTGTTTCAAATACAGAAATTACTGGTTCAAATATAATTATTTCAAATAAAAATAAACTAATTAAATAAAAATTATTTGGTTCAAGTAAATATTTATTTGAAAATACTCAAGTAATTGAGTATTTGAATCAAATAAATTTTTTGTCAGTATATAAAAAAAAATTGATTTATTCACCACAGTAGTAAAAATAAGAAAAATTATTAAAAATTTACTGTTTTCTATAAACAAAAATTCAAATAAATATCTCCCACTGACCCAATTAAGAAAATATTTTGATAACAATAAATTAATATTAAAAAGAACTTTTAACAAGTTTAAAAATTATATACAAAAAAAAAAAAAATGCCAAAAACGTTACTTTGAAACATAAATGGAATCTATTTGTCATATTCTTTTTTGTATATATATATATATATACATATATTTATATATAAAAACTGCAGAATAATTGTTTAACCTTTGTTTTATAACGTGCCAAAGTCACGCCGTAATAATGATTTGAAATTTTGAAATCGTGCCAATTTTATATAGTTGTGCCCCAGTAATTTTTTTGTCCTTATATTTGTTTTTGGATATAGCATATATCTTTTTTTTTTTTTTTTTTTTTTTTTAAATTTTATTTATTACAAGAATATTTTGAAATAAACATTTCATATTTTTCCCCTGGCATATTATTATTATTTCATATATTTCACCCCCTTTTCTATGCTGTTTTCCTCCGACTTTATTCATAGAAATTGATCAATATTAACAAGCCGGAAAATTTACTTTGATAAGTTCATTGACATTATATATAGTATGTTTATAGGTTTAGAAATAATATTTTTTTTTTTTTAAATCTGTCTTTCACATAATTATTCAAATAATTTTATATAAAACAATTATGTAATTTGTTTTTTTATTATTTCTTTTGCTATATCATTATTAATACCTATTAATATTAACATTACTATTTAATTATCAATATTATTATTATTATTTTATTATTACTATTACTATTATTTATTTATTTATTATTATTTATTTATTTATTTAGTTATTAATAAATTATTAATTAATAATAATTATTAATAATAATTAGTGTATTATTAGTTTATAATTATTTGCTTATTGTTTAAAATTTTAATTTAAAAAAAAATTAACTAAAACTTTGTGAAAAAAAGAATAAGTTAAAAATGATAATATTGTGAAATTATTATAAATATATAATTATTTCAATAATAAAATAAATAATAAATTATGATAATTTATGTTTATGGCATTTTACATTTGGTTTCTTGATATAATTTATTTCCTTCAAGCATATAAATGGTTCAATCTCCAGCGGTGAGAACTAAAATGTCTGACTCAAAAGGATTGTTCTACTGAAGGTTATTTGTCTGACACACAACTTGCGATTACTACTTAGTAGAGTTATTGACAAACAATAGAGACAAATAAGCGGAGATTTTTCAAAAGAAAAGAATTAACTCAATTCTCTACTCGTCTACATTAAGCTTTTATAATAATAATAATAATAATAATAATAATAATAATAATAATAAATATTATTATTATAATTATTATTAATACTATTATTATTTTTTATTAAAAATACTGTTCTATTCAAATTATTCAAAATAAGTTTTCCTTCAATTTAAGAAGATTAGAATCTAAAAATTAAAATTTTTAAATTCTTTTCCTATAAAATTTAAAAAAAAAATTGTTGTTATTCTTGATTCGATTACTTAAATATAGATTTAAAAAAAAAACCTTTTTTATTTCGAATGGAAAAATGAAATAACCAGTGAAGTGAATCAGAAAATCAAGTAGAGTAATCAATGATTGATCGGACATGCAAAACATTTATATAGATATATTTGCTACTGGGATAGAAAAAAAAAAATGAAAACAAAAATTGTCAGACAAATCATATATCGTATCGGATAAAAATGCAGTTTACAGTGAAAAAGTCAAACACTGGTCAGACCAAATCATATCGTTTATTCAGTAGAATAATCAACAAAATGGTCAGACAAAAATGACAATAAAAAAAAATACAATAACTGAACAATAGCGTTCATTTGAAGAAGAAGAAGAAGAAAAAAATTAATAAATCAATGAAGCCAAATTGTAATGATTTTAAAAGTAGAATAAATAATCATATTACTTAATCAGAAATGATAAAAAATCAATTAATTATCAATCAATTAATATTAGAAACACAATATAATATTGAATAAATGAATTATTCATTTTATCAATTAGAGAAATCTATATGATTGCTATGACATTATATAATGAATCAACAATTAATCAATCAAAAAATATAATATATTGTAAGTAGAAGAAATTTTGTTTTGGTCAGACAATTTTACACTCAGAGAAATATTTTATTTGAAATAAATATAATAATATATTTGAATTAAATAAATATTTATTTTAAATAAATATTTAAAAAATAAATTAAATAAATAAATATATTTTACGTAAATAAAAATTTTATTTGTTATATAAATAAAATTTTTATTTAAATAAATTAAAATTTTATTTGTTATATAAATAAAATTTTTATTCAAATAAATTAAAATTTTATTTGTTATATAAAAAAAATGTTTATTTAAATAAATTAAAATTTATTTGCAATAAATGATTTGATCTTGTCAAGTAAAAATTCTTTTAGGTTTTGTTCTACATATATATATATATATACCTAACATAGTATCTCGAGTATTTTTCAAATATTTAAAAAGAAACGATAAAATATCAAATAAGCGTCACATAAATCATAATTTTACACGACCAGGAATTGCGTATTTCTTTTAGAAACATTTGAATTGCATTGCCTAGACAAAAGCTCTTAAGATGGAAACAAATAATTTTTTCTTTTTTTTTTTCAATTTACAACAGAGAGAATTTAATAAAAGGAAGCACATAACTAATGGTAATTTTTATTTTCTTACAATTTGCATACTCTATACAATTAAAATATCTCAACTGACTTTTATTATTATTAAAACGTTTTGTTTCCGGGTCAGTGTTTTAAAAGTGCTAATGTGTAATTTAATAATAATAATAATAATAATAATAATAATAATAAAATTTGAATTTCTTATTAAAAAATATAAATGACATAAGAATTAACTACTGTCACAAAAAATTTTTTTTATCATCAAACATTAAAATTAACAATGCCACATAATTAATCGTTGTAATGAGTTATACAACAACATATTTATGAACTGTAAACAATATAAAAGGGATATAGAGTGACGATTAATTATTATTTCATCGTTCTAAATAAAATTTTTGCTTTTCATTAATACTTTTTAAAATTAAATAAAATTATACAATGAGTTTTTAAATTTAAATAATTGATTTTTAAATTAATAAACTTCATTTGGTTGAAATTCTACAAATATTAATTACAAATAAATAAATATATATATATATATATATATATATATATATGTATATATTTCCAATATATATTGGAAAATATTAATTAACAGTAATTTTATTAATTTCCCTCAAACATGCACATATGGCACAAATTAATATTTATAGAGTGCTCCATAAATTTTAAAAACGCGGTTTCTACTTTGAAACACTCATGTGAAAATATTGAAGACTTTTAAAATTTTAATTAAGAGTGTTCAATTTTTTTTTTTATGTACACTACTGCAGATTTTAATTTTACTTTAACTGATTAATTAAATATTTAATTTGTAAATTTTTTGTATAATAATTTTTTAAATTGAAATTAACATTCACTTATTTTAATCAAAAATATTCTATTTTAAATTAAAATTTTCTTTTATCTAAAAAATTATCTTTATTATTATTATTATTATTATTATTATTATTATTAAATTTTTACGTAAATGAAAATTTATTTATTAACATCAAAGATCGAACAATTAATTTTGAATTCTGAATTTCCACTAAAACAAATTTATCTAAAAGTTTGGTTATAGTTAAGCAAACAAGTCCAGTAGCTTGTTTATATATAATTTTACCAGTAAATAAATGTTAACATTGTCTTTCAATTTTAGTTACTGTATATATTTTCAGAGCAAACAATCTTCAAATTATTATTAATAATAAATTACTCAATAAGCTGATGAAACTTTTTAATTAAAAAATTTTTAAAAAAAGTTTAAAAAATATAATTTTAAAAAGAAATTTAAAAAAAAAAAAAAAAAACTTCTGCAAATGTTAAATTAACAAAAAGTAATTTTTCTAGTATAGCTATATATATATATGTATGTGTGTGAATAAACTTCTAAAGCACATTCAGTATAAAGTTAGTTAATTTATAAATTATGAAAATTTCTAGCAGTTTATATAGTCCATTAAAACTAAAACATCATTTTAAACTTATTTGATATGCACGTTTTAATAAAACTTAAAAAAAAAGTTTCAACTCATTCCTTATGTACACACACACACATATATATATATATATATATATATATATATATATATAGAGAGAGAGAGAGAGAGAAAAAGAGTAAATTTATTTTATTTTTTAATATAGGTAAAAAAATGTCCATTTTCCATTTGCGTTTTTACAAACTTTTATAATACGGAGTTTATAAATTAATTGAATTAAAATGTTTAACGTAAAAGCTTTTAGAATGAAATTTACCTAAATTAAGAATTTTTTAATCGAGTCAAGTTACAATCCCAGACATTTTCAATTTCCATTGCTCATTCCTATTTCTTATTTTTTAAACATTACATTTTTAAATTACTTTTGAAAATTACTTTTCCAAGTTTAATTTTCCAAATGCCTCTCTCATATTTTCTAACTTTGTGTATTTAAATCAAAAATGGATATTCATCGTTTTCTTCTCTTTTTTTTTTATTAAATGTCCAACTAAGCAAAAAAAGTTTGGTTTCTTTTTCTTTTTGCAATAAAAAAAAAAAAAATTCTTTTTTAACTAGAAAAAAGTAGTTAATAAATTATTAATATTTGTCCTCAACTACCTATATATACTGATTTATTATTTACATATGAAGTAAAAATATATTTCATTAAAACAACCGTTTTTTCTATATACTTTTCGATAAAATAATTTATTATATAAACAATTTTTTTTGTGTCAATTAAAATTAAAATTTATTCAAAATGAAATAAATATAATTTCTTTCATTTAAATAAAAAATAAATAACATAATTGAATCAACAAAAACGTTTGTTTAACTGAATGCATATTCATTTTTGTTGATTCAACTAGAATTTAGTTGTTTCAAGTAAATTTTTCTCTGAGTGTATTACTGAGACCAACTATAACCTGCACTTGGAAAGATTCCCCGGAAAGTGCCACCTGGAGGTTCTATCAGAATTCCGCCGGAACTTCCAACGTAATTCCGTCGGAATTCCATCGGAGTTCCAAAGAATTTCCGATGGGATTCCGACGGAGTTCTGGCGGAATTCCGATTAATATTTTTAAAAAATTTTAGAGTCCTAATTCCGTCAGAATTTCGCCGGAACTTCCAACGTAATTCCGTCGGAATTCCATCGAGTTCCAAAGAATTTCCAATGGGATTCCGACGGAGTTCTGGCGGAATTCCGATTAATATTTTTAAAAAATTTTAGAATCCTAATTCCGTCAGAATTTCGCCGGAACTTCCTACGTAATTCCGTCGGAATTCCATCGGAGTTCCAAAGAATTTCCTATGGGATTCCGACGGAGTTCTGGCGGAATTCCGATTAATATTTTTCAAAGTTTTTAAAGTCCTAATTCCGTCAGAATTTCGCCGGAACTTACAACGTAATTGCGTCGGAATTCCATCGGAGTTCCAAAGAATTTCCGATGGAATTCCGACGGAATTACGTTGGAAGTTCCGGCGGAATTCTGATAGAACCTCCAGGGGGCACTTTCCGGGGAATCTTTCCTAGTGGAAAATTACAAAAATTTATTACTTAAAATCTTTACGATAAATTAGACTTATATAAACCTATAGTAAATATTGATTTTTTTTCTTTCGTGAATATAATTTGCTTCCCGCATTTTTTTTTCTTTTTTCTTTTTTCAGGCAAATCGTCATGACTGCACGTGTTTCTTTGACGAGCGCACAGCGTATGGGGAAATACAATCGAGATCACGTAATATCGATCTCATTGTGTTGGATTTACTCTCTGAAAATTCCAATTGACTGAAGAGTTTTGCTCGCATACAAAAGAGAGTAACAGTAGAGAAACGAAGACTAGTTCAATATTTCATTGACACGTGAAACGATTATATCTCTCGCGAGTGTTGTCATATAAAATCCCATTCATATATGCACATGTGAAATCAAAAACTTTTTTCGAAAAAAAGTAATATTTTTTTTTTTTATTTAGCCCTCCCAAACTTTTTTTTTCACCCTTCTATTTTTCTCCCTTTTTTCGAATATATACAAGAAAGGGGGGGAAAAAATATATATATATTTTCAAGGCCGTTCACTTTCTTCTACGTGATGAAAGAAATACTACTACAAGAGGACTGCTGGAGATGATGAAACGTTCGTGATAACGGTAACATATTGTTTTAGCTTATTTTAATTTTCTAGAAGGGTAGAGAGTAAAAAAAAAAAAAAATGAAGTCTTTTGCACAAAAATAATATTTGAATTTTCTATATTGTTATATTTACGCTTGGGAAATATTTTGTGTGTGCTAAAGTAATATTTTCTAGGTCATTTCTATACTTCAATGAAAGAGAAGAGGGAAACTATAAAGCATATCTGTCAGAAAATAATTGAACTATATTATATATATATTTACTTCAAATAATCTATTACTTTATTTTAAATAAAAAATATTATTTAAATTAAAAAATACTTTTCATTTAAATAAAATGATACAAATTCTGTATTTTGAAACAAATTAATTTTTTAATTACTAAAATTATTATTTATTATTATTAATTAATCATTAACTAAATAATATTTGTTTCACAAAAAATTATTAGTTCCAATAAAATTTTTGATTATCAAGTAAAAATTATTTGGTGCAAGTAAATATTTATTTTTCTTAGTCAATATAAGTAACTGCGACTATTTGAATCAAATAGAATCTTTTTCCAGAGTGTATGAAATGAAAATAAATTTTTTTTTTTATTGAATAAGATATTTATTTTATCGATATAAAAAAAATTTTTTTTTTTTTTCAAAAAAAGAAATATACAAAAAAAAAAGAAAGCTTTCTTTTATCTCCAGACACAAGATTTCTCAAATTTATCTTGAAACGCATATATATATATAATGGAAAGGAAATGAAAATATTTATTCAACTCTTTTCGTCGTTTTACAAAGAACCACTTCTTTCACCATTTTGCATTCTCTCTGGTCATCGAGAAAAGTCAATTCTTGATGATGACAGTGGCTCTTCAGTAAAGTGATCCAACTTTGGAGATTTTTATATACCTTTTAGGATTTTTCAAAAATACGTTTTCACATACGCTGAGAGGAAAATTTTTTTTTATTTGATTCAAATAATCGTTTACTATTATCAAATAAATATTGACTATAACAAAATAATTTTCACTTGAATCAAATAATTTTTAATTGAACCAATTAATTTTTATTTAAATCAAATAAATTGTATTCGAATAAATAATTTATTTGAAACAAATATCTTTAAGTAATACAAATAATAATTTTATTTAATACAAATATCTTTAATTAACTCAAATAATAATTTTATTTAATACAAATATCTTTAATTAACTCAAATAATAATTTTATTTAATACAAATAAATATTTAATTAATATTATTATTTTATTATTATTTGAATTATTTGTTTATTTCTATTAGTATTTATTTATTTATTTATTCATAATATTTCAATTCCGAAGCAAAATTAAAAAACATTGAAAAAAATTAAATGAAATTTTTTATAAGAGGAGAGAAAATCTATAAGGGCGATAAAATAAAATTTTCATAAAATATAATAATTTGAAAGTTTATTCAAAATTTGTCTGGAACCCTCATCTAATTATCTTAATTTAATTAAAATCATTAGCTACACGTGTGTTAACGGAACAGTATAACGATGAACCTGCGCAGAAAGGGCAATTTTAGACAATACTCAATTACTGTAATTATGCAATCAGACAGACTATATATGAACTAAACGACGTTTATATATATATATATATATATTTGAGATACCGTTAAACAATAACTCTGTATAAGTGTATTAATTCAAATTTAGAGATAAACTCCCTGAATTTAATTTTGATAACTACAGCATTAAATAATATTATCTCAATAACTGTCAGTAAATGTAAATTAATCCAAATGAAAATATTTACGATTATTTAATTCGTTGGAAAAATTTTGTTTAATTAAAAAATTACATATTTTGAATTCTTTATTTATTTTTATTATTATTTATTTAATTTATTATTTATTTTATTTTTTTTTTAGTTTATTTTTTATTTATTTTATTTTTTATTTAGTTTATTATTTATTTCATTGCTTTTTATTTTTTTAATATTTTTTATATTCAAAGTTTATTTAAGTACCTCATTAATGTTTTTACTCTATTTTATAAAATTACAAAAAAATTTTAATTACGATTTTGATTACAGCGTAAAATTAATATTACATGACGTACTACTACTTCATTATATATATATTATGTAATTAAATGATAAATTGTGTTAATATATAATCATTTGTCTTTGAACTTTATAATTATAAAATACATATTTTTTTTAAACGACAACAATAATGACAACAAAGTTGAGGAACTAAAGTTAAAATAGGTTAGACATAGTACATGGGAAAACGTTTAGAATAGAGAATGTTATTAAATTCAACTTTGTTTTCCCAAAGCGTACATTACTTGAAGCTCTTGTAAAATGCAAGAATTTAGAAAAGTAAAGTTTTTCAAATTTTTAAAAGTTCCCAATTGAAAGAAAATTAATCCAAAGTTTCTTTTGCTTTCATAGCATTTAAAAAAAAAACCAACTTTAAGCCCTTGCAGTTATTATTATTAAATAATTAAATAAAAAAAAATTCCAACTAATTAAATAATGAATTATTGTAATAATTAGTTTAATTAATCATTATAATAATTAATTAAATAATAAATAAAATAAATAATAATTTGCATAATTAATTTAATAGGAACTTTATAATTGAATTAAATTATTATTATTATTAATTTATTGAAAATTCATTTACTATTATTTTGTAAAAATTTCCTTTTCTCTATAGAAAAAAAAAAAATTCGCAAAAAATTTCGCGAGATAATGATATACTATTTTTACGAAATAATGAAAGTTTTTCTTTTTTTTTGGAAAAAAGTAGGACACGTTTGATGTGAAATTTCACGTAAAAAGTGTCGACTTTCTTGAAAAAAAAAAAAAAAAAAAAAAAATTGCTCTATAATTTTAAAAAAGCTTAGCAAGCTCTCAAATGAAGAAGCTACTTTAGTTAAGAGTTAGCGAGTATACTAGTCACGACCTACGGAGTTTGTGAGAACCAATAGCAGAAGTAATTGCAAGAACTGTTCACTGAACGTAAAATTTCATTTTTATTGCGCAAAGGGGACTCATGAGTTCAAAGTCTTAAAGAGTTAAAAGGCCTTTCTTCACACACACATACATATCACACAAAACTCATAAAAAAAAAATTCACAAACTTATGGTAAATCTTTGAAAAAATTCCGTAAAAAAAAAATTTTTTTTTCCCCTTATAAATTCGATTTTTTTTTCTCGCACTTGTTGAAAATTTGATTTCAACATGGGATTACGCGACTTAACAATAAAACGGTGTGCGAGAGAAATGAAAAAGGAATTCCTCCGGGCAACAGAGATGAATAAAGTAACCCTCTCTCCCTCTCTCTTTTGAAACAGTTTCGCTTGTTCTTTAGCGAACTTAAATTAATTTCTCTTGTTTCCAAGTTTTAATCCCAACCGAGGATTTCAAAGAAGATGAGTTTGTTCATAAACATAAATATTCATTTGCGCGAAAATTCAATAACATATTTTTTTTTTTTTTTTATATCCTTTAATCTTGTTTCGCGTCACATACTTTTCAATTTGACTTTTCATTTTGCATATAATTGTAATTAAAATTGCATTTAAAGAACTTCTATACAATTAATTTAATGAAAATACAATTATACAACTACAATATATATATAATATAATAAAAGAATAATAAAATTAGAATTAAATAAAAAATATATTTATCTCTTTAAAACAAAATAAATATTTAGTTTAGAGAAAAGTATTTTTTAAAAATATAATTTATAAATTAATTAAATGATTTTCTTAAAGTTATGAATTTTTTTTTTTTTTTTATTTAAATAAATTTGTTTTCAAAATTAAAAAATTTTTAAAAAGAAAATTAACATATTTTTTGAAAAAATAGTTTTTTGTAAAATGTGAATTTCAAACAAATTTTCTGCTTCATTATCGATGTTACAAAACTTCAATGAAGCTGCACGTATATATAGTTAAGTACAAGTTAAACATAAAAGTTGAAAAAAAAGTTTTGAAATTTGAAGGATTGACTAGTTGAAACTTTTCGAACGAGAAATTCGAATTTCAATGCAGTGAAGTTTGATTATATTTGAATTGAAATCGAAAAGTTTAGATACTTGCACTTTAATTTACGATTCTATGAAATTCTACTCTATATACATATATATATTTTATTATTCTTTAAAGAAACATTATATAATTTATTTTTAATTTAAATTTTATTAATTTAATTTTTTTTTCATTAAAAATTAATTTTTTCACAAATTTATATATACGATGGAATAATTACTAAAAAATTTGTGAGGGAAAAGAAAAGAGTTTCCTTTTATTTTCCGATAGATAAACTTTTAAAATCATTTGTCACGCTTATCATATCAGAATATCTTCTTTTGTGAATAGTTATTGAACTTTTGCGCATAATAAATTGTCGCCGTCAACAAATCAGATTTCCTTTTATCATTTTTAAAAAAGAGAACCAAATAAATTAGCATATTATTGACTTCACTGTTTTTTTTTCTTTTTTTTTTCCTTCATATTTTGAAATTGCAATAGTGACGGTATAGTTAATTTTTAATTGGTTTTTCGTGTCAAACAAACACAATTTTTTAATTTAAAATAAAGCAGATTTAGGAAATTAAAATTTTTAAATTCTGACGGGAAAATTATATTGTATTGGAAAAATATATATATAATATTCATAACTTGTTTGCCATATAAGATAAGCTTTTCCCAAGACCATGTTCGAGTTAAGTGAGAAATTTAAATTTTCCTAAAGTATAACGTTTCTTATTTTTAAATATTTATCTCTTTGATTTTTTACTCACACTATTATTATTAAATTTATAAAAAAATTTAATTAAAAACTCACCACTTTACTTCTCTGGTATTCGTCAATCCAATCCAATCCAATTTGATCCAATCCAATCGAATCGAATCTACTACCTAAAAATAAAAAAAATACGTAAGTTTTGTTTTTGTAATAGCTATTAAATTAATAAAAATAATTGATATTTGAAAAATTAAATATATAAAAATTTTAATTAAACAAGTCGATAATTATTTAATAAAATTTCAAGTTGATATTTATATTTTGTAGAAAAAAAAATGAGACTGAATCGTTAATTTTTTTTTACGATCACAACAAATGTAAAATATGATACTGATGCAACAAAACTAGCTATAAATTTAATATTTTTATTCTAACGAGTAGCTTAAATCCTTTTATTTTTCAGTCGCGATGTTTTATACCCACGATATAAAATACGCAGTTTTTGATAATAAAAAGTATACGTAACTGTATAATGGGTTACTTTTTAAAAAGTAGTGAATTATTAAATATTACTGACAATTCTGATATACTTTTTAAGAGACTTTTTTTTTAATATAAAAAATAATAAATATTAATTGTAATTATTAATATTGATAAATTATTAATAAACAATAAAATTAATAATATATATTATGAATATAATTGCTACAAAAAATTCACTTCTCTATAAAATCATTTTTTTTTATTATCAATTTTCTTTTTTTACCTTCTCTCATCCCTTTATTCTTTTATATTTTTTCATGCGTTTTATGTCAATTTCTATTAATGCATATTTCACTCTACAATATATTTTTTTCCATCTCGTTCATTATTTATTATTTTTTTTTTTTAATTTTCATTTTATTTCGCAAGCCTTTGTATATTTTTAACTTTATTCAATTATATATTGATATTTCTATTCTATTTGATGTTTTATATTTAAATTGGTTCATATTTTTTTTATACAGTATATATATTTATACGGAATTGTATATACAAATTGTTATATAGAGACTATAAAGGTATTACTATTCAGATTAGTTTCACAAACGACATCAAAGTTGCTTTATATATATTGTATATAATCTTTTGTGTGTTTTATATATAAAATAAACACTATTACGAAATTGACAGATTTCTGACGTAATATTTCATTTCACGTATGGTAAATTTTTTATTTGAAAGTGGAGTTTTTTTTGTTTTTTTTTTTTTTTGCTCTAAATTTCTCTCTCATATAACTGAAATATGAATGTCATCGACCGCAAACACACAAAACTTCAGAGACATATCTTTTTAAATATTAAAGAAAGGATTTTCCGGGGTCTTGATAATTTATTATATTCATATATAAATACTACTTTTCGAAATTTAAAATAAATAATTCAATTATCAATGAGAAAATAAAAAAAAAAATGTTCGTATTAAGATAAATGAATTAAAAAATAAAAAAAAAGAAAAATTGATGGATTTAATAATAAAAAAAAATTCCTGACTATTTCCTATCAATGAATTAAATTGATATTGAAAAAAAGCTATAGATTCAGAATTTTATTTGAGAGTGGAAAAAAAAAACAAATGAGATTTAAATTCAGCAAATTTTGGCAACGATCAAAATTAATGAGTTTAATTATTCAAAATTGACACACATAAAAATGTCAAGTTCCTTTTGAAATATATATATGCAGACGCGATATAGTTGTATGTACAACGTTGAAGTACATCGATTTTGGCTAATATACTTGAACACACAGTGTGACAGGAAACTGTGGAAACTCATTTCCGAATATCAATTCAAATTGATTTGTTCTAGATACGATTTTAATTTGAGAATCATTATGGTGACATGTCATATATACTAAATCACAAACTTTATTTCCTTATCAAGAAATGTGGGAAAATTAAAACAAAACAAAAAAAAAATAACTAACCATTAATTGATTTTCTAACAAATTCCATCTGCCAATCAAAGAAATATTTCATTGTCAATGAAAATCATAAAATCAATTTTAAGAATTAAATATGCTGTCAAAAAGAATGAAAAATGCCATAATTCAAAAAAGAGAAAACTAATAAAAAAAATAAAACAGTATCAATACAACAAACCTCATTAACTCTATAGTGAAACGTTAATAAACAATAGCATCGTAAAAAAAGCTCATCTCTTTTTTATATATATGCAAAATGAAATAAGAGTTTTTATGGGGCAACAAAAAAAAAATTTATTACACAGGGAAAATATATCAAGAATAGGCGAGATGCATGACTTTTCAGTTTATTAAAAATTTCAATATAATTGACTTGTCTCTTTTTTTTTTTTACTCTGCGTTACTCTTTTCATATTTTTTATTAACTAATTATAATAAATGTAAATTTTTTTTTTATTTCACACACACACACACTTTTGTTTCGTTGCGCAAAAGTATAATATAAAAATTCTGAAGTAAACAGAATTAATCACTTCCATTTTCACACGAACAATGAGAATAAGCAACTTCTCTAATTCAATTTTCTTCGACTTGACCTCTTTCTCAACGTCAATTATTATTCTTTTACCTCTTATTTAATTCGAAATCGAAATCAATCTCTCTTTCACTAACTTATTCTTAAAGAATGTTGAGAGTTTTGATTAAAAATGTGTTCAAATTATGACCATTTGTATTTTTTTTCAAAATTAAAAACGTATCCATTTTTTTTTTCAAAAATTAAAATTTAGAGAAAAAATAATTTTTGTGTAATTTAAAAAAAAAATTCACTTTCAAATTATTTACTTACAAATAATTAAATACTAAAATAATAAAAAAAATTAATTTTCATACAAATTTGTTTTAAATAAAATAAATTCTTTTGTTACAAAACAAATTTTTTTCTAACAAATCGTATTTATTAGATGCAAAATTTTGTAAATTAATAAAAAAATTTATTATTTTATTTGACAAAAAAGTAATCTTAAAAAAAAATTTTTAAAATAGAGAACAAAAGCAATTTAATCATAAAATAAATTCTCTTTTAATATTTTTTTCAATTTTTTCACCCAATTGGTGTTAAATTATGAAAGTAATATCATGAAAAGTTCAAGTGTGAGATTTTATAATGAAAATACTAGAAAAATTATTGGAATTAAAATGGAACAAAGAAAATACGAGAGAGAAAAAGGAAAGAGCTTTATATGTAATATACACATTTTTTTTTTAGTAAAAAAAAATTCTTTTTTATGTATTATAAGATTCAAATTGCAATTACTCGTGTATATTATATATATAAAGCGCATATTTGATATCAATTAGAGGAAATCGATATACATATTGTTACAAGAAAATGTGATACACGATATGAATTTGTCGTTTATAGGAATTAATTTATAACGGTGTCAAATGAGAGTAAATGAAGAAGGGTCGAAAAAAACAAAGGCGACGACGACGACAGACATAACAATGTGAATGTATTATATAGACAAGGACTTGGCGCATATGCGGCCTTCTTCTTCTTCTTCTTCTTCGAGAGAGGTTTTTTTCTCTATTTCGACGCTCGATCGAAAATACAAAGAAGCCATCGGCTGCTTTTATTCGATGGCGATGCTTGCAAAGCTGAGATGATATGGAAACTGAGGATGATGTGGACGAGGAGTTGCCGAGAGCGGCGGGTCGTGAAGAGGTAAGCTACTTTGTTTCGATATTTTACTTTTTTTTCCAGAACAACCTTCAATCTGACCTACCACCCGTTAAAAAAAAAAAAAAATAAAATTCATGAATTTTTGTTCTAAACGCCTTGACTATAAATTTTCCTTTCACGATTTCTTTTACTTTAAAAAAATTCTTTTTATTCAAAGGAGCCTTTAAAAACATTTTCCAAAAAAAAACAAAAGCTCTTTGACTCAAATTCAATCAAGCGAAATACAAACAAATTTTCGTTTTTTTTTCGAAAAAACAAATCTTTTATCTCAATTGAAAATTTGATTTTCTTTTTTTAACAAAAATTTATATTCTCTTTTATTATTTAAAATGATGTGAAAAAATTAATAAATTTTTAATCTAAATAAAGAAATCAAATTTAATGTAATTATTTTTAACTTCTTGTAGGTAACTCTCATAATACTAAAAGTACGATAATTAACCATCAGAGAGATTAAAAATAAAAATTTCTTTTCAACAGTATTTAATTCTTCTCGGTATTATTTAAATCTTAAAAGCGCGAAGGGAGCATAATCTATGCGATTAAAAAGAATTACGACGACGACGAAAAAAAATATATATCTCGGTTTAACGTTTTTTTTTTCTTTCTTTTATTTTTTTTTTTTTTTATTCTGATCAGTGATGCGTGCATTGATGTTTCCTCGAGCACAAGTTCAATCGTTGAATGGTAATGCAATGCTAGGAAGATAAGGAAAAAAAAAAAAAAAAAGATTTCCTCAGCAAAACTGAAAAGATTCGAATTCACTCTTTTCAACGTTCAAAGGAAACTCATTTCCGTCACTTTATTCTACTTGAATCTCATTTTGCTCGATCCGCTTTTCGCTTCTGAAACCGTCCACAGTTAATACCTGTTTTTAGTGTCTTCAGTATTAAGGATAATGCTATATTTAGAAATGTTTCCCTCATTATATTTTCATGCTAAAAAGCTCCTTTTCTACTTTATAAACTTTATAAGATAAAAGGTTTTGTAATTTCATCCATAAGATTATCAACAAAAAAATCCACCCCCCAAAAAAAATATATTTCTTTCACTAATAACAAAAGTATATTTTTCCTTATTCGCGAAAGAAAAATGAGATTTTTTTTAAAATATAATAAACTTCTTTTAGAAATTGTACACATTTTTGTAGTGTACTTAAGAAATGTACACTCAGCATTTGTTGGTTATCATGAGAAACTTTTTTTTTCTTTTTTTTTTTAGAAACAGAAGTTTCAATATTAAGCTGGCACACTTAAAGAGTTGAGAGTATCGATTTCAAAGGCTTATACGCTAGATTTTCAGATTGGGAACAAAATTCCCAAGTTTTTTTTTTTTGGTTTTATTTCGTCATAGAATTGACCCTAACAAATATTAGATTTTTTTTCTACATAAATGTTTTTTTTTCATTATCTATATAATAGAGACCTTTAACGATTTTTCTAAACACATATTTTTTTTCCAGAGAAAAAATTTTATCATGCGATATTTTTTTTTTTTTGCCCCAACGATAATTTTCTATTTGACGGAAATAAACGAATTTCGATAAAATAAAAGTGAAAGTATTTTATAAACAAGTTTTTTTTTACGAAGCTGAAGTACGCAACGTTTATGATAAATGATTTTTAAAGAAATAATTTTTTAAAATGAAAAATTCTATAATTTTTCGTCTAAAATATATTTATTGTTGTTTTTATTAATCAACAAATTGTAAAAAAAATATTTTCTAGGCAAAAAATTATAGAATTTTTCATTTTAAAAAATTATTTCTTTTAAAAATCGTTTATCATAAACGTTGCGTACTTCAGCTTCGTTTTTTTTAGCTATTATTTTAAATTTTGATTCAAATGAACTTGGAAAAAAATAAATTCAAATTTCCTTTTTGGATAAAATTTTTAAAAAGAAAAAATTTTGTTCTCTCTATATTAGATTAATCACAACAACAATAATTTCGAAGAACATGAAGGCATGAAGATCTCTGAGGTGCCAACGTCTTCCTTGATTGCGGATCGGGATAGTTTCTTCGTAATGCGATCATCCTCATCCGACCTTTTGCCCGAAATGAGCATGAGTAGCTTTAATCCGGATAATAACCTCGACAAAGCCGATGGGAACACGCATGGAGAATCAAAAGTACATTTAAGCACGAACATGAAGACTGACGTAAGAGATTGCGAGATCTCGAGGCTTTGCAAAACTAAGAGGGTATCCTGCCAAGACACTATTCACGAGTTCGAAGAGGACGATGGCCTTACTATGGAAAAAGTTGGAAAGTAAGTCAACCTGATCGATCACCCCACTTCCATAATCATGTCCAATTTTGCATGCAACCACTCTAAAGCCAATTTCCTAACTATAATAACCAACTCCCAGTAGAAAATGTATAATAAATATATAGTGCTTTTTTTTATTTTTCTCAAGAAAATCTTTTTTGATATTTTTTCTAAATGGTATTTATTAGATAAAAATTGTTTTTTGGGAGAAAAATTATTAGAAAAAAATGAAATAAATAATTTTGAGATTGTAAAACCGTTTTACTTTGTTGAAAAAAAAAAAAAAGGTTTTTGGAGACACATCCAGCCGTATTGGAAGGATGGATAAGAGAAAAGGCGAGCGCCGAATTGAGAATGTGGTTGCAGGGAACAAGTTTGGCACCAAAGACATCGACTTCAAGTCAACATCAAGAAGAAAATACGCTCAATCGAAATAAAAGAAATAGCGTCACTTCGGATTTATTTCAATCGTGGCTGGCGTCCAATTCACCAGTAAAAAGAAGTAGAAGTCCTAGCAGGTATACAACGTTTTTTTTAATCCCAACTTTAATTTATTATTAATTTTTTTATAATTTTAAATATTTGTACAATTTTTTATAGAACTTCAATGACACTAATGGGTAGAAGAGAGGAATTAAATCGTTTGGATGAAGGAGAACTTTTTATGGAATTGATACGAGATGTTGCTAATGAGCTTGATATCAATATTCTTTGTCATAAAATTCTAGTTAATGTTGGTTTACTTACCCAAGCGGACAGGGGTAGTTTATTCCTGGCGAAAGGTCCTCCTGAGGATAGATATCTCGTTGCCAAGTTGTTTGACGTCACGCAGGACACTGAATCGGATGAGGCAATTCAAAAAGCGAAAAATGAGGAAATCAAAATTCCCTTTGGTGTTGGCATCGCGGGCTACGTGGCACAAAGCAAACAAATCATAAATATCAAGGATGCTTACAAAGTCAGTAAATTAAAACAAAAAAAATATATAATTTATAATCAATAAAATTACAAAAAAAAACTCCTGTAATAGATAAAAAAAAAAAAAAATTTTCTCTATATTTAATGTAATTTCATAATAAAAGAAAAAATACTTTTCATTTATAAAAAAGAAAATATTCGAATCAGAATTCAATTTTGCCATATAAGACAATTTTAAAATGAAATTCCAAATATTAAATTGAGCAGAAATTTATAAAAGGGAGGAAATATCCTTCGAGGACTTTGATATATATTTTTTTTTTTCCCTCCTTTACTTGAGAAAGCAAAAAGGGACAAGTAAAAGTTTGAAGAGTTTCTTTCTGTATTTCTTTTCGAAAATCCTTAATGTAATTCAAACAACTATACGAAGAACAATAAAACAACTTTAACTCAATGGAGTTTCATTTCTTTTCAAATTTAGTTACATAAACAATTTGTATAATATTAATTTATAATTTTCTAAATTTAAAATATTGATCGAATATAAATTTTCACCACATGAAAAAAAAGAAAAATAGAATTATCATTAACAAATACTATAATTATTGCATTAGTTAAAATTTACAGGATCCACGTTTTAATAGTGCGATCGACATGCGAACGGGTTACAAAACTCATTTGATTCTCTCGATGCCAATTTGTAATTACGAGGGCGATGTAATAGGCGTGGCTCAAATCATCAACAAAACTAATGGTAATAATGAATTCACCGAGAGGGACGTTGAGGTTTTTCAAAGGTAAAATAAATTTTACATATTGAATTTGAATTTAAATTAAAAAAAAAGAAATTTTTTTTTGAATAACAGTTGATGAAAATTAGGAGACAACTTTTTTTATATTGTAAAATTACAAATACAGAAACGAATTATTCTCACTATTTATGTGGGTTAATGATAAAATCGATTACATTCCTAGGTCGTTGAACATTTAACTTTATTTCGTTAGATACCTAACCTTCTGTGGAATTGGTATTCAGAATGCGCAACTCTTTGAATTATCTGTCCAAGAGTATCGAAGAAATCAAATACTACTCAATTTGGCGCGAAGTATTTTTGCCGAGCAAAATAATTTGGAATGTCTCGTGTCAAAAATTATGACTGAGGCGAAAGAATTATTAAAATGTGAAAGATGTGCTGTTTATCTATTGGATGTAGATTGCGGTGAAGCGGTGAGATTATATTTTGATAAAAAGAATTTTTATTATTTTAATTTTTTTTTTTTTAATTTCCACAAAAATTTTAGGGTCACCTTGAAAAAATTGTGGAACGACCTGGAAGAATGGTGCAAGAAGCAAGAAAACCACTTTCAAGAAGAGAGGTAAAAAATTATTAATGAAAATAATAATTATTAATTATTAAATTAAATTAATTAATTATTAATTATTAAATTATTAATTTTTTCTAATAAAAGTTATTCTAATTTGAAATTTATTTAATTTCAGAGTAACAACATTCAAATGGAGGACATTTATCACCAACACGTAAGCTAAATAAATGAAAATTAATTTGAAAATAGAAAAAGAAACTACAAAAATGATAAAAAAATAAATTTTTATGTTTTAGAGCACAAGCGAAATCAACAAATTTACAATGGTTTTTGAAATGGAAAATGGAAAAGAAGAGGCACGAGTTTATCGACCAAGTGCCGAGGATCTATCAAAACCATTGGGAAGAATTGCAAAATATGTCGTTTTTTCTGGGGAAATTCTTAATATCGGTGATGTTGCATCTTGGCTAAAAACTCCTGTTATGGAAACAGGAAGTGAACCTGCCAGAAGTATTCTTTGTATGCCAATTGCCAATGGACAAAAGGAAGTAATAGGAGTAGCTCAATTAATCAATAAGGTTCATAAATTTTCTATTTTAACCCCAAAATTACCTTTCTTTTAAATATATTTTTAATCTAGATCATTAAATTCCAAAATAACTGAAAACAACCCATTTTTGTCTAATTTTACCCATAAATTTACTTTTTTTTTTAAGAAATAAAAATAAATTAGTTCAAATTTGGAAAAAAATAACCTAAAAATTCTCATTTTGTTAAAAAAAAAAATTAAAAAATTATTCACATTTCCATAATAAATGAATTTACCTCTTGCAGGATAATGGATCTTCATTCACCGACTCCGATGTCTCTATCTTTGAGGCGTTTGCAATATTCTGTGGACTTGGTATTCACAATACTCAAATGTATGAATCGGCCTGTAAACTGATGGCAAAACAAAAAGTCGCTCTTGAATGTCTTAGTTATCATGCAACTGCCAACAATGACGATGCCTTAAAATTGATGTCCGACTCGATATCAACAGCAGAAAATTACAACTTATACAGTTTTACATTTATTGACTTTGAACTTACCGATGACGATACTTGTAGAGCCACTATCAGAATGTTTAAACAATGTGATTTAATTCAAAAGTTTCACATTCCATATGATGTTCTTTGTCGATGGATATTGAGCGTGAAGAAAAATTACAGGTGAGAAATAAAAAGAAGAAACACCTCTCCTCACACACGTGCGGTCAAAATGGCGTCGCCAAAAAGTACAGAAAACGCGGGAATTACCTTCTTGATACCTCGCTTCTATTTTTATCCGCATGGCGCTGTAGTCGCGCGAGACTGTAAGGGCGCACTCACACCTCTGGCTGCCTGCACAGGCAGCCAGTGAGAGCCAATCAGAGAGTCAGTAGATTTAAATTAGGCATTTTACCTTGTGACGTCAGAGGCTGATGACGTCGAAGCCTGGAGGGACAACAAACGAAAAAAACAATAAAGAACTGTCAAACAAGTGATTTTTAGGTTAAGTTTTTGAAGTTTTCAACGTTACCAACTGTAGATGGACTATAGTAAAATTATTTGTTGTCCCTCCAGGCTTCCAGCTGATCGGGCAGCCATATTTGAAAGTGAAATACCTAATTTGAATTTTCTGTCTCTCTTACTCTTGTACGTTTTCTGCGTGGTGGGAGGCTGCCTGTGCAGGCAGCCAGAGGTGTGAGTGCGCCCTAACAATCGAAAATTCAAATTTAAAGAAAATTATATTTAATAATCTTTAATTTATACTTTCATATTTTTTTTTGTAAATATAAAACAAAATAATTAATTTTACATTTTTTCTTTGTTTTGATATTTAATAAATTAGCTAATAAGTAAATTAATATAGAGTAACGAATCGATAATCGCTACTATCGATAGGATTTAAAAGTTTTCAGTGTTGCCAATTTTCTAAAAATTAACAAAAATTTGGTAACATTGTAAATGAAAATCAAAATAAAGAAACATAACCTCTTGTAAATAATAAGTATTTCTTCACAGCAAATGAAGAAAAGTGAAATTAAAATTAATATATTTTACAGACCGGTGAAATATCATAACTGGAGGCATGCATTGAACGTTGCACAAACAATGTTTGCAATGTTAAAAACTGGTAAAATGGAGAAATTAATGATGGATTTAGAAATTTTGGGTTTATTGGTCGCTTGTTTGTGTCATGATTTGGATCATCGAGGCACTAATAATGCATTTCAAACAAAAACTGAATCACCATTGGCAATTCTTTATTCAACCAGTACAATGGAGCATCATCATTTTGATCAATGTGTCATGATTCTTAATTCCGATAGTAATAATATTTTTCAGAATTTACCTATGGAAGATTATCGACAAGTAATGAGAGTTGTGGAAAATGCAATTTTATCCACTGATTTGGCAGCGTATTTCAAAAAGAAAAATCGCTTCATGGAATTAATTGATGAGGGTGAATTTGACTGGCAGAGCGAGGAGAAAAAAGAACGTAAGTTCAAATAAAAATTACAAATTTTTATTTTTCTATAAAAAAAATAATAAACAAATTTTTTTGTGTTTCATTTGACAGTTTTGTGTGGAATGATGATGACAGCTTGCGATGTAAGTGCCATTGCAAAACCCTGGGAAGTTCAACATAAAGTGGCAAAATTGGTAGCTGATGAATTTTTTGATCAAGGCGATTTGGAAAAATTGCAATTAAATCAGCAGCCAGTCGCGATGATGGACCGCGAAAGAAGAGACGAACTCCCTCAAATGCAGGTATTTAGATAAATTTCTTCCTAATTTTCAAAAAATTGTAAATAAATTTTAATTCAGGAAAAATAAATTAATACTAAAAGATTCATTTTAATTTGCTACACAGGTGGGATTCATTGAAGCGATTTGTCTCCCATTGTATCGAGTTTTATCCGAAACATTCCCATGGATAAAGCCACTTTACGAGGGTACACTGGAAAATCGAAAAAATTGGCAGGATCTGGCGGAGAAAGTCGAAATGGGATTGACATGGATTGATCGTGATACAATTGAAAAACCAGTTGAGGAATTTGTTTCCTCAGAACCAAAAGACATTGAATTTACAGTAACGACTTTAAATTGTGCACACACAGAGAAGAAAGATGGATTAACTGATAATATTTCGGATGCGGCGAAATCATCAGCATTAGGACGATTTGCATCGTTGCGTAAAGGTGGAAGAACATTGAGTAAAGGTGTAAGAAGTCGATTAAGTAGATCATTATATTCGAGGAGTAATTCAGAGGATGCTGGCAAGGGCAAGGATTTACTTCCCGAAAGGAAAAATAGAAATAAATTGTGTCTATTAATATGACGGCTAACTACGTCGACCTTGGAAAGTATTCCCGAGTGATCGGCGATATTTTTTACACGACAACTACGCAAAGTTGTTAACAGTGTCAATTGTCTGTCTCGTGAATTAAAACAGAAAACAAAAAAAAAAATTTCCTCCCCACTCCGGGACGAATGGTCGGTCATTGTTTGAGGCCTTAAAGTGAAGTTTGGGGGCTGAACTCGAAAATTTCTGACAAAAAAAAAAAAATCAGAAAATAGTCCAGAAAAATCAATTGAAATTGTACAAAAATTCAAATGAATAGAAAAAGAAAAACTGTTAATGATGAATTGATTGAATTTCATATCCGATCCAGGGTAGGAAGCTCAAAAATCCAAGTCGGTCATACGTGTGCGACTGGAGGTGTGAAGTACCTGTGAAGATCTAAAACTCTCAAATTCACATTTAAGAGAAAAAATTTATACCTTATAGAATTTTTTAATCTCTAGTAATTTAACAAAGAAAATCAAAGATAATTATTAAAACAAAAAAAAAATGCCTATTTTTGTCAAAAAAAAGAGTTGGATTTCCGGGTGCATTATGACTCCAGAAAGCAATAAATTAAAAAGAAAGAAGAAGAAAACAGAAAAAAGTATAGAATATTATAGTAAATGGCTAGGCGATTAGACTGTGAATTTAAACGTCACCTTGTAACATTGCTCACGATAGTTTCGAAGTTGGCGATGAAAGTTAAATAAAAAAAAAAAAAAAAAAAAAAATTGCAAAAGTTAGAAAGCTGTTAAACGTCGCAAAGGAAAATAAAGTAGCACGATCAAGTTTTATCGCGATTAGATAAGTTCAATTTTTGACAATCTTTTTGTATAATTTGAATATATCTCAAAAAAAAAAAAAAAGTGTAAAAGAAAAATCTAGAAGAGAGTGAATCGTTAAAAAAAATTCTAGTGAGCTCTTTTTAAACTCTTATAAGGGTAGTGAGTAAGTCTGATTTTAATTTATTATAATAGCTAAAGTACTTTTTCACCACTACCTGTTAAAAAAAACTTTAAAACAAAATAATGAATGATATATAAAACTTATTTCTGTTTGTACGATGTGCAAAGTGTGTGAAAATTCGTAGATAATTTTAAAAAAAAAAAGAGAGAAATTATTTGTGTTGCCTTCTCTGAAAATTGAGAAATATTCATTGTTATTCATTCATAAACAAAAAGGAGAGAAATAAGATCATAAAAAAAAAGATATTTATATTCAGTGTTCATTAAATGGAAAAAAAAAATATTGCATTTTTACTTCAATGCTCCCTTGCAAAAAGTAAAATGAAATAACATTAAAAAAAAAAAAAAAAAAGATTTTAAAAAGCAATTTTATCTATAGTGTCGAGAATGGTCTTGATTGATGAGTAATGCAATTACATTGTTACCATATAGCAATGTTAAGAATAAAATGTTTTTCAAACTCAAATTATTACTATTGTCCTTGTTCCTTTTCCATTTTTTTTTTTTTTTTTTTTTAAATAAAACGTGAAATTAAATTATTTTTAAATGGTACATAAAAATAAACATAAATTTAGAGAAATTGTCGTTTGATAAAATTTTAATTAATAAACATTGAAATTATATTTTTAATTAACAACATTTTTAAATATTTTATATTACTAATATAATAAATAAATAATTTTAAAATAAAAGAAAGTATAAATTCAATTAAACTTTAATTGAATATTAATTAAATTCAAAAACTACTCTAATATTAACAAAAGTGAAAATACATGATTTTAAGGATTTTATTATTAAAACATTTAGAAATTACACTCGAACGATGTTACCGCTTAGAATAATGAATTCTGCCTTAGTTGGTCCTACTGTTAAGTTAAGTATAACAACTCGCATCGTTTTTCTTTTTTTTTCTTTTTTTTTTTTTTAATAAACTCGTAAACCATCATTGGTAATCTTCCTATTTACATTTCACACAATCTGTTGTTACACAATCAAGGCGAGTCCGCGTGATACTGTGACTTGCGAGCATATCGTACGCACAAAATTTAATTTTAAAAAATCGAGATCAAAATTATTTCCCTCCCCCATAATAAAATATTCGTTCTCAGTAAACGATTTTTTTCAGTCCACGTACGGCGTTTACATGGGAAAAAAAAATAAAAAAAAAAAAAAAGAACAAAAAACTCGTACGTCGAGGCAGTGACGCTATTTATATTATTAATATTATTATTATTTTGGCAAGACTGATAAAGTCTCATTATCACGCCAACCACCTCAGTTTTATTTATTTTTCATTAAAAATAATCATCACATCATCATTATCAGGGGGGTGAGCGATGATCCTCTAAGATCAACAAAACAATTTAATTATGGAGTGTGCAACAATATCATTTGTTCGATTCACCTTTCGAGAAAAATATTCGTCGTAACTTTAATACATATAATACTTAAAAAATAAATTAACTAAAAAACTGCTGCTTTGCATTCAGTCAATTTGTTCTCTAGATTTCAATTCTATATTATTAATTTATTTTTTCGTAGAATTTGATTTTTTATTAAATATAAAAATCAAATTTTCATTGTAGAATTAAAATCTCGAGAATTTGTTACTTCTTTAGGGGATGTTTCAGTTTTTTTTTTTTTAGTACAAATACTAAATGCATAAATCTTAAATGTATCTTTGCTCAAAAAGAAGGTACATTGTTTGAATTATAAAAATTAAAATTGGTACACACTGATAGCGGAAAATTCAAATATTTTTTCCTGGAAATTTCTTCTGCATACAATTTAGAATATTTTCTTACAATAATAGTAATTAATTTCTCAGTCTTTAAATAAAAAAAGAGGATTTTTTTTTGCCAATTTTTATTTTTTATTGAATTAATTAAAAAATAATTGTCAAAAAAAAAGTAGATAAATTTCTTTTTTAAATTAAAATTTCTTCCAACAAGGTAAGAGAAGAAAATGGCAATAATCTGAATTTTCAGCGATCAGTAAAAGTAAGTAGATCGGTACACATAATGTGTTTTAAATATATATATATAAGTTTTACACCTTTTTTTTAAATAAAATAAACCTCTAAATTGCAAAACCCTTGAAAACAAAATAAAAAAAAAAAACAATATATAAATTCTTTCGCTCATTTTGCGGATGATATAGCCTTTCTCCCTGACTAAATTTAGATCTTTCAAAACTCTTTCTTTTTTCTTTAAATCAAAACAGCCAATCCACCATATTAACGCGAGTCTCACTCTCGTGAAAAACGCAGCTAAAAAAATCACTATTCAAGTCTTAGAGACACGAGCGATTGCTATTCCACAATCTTAACAATCTTGGACGAAAAAAAAAATTATGTCGTGCACCCACTCGTACCGTACATTATACACAGAACAATGGAAGATACGATGCGGAAGGATACTTAAATACTCGTGAAGCTCGGAACGTTTTTCAGTGTAGACGCTTTTTTTCTTTGAAAACAAAAAAAAAAAAAAAATATATATATATATATATTTGAAAAACGTCAGTACAAGTCTGTATATAAAAATGAAATCAGTGATACTTGTCAGTCTTTGGAAACACTTTGCACGATTTAATAAATTCTTGAGAATGATTTTTATATTCTAAAAGCTGCTTAGGAGGAAACAAATAAATTGCCCATAAAGAATTAATTCAAAAAAAATTTTCTCAAGAATATTTAAAGAGAAAAAAATTTCTCGAGGCCAGTGAAAATTGTAGGAAATCATTCAGAAGCTATTTATTAAAATGTTAAATAAAAATCGATATCGTGCAAAGTCTCTGTCGGGACGACAAGTGTACAATATTAATCACAATAGTTCACGACTCTCTGGATGAAGAGAATGAATAAAAGATTTTCTTTTTTTTTTGTTTTTGTTTTGTTATATGTATTCTGTCAAAATGGCAGAAAAAAATATGTATTTATATGGGTCACATGAAAAACTCAGTGGATCGGCTGACATGCAGTCACGACGCAGGCCTGTCTAAGATTGAAATCTCTATTAATCTAAGGCCCCGTGTCGTTGGATCTGTCAATAATAGACCGCGTGGCCTGTAAACACGATCATTTTGTTCACTCACAAATTTTGCTATTTTTCTTAAACACTTCTCATAATGTGTCTCAGTGCATATGTAGATTAAATAACCCGTGAGGCATGCAAGACAACTCTCGCAATATGTTGAACAACTGGCACGTTCAGCTTCTACAAAATAATTATTTAATTGCTTGATCGTATACTCGAATGCCTGTCTGTCTATCTGTAATAGGAAAAATTCATTTAGAATATTAATTCGCTCATAAAAATCAATAAAAAATAGAAAAAAAATGAACAAAATAAATTAAAATTGATTTTTCGAGAAAAAAATAGTACTTACTCTGTCTTCTAAATCCGGTGGAAATCGAGTTTGAAATTTGACATTTGTACCATCAGTATAATCTCGTTGGATGAATACCTTTTGACAATTTTGAGGAGGCCCTCCACCAGCTTGACCTCTTCCACTTGACATGTCTTCAAGTGGCGTCAAAGCTGAATGATTTTCCTGTAATTAACAATTAACTGTACTACAAAAAAAATTATTTATTTTTAAATTTATTTATTTTTAAATTTATATTATATATAAAATAACATTTCTTCTTAATAAAATAAGTATTTTTCTTGCAGTTCAGAAATTTTTATAATTAAAACCAAATTGCAAAAGACAATCAATTCTTATAATAAAATAAAAATTAAAACTGCAATTAACCTAATTTAATTAACAAAAATAATATTTTGTAATAATGAATTTTAAATTAAATTTAGTTCACTATTTAATTTTCACTAGTCATCAAATGCATTTAACTGTTAATATACTATTGAGAAATAATAATAATATATCTATTTTCAAATCACATAATTTTTTAAAATCTATAATCAATTATCAGGTTATTTGAGATAATATAGAAAATTAATATGAAAACACGTCATCAAATTGTAACTAAAAATAAATTTCCACTTAATAAATTGAAAATTATAATTATCCAAAGATATTAATTTAATCAATCATAAATTGACACCAACACTTAAGAAATATATGTGTGATCTTTAATAATTGAATCTTCACTCTCAGTGCCCAGGAAAACTAACCACAAAAACCGCGCCCACACTATATATTAAAACAAAAACAAATATCGTATTTTGAAAAAATTATGCAAAATTTTTTTTTAGAGTATAATTATAATTAGGGAAAAATTAGAAACTTACTTTAAAACGGAAAAGTTATTATATTTATATACTGAAGGACGAAGAACTTTTTACTGAAGAATGACAAGTTCAAGATGATCAGGAAGCACTTACCAGTGGCATTTTGAGCTTCGTTTTGCACTTGGAGACAGAAGCAGATAAATAAAATCTTCTCCAACACAATCACTTTTATTGCACTTTCACTAATGTTGATAATTTTTCTAATTTTCTTAGCTGAATTCTCGAAAAATTTGCAAAAAAAAAAAGAGATTATCAGCTAAACACAGACGCACACACGGTCATTGTACGATCTCCGTAGCCATTATCGATGCGCGCGCATTTTACCGCAAAACTTTGATAAAATTTAAATTATTCTCTTCACTTACATATTAATTTTAATAAAACAATGTTTTTTAAATAATTATTCTTAATATTTCTTACTTTATAAATTCTTAACAATATAGTTCTCTAACTGTCATTCATCTTTGAAGCATAACCAAATATCGTTTACTTACGAATAACCGCAATTGATCTTGTTTCTTCTTTATATAATAATTATTTCAATTATTTGTTTAATTTAATATTGTTTTTACACTAGTTAAAATAGATTTTTTATTGAGAATTTTGTTTTACACTTGTTTTTCAAGTAGTAGTGGGCCGCCATCTTGGATTTTTTTAATACGTAAAAGCGCCGCATAGTGGAGAAAACTGATACTAACCAGCTGTCAAAATCATCGACTGACAAAACGTCAACTTTGATTAAAATTTTGTAAATTTTCATATTTAGTTAATAAAAAAATAGGAATATATATTTAAAAATGTCATATAAGGTAGGCCAGAGAGTTGAAATTGCTGGCAAAGATTGTCAGGGAGTAATTGCATATATAGGTCATCCTTCGTTTGCTTCTGGAAAATGGATTGGAGTAATACTTGATGAAGCAAAGGGTAAAAACAATGGAACAATTAAAGGACAGGTTTATTTTAAGGTAAATTTAATTGTTTTCCATTATTTTCCAATGCGTTCAACTATTTTTCATTTGAATAATTAACAATATCTATTACCTGTTGTTAATTATAGGGTGTTTACATTTTAAGGTTAAGTTTCATAGGGATTTAATTTTTATATAAATTATTAATTTTACAGTATTTTTATAATATTTATTATAAATGTTAATTTGTTATATCTTTCTCTTTCAATTGTACATTCTTTAGGGTTTATATTTAATTGTTAGCTTGTATAATATTTAATTATGTCGATTATAAATGGTTTTTTTTTTAGGTTATATTTCGCTGAATTGAATTTATTTCTTTTTCAATAATAAATAAATGTTTTATTTAACAGTGTGCGGAAAATCATGGAATGTTTGTGCGACAGGCACAAATTATTTTAATAGACGAATCTGGAAATAGAGCTGATCCTGTTAGTCCTTCTTCTGCAGGAAGTATTGCGACTACTCCAGATGATAGTGGAGCAGCGAGAGCCAGAAGTCGACTTAACAGGTAATAAAATTTAAAAAAATAAAAATTTAATTTAAAAACGTAGTTTAAAAGTTTAAATCACAAGGAAGAAGTTTCGGGACAATAAATTTTTTTTTTTTTAAGTATTAGATACATATATTCAATATTTTCATGCTAGCATCAGCATTCGAAGAAGGAACGAACCGACGACGTAAGTTTTTTTCATATTAATGTTAATTTTTTCTGTTTTTTTTTTTAATATAAATTAGAGTTCATAATTTGCTATTTTATAATATTCGAAAAAAAATGCACAAAAAAATGGAGGCTCAATTAATAAAATATTAATATCCATACGCTGCTTTTAATAGTGTTAGAAGAAAAACATCACCAGCGCAAGTTATTCGTCAGCAAACTGACAAACTTTCTGGGTAAGAATGAAAAACAAATTTTCAAGGTAGACGTTTATAAAAAGCCTCCTGTGCTTTCTGTATTTTCAACAACGCGAGCTTTTTATCTGTATTTATCTGTATATCACAACATCAAAATGAGTTTTTGATGTTACAAGGATTATCGACTCTATGAAAAAAACAATCTTTTTATTTTTTGTATAATAAAGAAAATTTTTTTTGCATTTTTAATAGGAATTTTTCGTTTAATTACTTAATTTTCAGAGTCGATATTCTGCTTTAATGTATAATACAAAAAAAAATATAAGACATTATCAAAGGAATCACATTTAAAAATATATATACACATTTGTTTTTCTTTATGCATGAAATAATTATTTAAAAAATTGTGTGAATAATGTTCTGGAATTTTCCAGTTCACTGTACTTTTGCAATGTTCAATTATTTTCTAATTGATAATCACAAATATGAAAAATTGTGTAGAAAAGCTTTATGTCGGCATTTGTCTTTAAGAAATAAAATTTAAAAAAAAATAAATAAATAAAAAACACACGCTTACGCACAATTTTTGTGCATGGTTCTTGAAATTTTTCTCCGGCTACTTTTGAAATATTCAAGACGCTCAAAGTTTGTAAAAAAAAAAAAAAAATAATAATGGTTTTGATGAATTTTGTTCGAGAGTGTACCATGCATTTATATAATATATATTTGAAAAAAAAATATGTCAAGCTTGTTGAAAGGAAGACGCTAGAAAAATTGGTATTTGATTGTATAATTGAGTTTTTTTTTTCTTTTTTATGATACATTGAATTATATCTTGGTATTTTTTTATTTTTGCAGTTCACGACTTTCATTGGCTGGTAGTAGAACACAATTGAGTGCTCCAAGTACTGAGAATCTTAGTATTTCCACACATGAACGAAAAGATATTGGCGAATCACTTATTCCTGCACCAACCACCACCAAAAGAGCTTCATTTGTCGAGGTATTATTTTCTCACTAAAATAATTAAATTTCGATTAAATCTTATTTCTTCTTTTCTTCTAATAAAAAATAATAGATTAAAGTTGAATTATTTTATTTTAATTAATAATTAATTAAGGTATAGACACTTGTGAATATTTTAAAATTAAATTAAAACCCCGTAAAAAGAATGTTTATGACGTTAATTTTTTTTTTTTTTTTTGAAAGAAATTCATGTTTATAATTATTGGTTTTGAAGTGGAATTTACATCGTATTGATATTTGTCAATTTAAATTGATTTCAATGGGATTCATTTATGGGAATGCACGTACGTGTTTCAGAAGTCCCCTAGCACGAGTTCGCCTTCCGGCAAAAAGCCAAAGGGCCAAGATGACAATGTAATTAATACTCATTAATTAAGTACCTACTGTTTCAGTTTTTTCTTTAATATTAATACATCATCTCTCTAATGATATTGACTAGTTCTTTATCCCTCATATGGTTATTTTTAACTTCATAATTCATAAATAGTAATTAGTAAAAATTAATTATCCGCTTGGAAAAAAAAAACAAAAATGGTTAACTGATTCAGCTTATCTCTTTCATTCACCATCTTCATTATAATCACTCAGCTTCTTTGATTAATTTATATGTGCGATGCGTAGAGAGAGAAAAAAAAATACAGTTTTAATAATAAAACTGAATTTCTCTTTGGTTACAATCTTCACTTTATTTATTCTCACGCCTTGTGTCATCAATAATATATAATTGTGATTTAATTCATCGTATTGGGTTTATCGCGCGTTTTTAATTCTATTTACTAGAACTAATAGTCATTTATTCTTTTTCTCATTAAATTAGCTTTTTGGTGTCTGCTGCCATGACTAAATTTTTTTTTTATAACTTCAAAAAAAACTACTCTTCAGCTACTAGGTGTACATACAACATGGAACACTGCTGTTATTATGCAATATTATCAGATGTATGTTTCTTTTAATGCAATACATAGAATGTTTTCTCTTTTTGTTTAGCAGGATTGAAACAAATTTTAAGAGAAAATAAAATTCAACATATATTTGAATAAAATTTTTAAAAATTGTAATCATTTCCGCAGTAAAGTTCAAAAATTAATATTTATTTATTTTTTAATTTTCATATTATTATAAATTGTCTAATTATTAATTAATTGATTTTTATTATTAATCATTGTTTATCAATTTTTTTTTCTGATATATAGCCCTGTGAATTGTACACAATGAAATATGGTTTTTTCATTAAAAATAAAAAAGTAACCTGGATTACAGATTTGCGGTACTAGTTAGCAGTAGATCTAATCTTTACCAAAAAACACATTTTAACCACTAGTTTGTTGACGTAACATGCAATTCGATTTTTTTTTTTGTTAAATAATTTATTTACTTGTTTTTCAATGTAGACGGGATTTGTGGAGACTTTAAAACCACAATTTGTTCCTGGTCAGTCAATTGCGAGTTCAACAACAGCTTCAAGTAATATTGAAGAGAAACTCACGCACATGCAAATTGCACAAGAAAATGAAAATTTAAAATCACAGGTATTTAAAGTATTTTTAAAATAATATATTTAAATTATATTTAAAAAAAAATTGTATTAAAAAACAGAAAATTTTGTTTGGTATCTAATTATATTTTTAAAATCAACTGTATTTATATAAACTTAAAGCTGTTATATTATTTTAGGTACGTGATCTCACGGAAAAAGTTGAATTGCTGAGAGTCAAACGAATTCAAGATAAGGAAAGAATGAAAGATTTCGAGAAAGTGAAAATACAATTAGATCAACTTATAGAATTTAAAAGTAAAGTTATGGAGAGTCAAGTGAGTCAAATAATAAATATATTAAATTTTTCTAGTAATTAAAAATATTTTGTAAAATAATTTAACAATTTTTTTTTAACTTATTGTTTTTTTTTCGAAGGCGATGTTGCAAAGAGATCTTCAACGAGCAAAACAAGAGGCTCGAGATGCACACATAGCCAAAGAACAATTCCAGGAAGAAATGTCTGATTATGCAGAAACTGTCGAAATGGCAACTCTTGATAAAGAAATGGCTGAGGAAAAAGCGGAAACACTACAAATCGAATTGGAGCAACTGAAAGAAAAATTGGAGGAAAAAACACTGGATTTAGAAATATTGCGCACGGAAATGTCGGACAGAGTAAGAGATAATAAAAAGAAATAAAATTACAAATTTTGTTTCCTATAAAAATTATTTTAAAAAAATTGTTTTTCTCAGGTGGGAGGTGGAACGGCTTCCGGAACTTCGAGTTTCGAAGTTAGGCAATTGGAACAACAAAATAGTAGATTACGTGAGACTCTTGTAAAAATGAGAGATTTCTCCGCGCATGAAAAACATGAATTTCAAAAACTTTTGAAAGACTTGGAACAAAAGAAATCGGAAATTATGGAATTAAGTCGTACCAAGGAGAAATTATCGTCAAGAGTCGAAGAAATGGAGCACCAAATTGCCGACCTGCAAGAACAGGTACTAAAAATTAATATTTTTTTAATGAAAAAAAAAAATAAAAAATTTTTCTTTTTAATTTAGGTTGATGCAGCTTTGGGCGCTGAAGAAATGGTTGAATTACTTGGAGAAAGAAAAATGGCCTTGGAGGAAAAAGTTGCTGAACTAGAGGAAGCCGTTTCGGATTTAGAAGCTCTACAGGTAAATTTTTTTGAAATTTAATAAAAAAAAAAATACAATTCATTTACTTTGAAATTTAATTTTTAAAATTGAATATTTTATTATTATTATTATTATTATCAAAAGGATATGTCAGATCAACTCGCAGAATCGTCGAAAGAATTGGAACTTGAACTTCGTGAGGAATTGGATCTTGCTTTGGGATCAGCGCGAGATGCTCAAAGGCATAAAGACGCAGCTTTAGAAACTCTCGCGGATCGTGAATTGACAATTGCAAAATTCCGAGACTTGACACATCAATTGCAAGATCAATGTCTACAATTGCAACAACGAATGCAAAGCACAGAATCAACTAAATCAGGAAATCGAGGTTATTTTTTTCCGCAAAATTAAAAAAAAAAAAAAAAATTGTTTTCTTACGAAATATTAAAATTAAATTATAATTTTATTATCCTGTAAAGGAGGTTTCCTTTTTTTTGTAACAAAGTTAAAATAAATTAATTAAATTTTGCAGGTACAGAACAACAATTGGCCGATATTCTCGATTTCCAAAAAACATTCGCTGAAACTCGAGCACAAACAAAAGCTGTTGATCTTGAACTTCGTCGCTTGGAAACTGAAGAGGCACGATGTCATGTAAAATATTTATTATCATTTATGCCACCGGCGTTTATGATTCGAGGCGGTGATAACGATGCAATAATGACGCTTCTTCTCATTCCAAGAATGACCAAGAAAACGGAAATTTTGATTTCACAAGTGAGGGATAAATATAGCCAAGTCGAGAAATTTGACAGGTTCGATATTATTTACTTTTAATTTTACTTTTATTTTAAAATAATTTTTATTTCTAAAACAATATTTAATTTATTTACTAATTATTTTTATTTGAAATCTATTATAGAGAAATTTTGTTTTTAATTTAAGAATTGAAAATTTCAGACAAGGCGTGATGAAGGGTCATTCGATTGCTCAATTTGCCTTTAGATCTCGTCTTTGCAGTCATATGTATGCATTGCAAACGTCACTTGGTTGTTTTGAGTCGGCATTGAATAATTGTACATCGGAAATGTTATTAAAGGCAGGTGCCGCTTATCCAGAAATGGCAGCGCAAGAAAAATGTCTTGATTATTTAATTGAATTGGTGAAACGTGATCAACTCGATGAAAATCTTCCAATGGATGCTGTTGAAAAATGTTGTGGTTATTTTTCAACAATGTTTTCCATTTTATTTGAAGAGAAAGGTTTTGACAATCAAGCCCAATTAGTTATTAATGGTACAAGGACTTTAGGCAGTTGTTGTGAGGCAATAACAACTGACGCTTCCGCTATCAAAACACTTATTGATGGCGAAGGCGGTGATATTGGTAAATAAGTTATTTAAACGATATACTTTTAGAGAAAAAAAGAATTATTATTTTGAATTTTTTTTGTTTAGAAATAGAAAATAGTAAATCTTAATTTTTTTGCATTACAGCATTATTGTGTCAACATGTGGAAACAACTTGTGAAGTTATTCAGCAACATTTGAAATCTGCAAGACGAAGAGTACCTCGAGAACATTTAATTGGTTCGTCGCCAGCGGAAGCCAATTTGGAATTAGATAAAGATTGGATGGAGCAATTGACAAATTGCTATCAAAATGGAACTAAAATTATGAAATCGTTACAGGATTTATTGAAAAATGCTATTCAGGCTATCATTGCAAATGGAGGTAAAGTAGAATATAAAATTCGAAATTTTACATTTGGCAAATAAATGAAAATAAATTAGAAAAAGTTTTATGGAAATTAAAGTATTTCTTTTGTATTAGATCTAGATTCCGGTTTGGTTGCATCGAAATTAAAGGAAATGGCAGCAGCTTCGACGGAAAAAATATATGACACGGAAGATTTAGGACCTGTGGCTTCCATCAAAGCAAGTTTGTCAGTGATTCAACAAGTTGCTGCTAATTTAGCGCAAAAAATGGCTGAATGCGAAAATGAATTAGCCATTTCGGGTAATACATTAAAACAACAACAACCGGCTAGTGGAGAGCCGACAAATCCTATTTTGATTCGAGCACAAACTGTTAAAAAAGAAGCTGAAGAAACTAAAATACTTAGCAGGTAATATTTTTAATTTCAATATAAAAAATTTATTTAATTAATTTTTATTTTATTCGAATTAATTAATTCTAGAAAACTTGAGTCGAGAGATAGTGATATACGAGAGGCGAGAATTGCTTTACGTGAGAAACAAGAAGAAATATCAGAGATGACTCTAAGGAAAGAATTAGCAGAAAAGCGACTTGCCACACAACAACATGAAAATGAATTAAATATCGAGAAATTGAAGAGAAAACTCGAGGAAGCACAAAATCAACTCAAACGAAAGGTAAATTAAAATTAACTCGTCTATTTAAATTATTATAATTAAAAGAAATAGTTATAACAATATTAATAATGAATAAGTTTCAAAATTAATTAAAACAATTTTTTTTATAGGAAAAAGAGTTTGAAGAAACGATGGACCATTTACAAACGGATATCGATAGTTTAGAGACGGAAAAGGGTCAATTGAAGGAAAAACTGAAAACTTATGGAAAGAAAACAACGCCAACTTTGTCGGGAACGGAGGGAATTACAGGTGTCTCGTTGGATGTCAGTTTACCTGGTGATGTGTCTCAGGATAATCAACTTCTATTGAATCAAATTAATGCTCTGAAAGGAGCTTTGAATAATGAGCAACAAGAAAAATGTAAATTACTTGCTGCCGATATGTTCAAGAAATTAGAATCATTGAGTACGTTACACGTTATTGATAAGCGAACCGTGGATTCAAAACTAATTGAATTACGAAAGAAACGATCAGAACTCATCAAGGTATTGTGATTAATCAATTGATTTTCTTATCATTTATCAGTGTTAAATTGTTAATTGTAAAATTTTTTAATTTGTAGGAAGTAAATGAAGTTGCATTGTTCCCCAAAGTTCCGGATTTAACTCGCAATAAATTGATAACACGTGATGCGCCAGTTTTGGATAAAGCAATGCCCGCTTATCAATTGATTAAGAGAAAAATGGACCTTAAAAATTTGAAAGAAAGAACCGATCAATTATCTGTAAGTTTGAACTTTATATAAAATATAAAAAAAAAGTTAAATTAATGTTAGTTAACATAATTTTTCTTTATTTTCAGAGTGAAATTCGTAATGAATTAGTAAAAAGGACTTTCGGTGGATGCGCTGAATCGAATTTTGCCATTTTTCCAAGTCGCGAAATGGTGGCTGCTATGAACGAGAAAAAGAAAACAATGATCGCAGAAATTGATATTCCCCATCCTGGTCCATCGGAATCATTTATGATAAATGTTGGCTCTGAAGAATTACGAAAAGTCCACGCTCTTATATGTTACTAAAAATTAAAGCTTTTTCTTAACTCTACCTGAAATAATGAGAGAAAAAAGAAATTTTAATAAAATTCAAAAAATATAGGAATTATAAATTAAATTTAGAATATTTAAAAAACATTGACATTGATTAGTTTGAATTTTTTTTTTAATTTCTACTAGCTATTTTAACTATGTATAATTTATATGTTATTACTTTCTTTAGAAATTATTTACTTTTACTTGTATTATTATTTTATTTAAATTTTATTATATTAAATTCTTATCATACAAAATAAAAAATTCGTTATTAGGTGAAATTATGCAATTTCTATATTTATTTACAAACTGATAATTTGCTTAAAAATACTATATAAAAAAACAAATTGTTATCAGCAAAAAAAATTTTTTTTACTATACAATTTTTTGTACTTAATTTATCATAAATAAATGTTGACTATGGGCTTGTAAACGTTCAACTAAAAATTATTCAAATCATTTTTCACCAATAATTTTTTTTTAAATATTTCTGTAGATATTCAGACATATTTAATTTAAAATGTGTTTTTGTTTCCCACAAGCTATTAATAAATAGTTAATTTAAATATTTAATTCGTTTTCAATAGCATAAACTTGTCTAATTATTTAAATTTCCCGGTTATGGAACCCTGTTCATTCAAATTATCGTGAAATTATCAAATCTTTATAAAATATTAAAAAATACTTTTATTTATTAATTTTCATTATTTAATTCATTATTTTAATCATAAATTTAATTTTAATAATATAAAACAAATTAGTAAATTAGATTTTAAGTTATATTTTTAAATGTTATGGTTTGGCAACACTGGAAAATTGCTCATGCGCACTTTCATATTTTTTTGCTTCGAAATTTAATGTTGTCAGCACTGCTTGCAAGATTGTGTTAGTGTCCATCGTCGGATATCATGTCAATTTTGAGTTTCTATCAAAAAAACAAAAAGTTTATTTAATAAAACTTATAAATCATAACGTCTAAGGTTTAGATTAAAGTGAAAAAAGAAAGAATTGTATAGGGATTGTGATTTACTTGTAGTCAAGTTCTGTATTCGAAAAGTACACGGGGCAAAATGAGTCGCCGAAAACGAGCAAAGGTAACTAAATATTTTTTATATATTTAAACAATTTATCAATGATTATCTCATTTCTATTATTGTAACATGCATAAATGCAATTTTATTACTTATTAATTTAATTTAATGTGGTCATGCATTTAAAAGTTTGTAAAATTCAAAGTATCACATTTGAGTTGTTTACGATTTGAGGAGGTTATGTTTTGACCTCGTTCATGTGTTTTTTTTTACTTTAAAAAAAAAAACATAATAAAATTTTGGTTTCTATTTTACACTTTTGAAAAATGAGTCCTTTATTAAAGTACATTATTAACATTTATAAATGTACTGAAATTAAATTTCAATTTAAGTCATTAATGTATATTTTCAATGAAATTTTAAAGAAAAATATAAAATATAGCATAAAGTTATATGTAATTTATTAAAAATTTACTTTGAAATAGATATAAATTACCTTAGTAATTTATTAATACATACAGAAATTACTAAATTAATATCGTGTATTATAATTTGTGTCTTTAAAATATGTTTAGGTTGAATATAGAGAAATGGAAGAAAAATATAATCAATTGGATGATGAAAATGCTTCCGATACTTCTGAAAAATCAAAAACTGGTTTGGGAACACCAGAAAAGAAAGGTTTAATAGAAACTAAAAAGGATCCTGAACCAGTAGCAACAGCTCCTCCACCAGCTCCTGCAAAAATTGAAACAAAGGAGGAGGAAGAACAAGACAGTGATCATGAAGATCCACATGGTAAATATTATAAAAAATTTATTTTTAAATTACAAATAAAATTGTATATTTTCCAATTTTTACATAAATAATAAAAAAAAAAAAAAAATTTTCTTCTAGTAAAAGAATTGCTCAATGGTCTCGAAGGTGCTGCATTTCAAAGTCGTCTTCCCTTCGATAAATTAACATCAACTGAAGCAGCTTGCTTTCCTGATGTTTCCAATGGACCTCCACAAACTCAAAAAGTTTTCTTACACATTAGAAATAGATTAGTGAGTTTTCTATTTAATTTTAATGGTATATTAATAAATTTGATATTTTCTTTTTGTTCAAATGATTTCTAAATATTATTTTCTATTAATTTACAGTTACAAATATGGTTAGAAAATGCAAAACAACAGCTCATTTTTGAAAATGCCTTGCCTCAAATTGAGGCTCCTTATAATAGTGACACAATTCTTGCACGTCGAGTTCATGCTTTCTTAGAACGACATGGATTCATTAATTTTGGTGTATTTAAAAGACTTAAGGTAATTATTATTAAATAAAAAAAAAAAAAAAAATGTATACAAAATTTATGAGTCGATTTATAAACATTGAATTGAGTATTTTTAATTTAGAAAATCTTTTTTTATATTTCAGCCAATACCAACAAAAAAATTAGGCAAAGTAATAGTAATTGGTGCAGGAATCGCAGGTTTAGCTGCTGCTCAACAAATGCAACAATTTGGTTTAGAAGTTATTGTTCTAGAAGCTAGAGTAAGTAAACTTTTAAAATTAATAATTATTTAATTTAAAAAAAAAAATTTTAAGTATTAAAAATTATTTTCAAAAGTAAAAAAAAAATTGTTATTGATATTTTAATTAATTATTTTTATACAATTTACAGGACAGAGTAGGTGGAAGAATTGCAACATTTAGAAAATCTTCCTATATTGCTGATTTAGGGGCAATGGTTGTTACTGGCCTAGGTGGTAATCCTGTAACAACTCTTAGTAAGCAAATTAATATGGAATTGCATAAAATAAGACAGAAATGCCCTCTGTATGAAAGTGACGGTCAAACTGTGAGTATAATTTTATTAATTTAAATTTAAATATTCTATAAATATTAACTAAAATAAATATACTCGAAAACTTTCAGTTAGAAAATTAATATTAAATACTAAAATTTTAGAAATAATAAAATGAAGATTATTATAAAATATTATAATTTAATTTCATTAAATTGAATTGCATTTTTAGGTACCAAAAGATAAAGACGAAATGGTCGAAAGAGAATTTAATCGATTACTAGAAGCGACTTCGTATCTTTCACATCATTTAGATTTTAATTATGTTAATAATACTGGAGGTGCGACACAAACAACTCCAACACGTCCAGTTTCTTTGGGACAAGCTCTCGAATGGGTGATACGATTACAGGAGCAGGGCGTTAAACAAAGACAAGTTACTCATCTTCGACAATATCTCGCCCTGCAAGGACGACTCATAGCCAATCAACACAGGGTAAATATTTTATTTATTTAATATATTTTCCTGTAAAAGTTCATTTAAAAAAAAAAAATTTCCTATGTCAATTCAAGATCTTTTATTTTTATTGAAATATTATTTTACTAGACGAAAACTTTTTTCAGATGATTGCTATTAAGGAACGTTTAGTTGAATTAGACAAACAATATAAAGAAATGCTGGACAGTAAACAAGCAAGAGATATTACTCAGGAGTTCGTTCTAAGATCAAAATTACGTGACTTACACAATGTTTGTAAAGTAAGTAATAAATTGATCATTTTAATGATTAATTTATTTAAATTTTTTTTCTGATTTTTTTTTTTTTTTTTTTAAGGAATGGGATCAGCTCGCAGAGCAACAAAAAGAAATTGAGGCTAAATTACAAGAATTAGAAGCTTCGCCTCCAAGGTTAGTATTTAAATAAATTTTCTTAGAATATATTAGAGAAATTTGTAAAAAAAAAATTTGCCGTTTTGCAAAAAAACATTTAATTTTTTTATACCAATTTATCGTCATTATTATATGTTTCATTAAAAAATATTGAATTAAAAATATTTTTTCATTTATTACAGCGATGTATATTTATCCTCCAAGGACCGACAAATATTAGATTGGCATTTTGCAAACTTGGAATTCGCCAACGCCACATCACTGTCCAATTTAAGTCTGAAACATTGGGACCAGGATGACGACTTCGAATTCACTGGCAGTCATCTAACGGGTGAGTACATTTTTTTTGTCACCTCACTTCACATTCCCCAGAAAATACTCGAAAAATTACAAAATTTTGCACTCACTTTAATTGAATTTAACAAAACATATATATTCGAGTACAAAATTATTTCCGCATATTTCCAAAGAAATTCCTTCATTATTATTTCTCTTTATATTGAGAAAATTACAAAATGGTAAAATTAATAGTTCGAAAACAAAATTATTTATAATATGAATATTTCTACAATGAAATTAATATAAAAACCTCCCCAAAAAAAAAAAAATAAAAAGAGAAAAATAAAAACTAAATACGCCAATAATTTCATGAGACATGAAACGTGAAAGCGAAACAAATCAAATTATAGTAATTAATTGGAATCAATCAGACAATTGGGGACCTGATGGTTTCTTGTTGCTCAACGCTTAGCTCGAAAGAACCGGAACTTTGCGCTTCCAAATATGGCGTGTCCAGAATTTGCAACCATTCCCTTTCCCTTCTCTTCGCCCGCTCGCCCCCCCCTGCCCCCTTTGGCAATTCTTTGTGTCTTTAGGCGATCGCACAGATTGCCCTCGCCGTATATGTGAACTTGAACGAGTTTTAAAATGCGTACAATGCTAAAGACAGGATGGCAATTAAATTTTATGCAAGATTTTGAATTTATTGAATTTATTTTATTGTACCCTCGCCCATATCTTGATCCTTAATCAAGTGGGACCATTATTTTAGTTATATGTGACGGTTTAAAAATTACAAACAAGGACAGAAATTTAAAGCTCAAAGGAGCAAAAAAGAAAGAAAAAAAAAAGAAATGAATAAAATAAAATTAACATTTTGGAAAATTTTTTTTTTATAAAATATTTATATTTATTTAATTTATGATTAAAATTTTGATGTTCTCGAATTAATTAATTTTTTTTATTCAAATTTTCATAAAGTATTGAATTTCTATTTGATTTTATACGGTTAATTGACAATTTTAATAAAAAAAAATTCTGTTAAATGTCAGTTCCATTAAGTGACAATTCGCTATAATGACAGCTTAATTAAATTAAAATTTAGTTAAATAATAATTAAAGGGGAAATAAAAATTTAATTGAAAATTTGGTTAAATAATAATTTAGTTAAATAAAAATTCGGTTAAATGTCATTTCCATAAGGTGACAATTCGGTATAATGTCACGTTTCATTTAATGAAAATTTAGTTAAATAATAATTCAGTGAAATGAAAATTAAATTGAAAATTTGGTTAACAAATAATTTAGTTTAATGAAAATTTGCTTAAAGTTCTAATGGAAAATCGATTAATTTTGGCTAAATGACAATATGGCTAAATAAATTTCTTTTTTGGTAAATATTAGTTAATATTATTAAAAAAAAATTGATGTAAATTTTAATTCTCTCGTAATTTTTTTTAAATAGAAAAAATTTAATTAAATGAAAATTTGGTTAAATAATAAATTTGCTTAACTAATAGTTCGGTTAAATAGCAATTCGATGAAGTAATAATCCAATTAAATGACAATTCGGGTGAATAAAAATTATGTTATCAATTCGTTTTAATGCCAATTAAATCTAATTGCATTTTACTTGAAAATTCAGTTAAATAATAATTCCAGTCTAAAGAAAATTCGGTTAAATAGCAATTCGGTAAAATAATAATCCAATTAAATAATAATTTGGGTAAATAAAAATTCTGTTGTCAATCCATTTAATTTCCAATTTAGTGTAGTTGCAGTTTAGTTAGAAATTTGGTTAAGTTATAATTCCAGCTTAATGAAAATTCGGTTAAATAGCAATTCGGTGAAGCAATAATCCAACTAAATGACAATTCAAGTGAATAACAATTCTGTTGTCATTCTATTAAAATGCCAATTCAGTGTAATTGCATTTTAGTTAGAAATTTGGTTAAGTTATAATTCAAGCTTAATGAAAATTCGGTTAAATAGCAATTTGGTGAAATAATAATTCCAACTAAATGACAGTTCGGGTGAATAAAAATTCTGTTATCAATTCATTTAAATGCCAATTCAGTGTAATTGCATTTTACTTGAAAATTTAGTTAAATAATAATTCCAGTCTAATGAAAATTCGGTTAAATAGTAATTTGGTGAAATAATAATCCAATTAAATAATAATTTGGGCAAATAAAAATTCTGTTATCAATCCGTTTAAATTCCAATTTAGTGTAGTTGCTGTTTAGTTAGAAATTTGGTTAAGTTATAATTCAAGCTTAATGAAAATTCGGTTAAATAGCAATTCGGTGAAATAATAATCCAACTAAATGACAATTCGAATGAATTAAAATTGTGTTGTCAATTCGTTTTAAATGCCAATTCAGTGTAATTGCATTTTAGTTAGAAATTTGGTTAAGTTCTAATTCCAACTTAATGAAAATTCGGCTAAATAGCAATTCGTAATGTCAATACGGGCAAATAAAAATTCTCTTATCTATTCAGTGTTGTTACATTTTAGCTAGAAATTTAGTTAAATAATAATTCAAGCTTAATGAAATTCGGTTAAATAGCAATTCGGTGAAATAATAATTCCAACTAAATGACAATTTGCGTGAATAAAAATTCTGTTATCAATTCATTTAAATGCCAATTCAGTGTAATTGCATTTTAGTTAGAAATTTGTTTAAGTTATAATTCAAGCTTAATGAAAATTCGGTTAAATAGGAATTTGGTGAAATAATAATCCAACTAAATGACAATTCGAGTGAATAAAAATTCTGTTATCAATTCGTTTTAAATTGCCAATTCCGTGTAATTGCATTTTAGTTAGAAATTTGGTTATGTTATAATTCCAGCTTAATGAAAATTCGGCTAAATAGCAATTCGTAATGTCAATACGGGTAAATAAAAATTCTCTTATCTATTCAGTGTTGTTACATTTTAGCTAGAAATTTAGTTAAATAATAATTCAAGCTTAATGAAAATTCGGTTAAATAGCAATTCGGTGAAATAATAATTCCAACTAAATGACAATTTGCGTGAATAAAAATTCTGTTATCAATTCATTTAAATGCCAATTCAGTGTAATTGCATTTTAGTTAGAAATTTGTTTAAGTTATAATTCAAGCTTAATGAAAATTCGGTTAAATAGGAATTTGGTGAAATAATAATCCAACTAAATGACAATTCGAGTGAATAAAAATTCTGTTATCAATTCGTTTTAAATTGCCAATTCCGTGTAATTGCATTTTAGTTAGAAATTTGGTTATGTTATAATTCCAGCTTAATGAAAATTCGGCTAAATAGCAATTCGTAATGTCAATACGGGTAAATAAAAATTCTCTTATCTATTCAGTGTTGTTACATTTTAGCTAGAAATTTAGTTAAATAATAATTCAAGCTTAATGAAAATTCGGTTAAATAGCAATTTGGTGAAATAATAATTCCAACTAAATGACAGTTCGGGTGAATAAAAATTCTGTTATCAATTCATTTAAATGCCAATTCAGTGTAATTACATTTAACTTAAAAATTTAGTTAAATAATAATTCCAGTCAAATGAAAATTCGGTTAAATATCAGTTAAATAATAAATTTGTAATGAATTTTTATTTCAATTTTGAAAAAATAGAATTTTTTTTTGAGTAACAATTTTTATTTTTAAAAAATAAATGCCAACAGTTTTTGAGGGAAATGTAATATGAAAAAAAAAAAAATGAGTTATACATTGGACTTTTTTGTGAATAATATAATCCTTGGTGAAAACAAGGGAAAAAATTTGTTAAGAGATTTCGCCGGCGCGTATCTATATAGTGAATTCGTATATATGTTATACAGTGACATTGTGTACCCGCAGCTGGTGCACTACTAAAGATCCAAGGAAGATGCTGCACTCCATGGGAAGATGGCGTAGATAACGCGTGAATTATTTCCGCGGTACATCCGCTTTCGAGGCAGGTACTCGACATCCTCCTACCCTTCCCCTCCTCCTCTTCCTCCTTCGCCGCCGTCTTCTCTCTTCTTTACGTCCCCACCTATCTTTCCGCCCAGTTGACTTTATCAACCTTATTAAAAACCGATTCCAAGAGATCCCGTAGAGATAGGAGGCTCTATCCTGGAGCCGATCAAATACCCCAAGTCGTCGTCGCGAGTCCTCGTTATATTACAGGCGTGTGTATATATATTTTTGCTAAGAGCCAACAAGGGTATTTAGGGTGGTATAAAGTGACTTTACTTGTGCGCCAATGATCGTTTCAGTATTTTTTTCTTTTCTTTTTTTTTTTTTCTTTTTTTTTTTTGGTATCCTATTAGCACTTTGGGGGGGAAAAAAAAGAGTGTTTTGGACCCGTTTAGACGCGGTAAACCAGGAAATCCGATTGTGTGCTTTATACGGTAGTATGGTTACGACATTAAGTTATGATGGAGATCACTATCCGAGAAAGCGTAAAGTAACTGCTTACAGCAAAGTGCACCGGCGATTATCCAAATCGTGCACCGATCTTTACGTACGACATGCTTCTCTCTCTCTCTCTCTTGACTCTCTTTTTTTTTTCCTTTTTATTTGCAGTCGCGCCGAGAGTCTTCTATTCAGAGCGCGGCAAACTGGATCTCTGCACAAGACAGATTTAACTTTAAATCGAAAGTGAATGATGATTCTCTGTAGGTTCAAATGCAGATTGCGCGCAGAGAACCGCATGGAAAGGGGAATCTATCGAGCGAAAGTAATTACGGGGTTCCGTGTCGGTTTAGTATTTCCTCTTCATTTTTTTTTTTTTTTTGTCCTCCAAAGTTCAGAGAAATTTTTTTTCTCCCCCCCCCCCCTCCCCCTTCTGTTAAAGTTGCTCTTTTTTTATTTGTCGGGATTTTTTTCTTGAATTTTTTTTTTTCAATTTCAAATTATTTTTATGTAGCATATATAAGAATTGATTTTTTTAGACGAATTATAATTTTTCGAATTGAGAATTTCTTTTTAAAACAAATTTTTAGGTAATAGATTTATTTTTTGTATCGAATTCTTGCAGAATTTTTTTGTCATTTTTCTTTATTGAATTTT